GTCTCCGCGCCCAGCTCCATCGTCGTCGAACCCAGCGAGACCGCTCCCGACACTATGATCCTTGACGATGAGTCAGCCCCGTCCGAAATCGTCGACGACCCACTCTTCCTCGGACCCGACGTCGTCTCCACCGACGAAGACCGCGACATCGACATCCAACCGCGTCGTCCCGAGACCTCCAACCCTCTCGACTCCTTTCCCCGCTTGTCCATCAGCCGCGAGCCACCCGTCCGCCACGACCAGTCTCCTGCCATCGCGAAGGCCCACTTCGCCACCGATACCGAAGGCTCCCCCCTTCGCGACATTGTGATCGATTCCGGCGCGGCGATCACATTGATGAACGCGGCCTACGCAAACGAGCATTTACCGACGCTCACTCGCCACAGACTTGAGAAATTCCAACTCACCGGTCTCGGCGCTGCCGAATGCGCATCCTTCCTCACGACCGACCTTCATTTCCCCACGGCGGAAGGTGGCGAAGCTGTCATCCCCGCCAACTTCTACCTCGCGAACACCGAAAGCGCCCGCGTCATTTTGGGCAACGACATCCTCCATCCAATGGGTGCTCAAATCGACCTTGGCTCCCTTGCGCTCCGTTTCAGACACGTCGCAGGTACCATTCCCATCGAGTGCACCACCGCTATCCCCGACGCTGCACCCACGCCGGACCCCACCACCCGACCCGACGCTTTCCGACTTCGCCAGCGTCTCACGCTCCTCCCAGGCCACCAAGCCCGCGTCGCCGTGAACACCGGTCACCTACCCACCACCAGCGTCTACCTTCTTGACCCTGTCCCCACTGGCGAATATCTACACGTCGCTCGCTCAGTAGGCAATCGGGACTCACCGACTCATTTCGTTTTGATGATGAACGTAGGCAAGCAGCCCATCACCGTCTCCCGCGGCCGCGTCCTTGGGTACCCTCGACCCCTCACCACGTCCCCCGCCCCAGTCGACGTCCAAGTCAATGACGCTCCCGTCTCCCAGGCGTCCAACGTCTCCCAGGCCCAGACGTCCAACGTCTCCCAACACCAGGCGTCCAACGTCTCCCAGGCCCAGACGTCCAACGTCTCCCTCCTCCAGGCGTCCCACGCCTCCCTCCCTACCTCCACCGACGATGAGTTCCCCATCGACGACATCGCCATCAACACGGCACTCGATACGTTGCAGTCGGCCCAAATGCGCGAGGTTCTCTGGAAAAATCGCCGCGCTTTTGGTTACGGTTCGAGGAAAATCGGCTACACCACGTTAGCTACCATGTCGGTGGACACCGGTGATCACCATCCAATCTCGACCCCTCCCTACCGTGCGTCTCCTCAAGGTCGCCAGACCATCGATGACACGGTGAACGAACTCCTCGAATATGGTATCATCGAAGAGAGCAATTCGCCCTGGGCTTCTCCCGCAATCCTCGTTCGACAAAAAGGCAAGGAACGCTTCTGCGTTGACTACCGCAAGGTAAACGCCATCACCAAGGCCGACCAATACCCTCTCCCGAATATCGACGATCTTCTGAGTCAATTCCATGGAATGGGCTGGTTTAGCACCTTCGACGCAAACAAGGGCTTCCACCAGATCCCCCTCGACGAAGCCGCCCAGGAGAAGTCTGCCTTCCGCACCCACCGCGGACTCCACCAGTATCGAACCATGCCTTTTGGTCTTCGGAACGGCCCCGCTGTCTTCCAAAGGTTTATGGATAAGGTCCTCGGTCGATGGAAATGGCAGATCGCCCTTGTCTACATAGACGATATCATTGTCTACAGTCGTTCTTTCGACGACCACCTGTGCGATGTCGATAAGATCTTGTCCTTGGTCGCGCAATCTGGCATCACCTTGTCGATGTCAAAGAGCCATGTTGCGTTTAACTCCATCACCGCGCTTGGCCATTCGGTCAGCAACCTTGGCATTGGGACGATTGACACTCACGTCGAGCCAATCGCGAAATTCCCCGTGCCGACTTCCGCCGCTGCTCTCTCCCGTTGGCTAGGAATGGTTGGATATTATCGGAAGTTCATCAAGGGCTTCGCTACTATCGCCGCCCCTCTGTTTAAGTTGACCCCTCCTGGCGCTGTCTGGTCCTGGACCCCAGAGTGTCAGCACGCCTTCGATACCCTTCGCGATCATTTGATGCACACGCCTGTGCTGGCTCACCCCGACTTCACCAAACCCTTTACCCTTTTCACCGACGCGTCGACCGTGGGCCTCGGCGCCATCCTCACCCAAAAAGACGAACATCACCTAGAACACCCCATCATATATCTCTCGCGTTCTCTCTCCGATACCGAGACTCGTTACTCGGCCACAGAATTAGAATGTTTGGCGATGATTTGGTCCCTTCGTCGTCTCCGCCCGTATCTCGAAGGTGCTGAGTTCAGTATCGTCACCGACCATACGGCACTCCAGTGGATTCATGACTACAAAGGCCATAATCAGCGCCTCCTACGCTGGAGTCTCGAACTTCAAACATACCAAGGCCTGACCGCCATTAAACACCGCCCGGGAAAGATACACTCAAACGTCGATACTCTGTCCCGCGCGCCTCTCCCCCTCGACGTTATGACCATCTCCACTCCTCTATACCCCACCGTCGCGATTCCGCTTCCAAACCCCGCTCAGACTCCCCGAGTCTCCCGTTCTCAGACTCCCAGAGTCTCCCATACTCAGACTCCCAGAGTCTCCCATTCCCAGGCTCCCGGAGTCTCCCATCCACCAACTCACCGAGTTTCCCAACGCCCGGATCCGCGAACCTCCCAATTCTCGGCCCTTCCCGCTTCGCCGCAGATCCATATCGCTGCCGCTTCCTCCCACGCCTCCTCCTCGATCGACCTGTCGCGCTGGAGAAAGCAAATTCAACACGCCTACCGCTCTGATGAGTTTGCGCAGACGATCTTGAAGAACGCACCTACTACGGGCTTGAGTTTCTCCCAGTACTCGCTCGTTGACGGCTTGATCCGCTTCCTCCCTAAGGCTGGCAGCCCCGGCCGCCTCTACATTCCTCCGTCGCTCCGCCCAGCCCTGCTCCGCGAGTGTCACGACTCACCGACCGCCTCTCACTTCGGCGTCGACAAGACCTATCTGCGTCTGTCAGACTCTTTTTACTGGCCCAAGATGGCCCACGACGCCCGCAGTTGGGTCACCTCCTGTGACTCATGTCAGCGGAACAAATCCTCGAACCAGCCGCCGTCTGGACTCCTCCAACCCTTGCCTATCCCACCCTCTCGTTGGCATACGGTCAGCATGGACTTCGCTGGTCCCTTCCCCTCGTCCACGCCCCTTCAATACGACATGGTCCTCGTCGTGGTGGACAAACTCACCAAGCGTGCCCATTTCCTCCCCACCATGTCCACCGCCACTGCTGTCGACACCGCACACGTCTTCTTTGATGGTGTTGTTCGCCTCCACGGCCTCCCCTCCACCATTGTCTCCGACCGCGACGCCAAGTTCACCTCCACTTTTTGGCGCGCCTTGATGCGACGCTTTGGGACTAAGCTGGCTTTCAGTTCCTCGTATCACCCTCAAACGGACGGCCAATCGGAGCGTATGGTCCGCACTCTGAAAGAAGTACTGCGCCATTTCGTTTCGACCAGCCAAACCGACTGGGTCGCGCACCTCGGCACCGTCGAGTTTGCATATAACTCGGCCGTCCACTCCTCGACCGGAAAGACGCCTTTCGAGCTTGACCTGGGCTACACCCCTCGATATCCCTCTTCGCTCCTGGCTGACGAGTCCAACGTGCCGCGTACGGAAGACTTTGTCGAGCACCTCGAAGCCCTGCGCCGTGAGGCCGCCGACGCTCTCACACGCGCCCAACTCAGCCAAACCACCCAGTATAATCGCCACCACCGCCCCGCTGCGTACAATGTCGGTGATCTCGTCTGGGTGTCCTCCAAGTATTTGACACCCTCCTTCTTCCGTGTCCCGGGCAACGCCAAGCTGCGCTCCCCATGGCACGGCCCTTGGCCAGTCGTCGAGGTCGTTAACCAGAACGCAGTCCGCGTCCAACTCCCCGCTGAGTCTCGACAGCACGACGTTATCAACGTCAAATATCCGAAACCACATGTCCCTTCCCCGTTCCCGGACCGCGCCGTCGCCACTTCCCGCGCCCCTAAAACCCCTACCGATGATACGTACGTCATTTCCGCCATCCGCGATCATCGATTTGCTCGGTCCGGCCATGGCGTAGAGTATTTGATTCATTGGGAGGGCTTCACGGACGACGATAACACCTGGGAGCCGGAGTCAGCGCTCGACCCAAGCCTGGTTGACACGTACTGGCAACAAACCGCCGGCGCTCCCCGTCCCATTTCCACCAGTACCACCGGTTGACCCCGACGTCTCGCCACTTGGCGCCCCCGCCCATACGTTCCCTCTTAGACGTCCGACGTCTCCCTTCTCAGATGCCCGGCATCTCCGTTTCCAGGTGTCCGACACCTCCGCTCGCGCCGCCGCGTAGATCGCCTCCGCGCCACACCGCGCCTTCCCGATAACTCCGCCCCCAACCGTTTCCTTTTTCTTTTCTCTCCTTTTCTCTCTTTCTCCCCGTTTTCTTTTTCCACCTCCGTCGACTTCCGCCGCGATGACGTCCAAACGGGCACCTCCCCCCCCGTCAATCTGGCACGGCGTGATCGAATCTACCCTCAACCACGGTCGCCTTCCGTCGCGCCCTGTACGTAACCCCCCCACTCCTCCAGGCCCTCCGCCACCACTCCTGCAGGACGCCCCGATGCGCTCCCCATCGCGTTCCCGGTCACCGTATTCACGCTCCCCATCGCGTTCCCGGTCACCGTATTCGCGCTCCCCATTGCGTTCCCGGTCACCGTATTCGCGCTCCCCATTGCGTTCCCGGTCACCGTATTCACGCTCCCCATCGCGCTCCCGTTCGCGCTACCCCTCGCGTTCCGCTTCCCCCTCGCCCTCACCGCCGAACCATTCTCCCCTCCCACCCTTGCCCGGCCCCACCCACACTCGCTATTTCCCAGCCTCCAGTCCCGGCGACGAACACCTCGGCCCGCATTTCCGCCGCTACGGCGATCGTCTTGTTTACGAGACGTCCTTGGTTCTGGCCAACGTATACTGGATCTCGCCCGGTTGTTGGGGATACGACTTCATCCACCCCGACGAACCCTGGCTCGCCCCCCTTCGACGAAACGAGAACAACCTCTTTCCGTGGCAAAAGGTTCTGGCGCAGGATTTCTGGCGCCAGTCGCCCCCCGATTGGTCGTTTGCAGCCCCGGACGCTCTGGCGGCGCTGGATCATACAACATGGAGTCCCACCACTGCCGGCCTCCACCCGAATCACCTCGACGCCACATCCCTTGTCTTCGGCCCTGGCCGACCCCTCACTGCCCGTCACGTCCGCGGTGGCCGTCCCCCCCCTAACAAGCGCCAACGCACTCGCTAAGATGCCCGGCATCTCCTAGACGTCCGACGTCTCCCTTCTCAGATGCCCGGCATCTCCCCTTCTAGACGTCCAACGTCTCCCGTCTTCGCTGGCTTTGCTTTTGGTCTCGTTTTGTTCTCGATTAGGTCCCCTCTCTTGGGTTTTCCGGTTTTCTTTTGGTCTTTGGTCTGTCTTCTTTTTTTCTATTGACGCCTCGGGACGAGTCTTTCTCCCGGGGAGGGGGTGATGTAGCGTGACCGCCACATGGTATCTACCGCGCCACACTCTCGGCGTCACGGCGATACCTCTTTCCTTTCCGTCCATAGAAACCAATGCATGCCGGAGACCCAGGAGCTTCCTTTTCCATATACGTCTTATAGAGGAACCTCCTGGCTATCCATACCTTCTCTTCCTACTTCCTTGGCTACGCTTCACACAGCTCGCTACACCTCGCCCAAGCCCATCACCCAAAAGAGATACGAGACGCTCCGGACTCCACCCTGACTATTAAGCCATAGTTTGTGCTCTGTCTATCGACACCGCCACAACCACCTCCGTATCCGCCGCCGCTGCCGACGCTCTTCGCCGTCCGCTCAGCACCAGAAGAGGCTACCCTGCTCTATCAACATGAGTGACACTGATGTGAAGGCTGCTACAGACAACATATACGTTTAGGGCGATGGAACGAGTGCCTCTCCAAGCCCCGGCTCATCGAGCTGGATAACAACACCCGGGAGGGGATGCACCACGTCGCAACGACGAGGGTCCCCAAGGAGCATGGCCGGCCTAGGGAGGGGCACTTCATCGTCACGCGCCCAGTAGACACCGTGAGTTTAACCCCTGTTTATGATTGCGGCTGGTGAGCTTTCGCTGACGGTGCTTGTATCCCGGTTTCAGCACATGTAGCTCTTGTTCCGTACCGCTTCTTATGTCACTATCACTGGCCCCGGCCTATCCACACAAACAGGCGAGGTGTTACCGCCGCACTTGCGCCAACGCTGCCGATCTGCAAGGACCTACTGACAACTCTGAAAACTACTCCCCGAAAATCAACTACCCTAATGAGGTCGTATTTCTTCGACCTCTCAACCCTACTTTGCGTACTGCCCGCTCAAGACCGTACTGGGCCTACACCAACAATGAAGCATGTACATCTGCATACTGGTATGTCGTCTACCATGATTATGTTGACAGCTTACCCCCATCTGTGACTGCACAAATCGCAAGCCCCTCGACCTCGACGCTGCACAACTCATCCCTTTCCCTCTTGACCATCCCAACCGCCTCTCGTATTTCCCTCGCACCCCCTCGCACTCGGAACGTATCCGCACAATACCTCACAACCCGCCCCCGACCCATCAAACCCGATCCCCAGCTTTGTCCCCTGACTTGCCCCTCACTCGTCGTCGGACTCGCTGTCCTCTTGGTGAACATCGTCCCCGTCCCCCTGCTCGCTCTCTGCAAAGTCCGAGCTGGTGAGGACATTTACCGCCGCCTCCGCATCCCCCTCATCAAGCAACAGCTTGTACCTGTCCTCTGCCCAAGTCTCCCGGGCGCACCACATTCTCCTCAATGCCTCTGTGCTCTCGAACGATCGCACTGCCCTGGAGGACTTCTCCACGCTGGCTAGGAGCTTCGGCCGGTCTTTCAGAAGGGAGGAGAGAGTGGGTGCGTGTGGTTTGGATGGAGCGGGGGATGCGGCGAAGGAGGTAGCCAGAGGGTCTCGGCGGTTGCGGGTCGCGCGACTAACCAGACCTCCTTCTTGAAATTCGTGTTCCTAGCTCGGCGGAGAAGAGAGCAAGTAAGTGCTCGGTCGAGTGTGGCGAGAGACGATCACTGTGCTTACCGCGGATCTCCAAATGCCTCGCATTTGGGGCGGAACACCACCGACTTCCGTCTTTGGCCGCTCTCGACTGCGCCCTCACCTTCGTCCTCCTCCATCTCATCATCATCGTCCTCCTCCCCACCATCTCCCAGCACACCGTCGTCCGTGGTTTCGTGCCACCTCTTGCTCTCGGAGCTGACGTGAAGCCGGAGGACATTGCCGTCGCTGTCTTCGGCGGTCTCTCTGAGAAGAAGCGATGGATGAGGGTGTTCATATGATATTTCACGTAGGCCTGAGACAACAAGATGTCAGTAGGTCGAAACGATCATAAGTATACGAAACCTCATGCTCACTCTCTCATCCTTGCTCACGTCCAGGTCTTCCTTCTTCTTCTTCCTCTTCTTGCCATCCCCGCCACTCGTATCGGCCTCGAGCCGCCTCAGCCGCTCCTCCCAGGCAGCCTCTCGCACCTGCCGCCTCCAACTCTCATCCTCGAGCTCCCCTACTCGGTCTTCAAGGTCGCTCACCAACGCCTTCAGACTGCTCTCCGTCGCTCGAGCTTCCTCCGCGGCATGCCTCAGACACGACGAGATGGTGGTGAGAACGTCGACTGTGTGAGGAGAGAGCGGGGCAGGATTGGTGGATGTGTGAGTCACGATTATATTGTGCACCCTTGTGAGCCAGGGAACCAACGATTTGAACGTGAAGGGAGTGGGGGGAGGAGGCAGTGGGAGATGTGATGATGCTGTTGCATTCGGATCGGCAGAGGCCGTAGGTGGTGGAACGAGGGCTAGGCAGAAGCACGGAACTGACCATGATGAAGCGTTCTAGTCGAGCTGATGAAATAACAGAATCTGGATCGAGAGGCAGCTCTTTGGGAAGGTATTAATTGTATGGAGGATGACGGCGGAGGATGGAGGAAGAAGAGGTCGTCCATGGCGCTGCTGCTGGTCGACATTATTATAGTTTAGCGACTTTCTCCCGCGGGAGGAAGGCAGAGAAAGGGGAGGATATGGGGTGTTCTTTGTTGTCAAACGTCCATAAGACAAAGCAGAAAGCGATCTCTAAGAATGCATGAAAGTGACCGCTAAAGAGTCTCTGCAGCCGAAATTTAGGGAATGCTTCAGCGCCGCTGCCGCGATGCCGTCTTCAGGGATCGATTTGTCGCGTCTAACGCTGAGATTTGGGGGGTGGGAAAAGCGCGCCTAACCTCGAAATTTAGGCGTCGCTGCAGCAGCCCTTTGTCGGGATTTTAGCGATCGCTTTCGACGCCATAACGCCAAATCTTAGGGGGCCCTTGCCCACAGTGAGTGGGAAATAGAGAAGAGTGGTCTCAACACCAACATTCGTCGAGCGTGCAGTCCGAACCGAATGTTTGGCACGAGAGGAATGACAAATGAATCATGCATTTGCAAGTTATGCTCTTGATTGTACGCCTACATCTGGAGGATACACAGATGTCGCAGGATGAAGTCGACTCTGCTTGCGATTGTGCACGTCCAATCAGCATACGCGAGCACAGGAACCAAACAAACAAATTTTAGCGACGCGTCAAATTTTATCGTCCACATCTGCAAATTTGCTCTCTCTCGGTCAAAACTTTCATAGCATCGATGCATCAAATCAATAACTGTTTAATAAGGACATGATTCACGCCTCTGGGCTGCAAAAAGAGAAGCCTCCGGCGGGGCTCGAACCCGCAACCGCACGATTAACTGATGGCCCGTAACCGGTTCAAGCAGACTCGTTAAGAGTCGTGCGCGCTACCGATTGCGCCACGGGGGCTTTCTATGTTTGCTCGCTAGCTGTTTGGGTTTTGAAAATTGCCGAGAGGAACATGACGATATCCAGAACAACAAGGGCCGATGCTTTATTGAGCATTGCAAAGATTAGAAACGATATTGGTCGTGCGTTGTTGAGTGTTCACTGTCCAACTAAAACATGGCGGGTGCAGCGTACCAGCCAACGACGACCCGAGGGACGTAATATCACGTAGTGGTGTTGAAGCACATCTGGAAAAGCATGTACACTTTTCTTGCATAGCCCAGATCAATATCAAGTCTTTCTTTCTCCTTGGAAACCCAACCAGATCGCCAAAGTCCACACTTTTGCCCCATCCCCCTGCCTCCCCACAAACCAAACCGGCGCTGCCCCATGCTTTCCATTCTCCCTCGGTATCTTCACCCACCCACTGGTATCACTAGGCAAGCTCCCTGGTTCCCTGACTCTCTCAATAGCAACTTCAAAACCTACGCCGCCGAGCTGACGGCGAAAACTAGGGGAGGTAGAGTAGAGGTCTTTCCGAGTGGCTTCAAGGTTGAAGGAAGGGGCTTGGGGGTAAGGATCAGGCTTAAGCGGATCCCCAATCTTTACCAGCGTCAGCCAAAAGCAACAGAACGGATAGAAGACACACCTTGACATATCCCTCCATCCCTCCTTGTACCCGTACTTCCCCGACCTCGTCACCCAACCACTCCACATCCAATATGATACCATCCCTATCCCCACTCGCAGAGCTCCTGAACCCGACTTGCCCGACTCCTGACGTCCAGTGAACTTCTTCGGGATGGGTATCGTCCCCAAAAACGCGTCGAGTACCCCGTATGATGCCCTCGATGACAGTGATAGTACCTTTCCAGATAGCTTACTTTAGCTCGCTTCCAGGATATGGACGGAAACAACTCTTTGGTCAAGATCTCAAGATCAGCTACATCGCCAGACATCTCGACATTGCGCTTCACGACAACGGTCAAAGAGACGCGGTCGATAGCTCGCAGGTGACAGAAGCTGAGAAGCTGCGCGTGGGGACGGTCAAAGACAGTCTTGGTAAGTCTGCCACATTGCCACGCCGCAGTACCGTCATCGAGGTTCAAGCGATGACCAGCTGCACAGTGTCTATGGGTTTAGATACGATCTGTGCTTTTGTGCCATCAACACCAGAAGGAGAAAGCGAGATGTGTTGGAGAATGATGAGGGCGGTGACGATGGCGATGAACTTGAAATGAACGCGCCGTTGCGCGACGCGAGACTGATTGATACCACTTTGCTAGTGTAATTGTAATATATTCTTGGGTCAACATTTCATCACTGCAGCTGAGCTGGTGGCCGAAAGCAATGTATAAATGCATGTTGGTAGACAGTTGAGCACCTGATGCTGAGACGCGTATTAGCAGCTTGATCGCCAGAACGATGAATGTGCGGGCCGACGACGTGTCCTAATGTACTCGTATAGTACTACTGTATTTGGTGTCATGCTGTCTCCTGTGGACTGCTGAGTGTGAAAGAACGATGCAGAGTCGACATAGAAGGCGAGATGGGCAAAAGAGAAGCGGGACAAAAAATATTCTCCATCAGGGAGTTGAACCCTGGTCTACCGCGTGAGAAGCGGTTATACTAACCGTTATACTAATGAAGAAGTATGACCGCTGATATATCCAGCTCTTAATGTTTACAGCATTGGGACATGGTCATGATGTGTTATCCAAGCAGCCAGCTCGCGACCCTTGTTGTTGGCCGGTGCGTGTGTTGACAGTGCCTGGTGAAAAATATCATCTCCACATCACGATGTCCTCCTTAACCACCACCGCCCTCCCCCTCCTGCCTCCCGAAATCCAAGCAGCCATCTTCGACCTCCTCCTCCATCTCGGCGACAAACACACCCTCGCCACCATCGCCCGTACCTCCCACTACCACCTCTCTCTCGTCCTTCCCCGCCTGTACGAATCCATAGAGCTCTCGGCAACCACTGCCGCGCTGCTGTTTGGCGATACCGGCGATGTGGCCCGTATCGCGAAAGCGAAAGGATTGGACGCGATGCGCAGGAAGCAAGCATTACTGTCGCGCGTCCATCGCGTCACATTCCTCGATCTGGCCGCTCTAGACCTCTGCATGGCTATGCAGCCGGCCTACGAGCTCGCGCGGATGTTTTCCGTCACTCGCTATCCCCCCCGCCCAGGCGAAACCCCCCTCAGCCAGTATCTCTTCCCAAACATCACCCTCGAAAACCCATCCTCCGCCCTCATATTCTCTCCACCATTCTTCGAAGCTCTCCAGCGTCGCCCAGGGCCGTATCTCGTAAGAGGCACCCCCGCCCACCCTCTCTTCCACCTTGCTCCTTCTTCTGGCGGCCACCCGCACCTCACATTCAATCTCCCGCCTGAGCCGAAACCGATCTTGAACGCATTCATATGCGACATGCTGTGCGCGTACAAGAGCCGGGCAACGACAATAGTGGGCGTGGAGAGGGATATGAGCTGGGATTTAGGGCATTCTGAGGTGGGGGTCTTTGAGCTGGGGATGAAGGAGATCGTTGGAAAGAGCAAAGAGGAGAATGAAGACGATACCGTGCATTCCATCTGGTGTGTCTGCTCTGCATCCGTCACCAGCAAACAACTGACACCATCTAGCGAACATATCCACCTCCACCCCCGACTTCAGGGCGTACTACTCCTTCCCTCGCCTTCCATCCCCCTTTCGACCGAACACGATACTTGCGCAAGGGTCGAGGAGGCGGTGAAGAAGAAGGCGGCAGTCGGTGAACGGTTCTTTGTGCGCCCGAGTAGGGAAGGTGGGATCGTTGACGCCTCTGCTTCAGGACGACTTGTGAGTATCTCTTTTTACTCTGTAAACGAATGAAGAGAGAGCTGATATAGGCACAGTCGCCTCTTATTCCATCCGCCTCGAGCTCAACGAAAGATTCCGATACCGAGGACGTCATTCGCTGAGCTGTACTCGAGTACTCTATACTTTGACCTGTCATGTTGTATTCTCGCTACCATATACACCCGGACCGTTGCCACATTATGCATGTCCTGAACCAGGAGGCAAACAGTGTACGGAGCTTTGAACATTTTTGAACATTATTGCAGCGCTTTCGTGCGACCGCCGCAATTCTCAATTTTTCACATCACGCTTTCCGCCTATCTCTTTGACTGCAACATCAATATATCTACGCGAGATCAGCATGTCCGACAACCTGGCCATGTCACCCACATCATCCTCGACATCCTCCTACAATGCGCCTCTCTCGCCGAGAGCGATGGGCAAAGTGCACCCACGAGAATTGAGACTCCCCATCAATCATGCAGAGCTTCTTACAATTCATTATCATACGTTCCTCACTTTCACAATACAAACGCTTTACTCGTCATCCCTAAACCTCTCTCCATCACCCCCATGCCCATGTTCACCCCTCTCCCGCTCCTCCGCCCTCTCCACATCATCTTCCAACCTAATCCTCCCCTGTCTCTCCAAACTCCTCTTCCACGCCACCCCCACCAACAACGTGATCGGATGCAGCGCCAGGCAGGCGATGAGCACCACCAGCAGGGGGGTGGGCTTGGGGCGTTGGGTGGAGGGGAGTTCGGGGTTGGAGCGGGGGGAGGAGAAGAGGAGGGAGAGGAGGAGGTAGACGCTTGCTGTTGTCAGAAGACTGCATTTTTGTCAGCTCATGAAGAAAAGGAGAGAGAAGGGAAGAGAAGGGACGTACTATAACCTCCTGATACCCGCCCAAATCGCACTGACAACCTGCGTCCCCGCCACACACCCCACCGCCTGCCACGTCCACCTCCCCCAACTCTCCTTCCCACTCGTCACCCACCCCATCGCTATGAATCCCGTGTGGATCCAGTCCACCTGGAACAAGATGGCGAGAAACATGGTCATGGGGGCGTGGATGAAGAGCGCGTCGAGGGGGCGTTTGAGCGTGGGAGGGTAGGGGAGGAGGGTGAGGTGGATGGAGAGGATGTTGAGGGCGTTTAGGAGGAGGACGGCTTCGGCGCCGATGAAGAATTGGAGGGTCTGGGGATCGTTAGCTTGGGTCTGGAGGGGTGGGGGAGGGGCGTACGAAGAAGACGGCCCAGGCGGCTTGGAGCCAATTCGCGAGGGCGAATCTGAGCCCAACACCGTGTACCAGTGTCTGCTTGGTTACGTCTTTTCTGGCCAAGAGGAGTACGAGGCAAAATCCGACTGCATTGAGGCATCAGCTCTGTACGCGAACTCGAGAGGATGGACGCACTTTGTAGACTGAATAGCAAGGCATAGTAGAACTCGAGCATAAGCGAGTTCGGGGTGAGCAGCGTAGGAAAGAGTGCACTGATCCCGGCTACTCTACCATCAGTATACCACCCAGATGGAGGAGCATTACGTACTAAGACCAGGCTTGAGAACGAGGGCGCATACGAGGTTGGTGCCAAGAGCAATGAGGACGGAGATGGGGACGGCGATCTGGAGGCGGACGAGACGCATCGACTGGCGGAACTGCTCGGGGGTGATGACGTCGTCGAGGACGGGGTCGTAGCTGGACATGGTGGATGGAGAGAGGCAACAGAGACATACTTCACGAATGGCAGCAGGTCAAGGGAGAGTGTGACGTCACCCGGCGAGCGCCGCCCAGCGCTCTTCCCCGCCCGACGGCCTGCCGACGGCCTATCTTCGACCCAACTTCGACCAATCTTCGACTCTGACTCTTCGTCCTCCCTTGGTCCTCCCTTTCCCAGTCCTTCCGGCCTTCTTCTTGATTACATTCTTCCTCTACATCACAGCCATCATCACAACAATGATACACAGCGACTCCCCCTCTCCCTCCTTGGGCGGTTTCGGACCGCAGGCCTTCTGAAGCAAATGTCCTACCATTATTCTTCTCAGGACGACATCACCAGAACCTTCAGAGAAGCGAGGAGCATGAGGCAGACCGATCCATCTGTCTGTCGCGAGAAGGTTTGTGAGCTGTGCGGCCTGCTGGAGGCGTTTGCCGTACGCCGAAGATACCCGGAGAACAGGAACCCTCGAGATGCGTGGGAGGAGGCTGTCGCGATGAGGGCGTTGGAAACTCTCAGGAGGGCTCTGTAATCAGTTGTTTTGAAAATCATTGAGAATAAATATAGCAAAATTATGCACTGTAGTATGAGTCATGTACGAGTACCTTGAGACTGCTGTTGAAAGGTCGTCAGGTGTACGGTGGTGTTTCAATGCCATGCCTGGCTAATAACACACTCTCTACCTAAAGTAGATATCATCAACATCGCAGGTGGGCGCAGAACCTGTATGTATACAACATACAGGAAGGTAGAGCCTAGAGGTGCATCGTAATACCCGGGCCAGGCAAGACTGAAGGGGTAAGAGGGGAGGACATGGCCGACTGAAATTAGAAAAAAATGGATAGGTGTGTTATGACTGGAAAAGATTGGCAAAGTCACATTGTGTCTGTGGGAAAACAAAGTTCGTGGCGTGGTCAAATTTATTGTGGCCAAGGCGGAAAAGGTACACCAAGGCGGAAAAGGTACATACGGTGGCATTGTGTCCGGAAAAGGTGGGTGTCCCGAGCGCTGTGCGTTCGCCGGTACTTTCTCCTTCTCCTTCTCCTTCTCCTTCTCCCAGCAGGCCAGAACGCGGGGATGCAGGCGACTGGCGATGCGTGACCGGAGCTGCATGATACATATAGCAGTGGGACTGTGGGACTGTGGGACAGGCGGCAGCCGAAGATCCAAGATCCGACAGAAATGAAAAGTCCGATCTGTTCTGTTTGTAGGCTATAGGCGTGCGAGTGTGGGTAGAGGAGTGGCGGTTTGCGGTTTGCGGTTTGCGGTGGCGGTGGCGGCGTCAAGACTCAAGGGCAGTGGGGAGTGGGGAGTGGGGAGTGGAAGCAAAGATGTTAGATGACGGGTGGGAGAAAGCCGACGGTGTTGAGGGCTTGAGGCGCACGGCCGTCGGAAGACTGGGGGGGGGAAGACGAGAGGATACATATGCAGATTGCAGTGTGTAGTGGGAGCGATGTTTGGACAGAAACGATTGTAACGAAGAGTCTAGTACTTTACTCGAGTATGGTGAGCAAGTGCATGGACGCGTTTCGACTTGGTGCATCGCATGCCAATGGAAGGGGGGTCGTTCCATTGGAAGCCTACAGGGGCCATTCAGGCCCCCATTGCCTGGGTGTCCCGAGCGCTGTGCGTTCACCCGCACTTGAAAGTTCTCGTTCTCCAGGCCAACGTGGGGATGCAGGCGCTGCTTGACCGGAGCATAGAAGTAAGTCCATTCATGTATATATTAAATGCAGAGGGTGATTGAGAGGGAGGCATGCGACTATCAGTATCTTCTCATACAGCCCCCTCCCTTTCGAGATCTTCGGGTGGGCTTGTGCCCGGAAGATCCTATCAAGACGTCGGATATGATTGCTCGTTGGACCTCGACTGGAACGGGAAGCGAGGTAGAAACGATAGTAGACATGCCGGGGCATAGAGACAGATGTAAAGATTGGTCCCGGAAGATATACCATGCAGGGGGGATCATCATATACACGCGACGCAAGGTTGATTCATGTGGAAGTGACGTTTTTGGATGACGACGTCTTCCGCTATCTTCATCCTCCCTTTCCCAGTCCTTCCCGCCTTCTTCTTGTTTCCACCCTTCTTCTACATCCCGTCCATCATCACTACAATGGCATTCAGCAACTCCACCTCTCCCTCCCTGGGCGGTCTCGGCAGCCTTCCAGAAGACGATGTCATCAGCCTCGGCTCCAGTGATTCTTCTTCTTCTTCCGCCTCCGCCGAAACCGCCGATCCCGCTACTCCCAACCTATCTCCATTCGAGGAAGCTGACAGCGGGGAAAAGAGTGTCAATAAGAGCGTACGGTACCATTCTCTTTGTGGCGATTGACGATAAGAATGAGATTGGTGGCTGACTTTGTTCATAATAGGTCTTCCCGCCTGCGGCGGACCAGTACGGATCGTCGAATGATGAAGAAGCTGCACAAGATTCCGAGACCCGCTCTACTCGCACGGATGAGATGGTTGACGAAGCAAAGCTGGTCGAGGCCTTCGAGGTCAGTAGTATTGCTATGTCTCGTACACCCTTCGTTCTTCCGGAAGGTGGTTTCTGACAATGAGGGTTCAGGAAATTGGAAACTTCCTAGAGCGTCTTGAGTCCGACTGGTGGGCTTCCGCCAAAAAAGAAATGAACACGAGCGTCAAAGAGCTTTTGGAACAGCAGAGCAAGCGATTCGAAGAAGCCTACAACAAGGTAGTGCAGCAAGAGACAGACATCCACCGAGAGGTAATTCTCAACTGTTCCCACCGATATGGCATCTCGTGCAGCCCTACTCGTCTGGCAACTGACAGCGTATGTCTAGAATACCAATGGACTCATCACCCGCGTCTCGCAGCTCGAAGCTACTTTGGCCAGTCTCTCAAACCCGCAGAAGCAAGAGGTCGGCAGAAACCAAGAGGTAAATGTCTGACTACTTTCGCCGATAGCTCATCTCGCAAAACGTTATAAGTTATAATAGCTAACGTTGTTTGTCTAGTCCACCGATGGGCTGGTCAACCGCGTCGCGCAGCTCGAAACTACCCTCGCCAACCTCACGCTCCAGAAGACCCCGCCCGACATCCATGTTGACGTTCACATGCCGTCGCAGCAATCTACCAGCACCACCGCTGACGACGCCCCTCCCCGACGTCCGCCTCACGATGAGGATAGCTCTGATGGTCGTCCTCAGTCCTCTTTGTCTCTGAAAGACAGCCTGGATTGGACCGCGGGCCTTCTGATGCAAATGTCATACCATTATTCTTCGAACGGCAACATCATGAGAACCTTCAGAGAAGCGAGGAGCATGAGGCAGACAAATCCATCTGGCTGTCGCGAGAAGATTTGTGAGCTGTGCGGCATTCTGGAGGCGTTTGCCGCACGCCGAAGATACCCGGAGAACAGGAATCCTCGAGATGCGTGGGAGGAGGCTGTCGCGATGAGGGCGGTGGAACTTCTCAAGATGGCACTATGATCAGTGATTTCGATAGTCATCGTCAATCATGATTCAATCAACAACGTATTCGTGCATTGTCTAAGTCATGTATCAATTGGAATTTAATATTATATAAGTCGATTGAAGGATAAACTTCAGTTGGCTCATGTCAACCGCCGCTTCCGCTTCCTTTCTCTTTTTTCAATGCCATGCCTGGCTAATATCACACTCTCTACCTAGATATCATTAACATCGCAGGTGGGCGCAGAACCTGGATGTAACTGTATACAACATAAAGGAAGGTGCTAGTGCATTTGCGTACTTTGAGGGATTCGTGAAGCTGGGGACGAATGAGGTCGAGGTGGTCTTGAGAGGTGCGGGCGACAGAGGCGAGGGTGGGCTTGTGCCCGGAAGGTTCGATCAAGACGTCGGATATGATTGCTCGTTGGACCTCGACTGGAACGAGAAGCGTGGTAGAACCGAGGGTAGACATGCCGAGGCATAGAGACAGCTGGAAAGAGAGGTCCGGGAAGATATACCATGCAGGGGGGATCATAATATACACGCGACACAAGGTTGACTCATGTGGAAGTGACGTTGGATGACGACGTCTTTCGCTATCTTCGTCCTCCCTTTCCCAGTCCTTCCCGCCTTCTTCTTTCTTCCTTCATCATCACCACCACCATCGAACTTCGATGCCATACGAAAATATGACACACGACGATTCTACATCTCCCTCCTTGGGCGGCTTCGGCAGCCCTCAAGAAGACGATGTCATTAGCCTCGGCTCCAGTGGTTCTCCTTCTTCTTCCGCCTCCGCCGAAACCGCCGATCGCCCTACCCCCAACCCATCTTCATTCGAGGAAGCTTACAGCGGGGCAGAGGAGTATCGCTACAAGCCCAACAATAGCGTACGTTACCATCCTCTTCGTGGCTTCTTTGGTCGATTTCAATGCAATAGTGGCTGACTCCGATGATAGGCCCTTCCGTCGTCGATGAGAAAGAAAGACGAAACCTTCCATGAGAAAGCTGCAGCGGGAGCTTCCAAGGTCCCTATCACCGGAGTGGATGCCAAGGGAAACGACCAGGCGAAGGATGATCAGGCGCGCGGCAAGCAGTCTGTAAGTCTCGCTCTTCTTCTTACTACATACACCATTCCCGCAAGTACTGTCTGACAACTGTCTAGGAATTCACGGCTATCCTGCATGAGATAATGCTCAACCGAGAGGCCGACAAGTATGAAAACGCGAGACTCCATTTGGCCTTGGGACAGCAGAGCAAGCGACTCGAAGACGTTTCCAACAAGCTACTCCAGCAGGAGGCCAACCACCAAAAGGTAGGTCTTTAGGATCACTTCCGCCAATATGATACCAGCTGGAGCATCATACGATAGCTGACACTATGTATAGCTCACAGAGGGACTGTTCAACCGCTTCGCGCAGCTCGAAGCTACTTTGGCCAATCTCTCCAACTTGCACAAGCAAGAGGTCGGCAGAAACCAAGAGGTAAATAATATCTGACTACTTCCACCGATATTGCATCTCGAACAAACCTTATCATAGCTAACCTTGTTTGTCTAGTTCACCGATGGGCTGGTCAACCGCGTCGCGCAGCTCGAGACTACCCTCGCCAATTTCATGCTCCAGAAGAGCCCACCCGACATCCATGTCGACGTCCACATGCCGCCGCAGCAAGCTTCCAGCACCCCCGCCGGCTACACCCCTCCTCTACCTTCGCCTCACGATGAGGGTAGCTCTGATGGTGGTCCTCAGTCCTCTTTGTTTCTGGAACAGAGCCTGGATTGGACCGCCGGCTTTCTGGTGTATATTCCAGACCAATATTCTTACAAGGCCGATATTATGAGAACCTTCAGAGAAGCGAAGAGCATGAGTCAAAGCAATCCATCTGCCTGTCGCGGGAAGATTTGTGAGCTGGGCGGCCATCTGGAGGCTTTTGCCGCAAACCGAAGACACGGTGCGTGGGAGGAGGATGTCGCGATGAAGGCGGTGAAAACTCTCAGGAGGGCACTATGATCAGTTATCTCGATAGTTATTGTAAATCAAATAAACGACGTATTGGCGCACTGTTTAAGTCATGTATCATTTGGAATTTAATATTCTATAAGTCGGTTGAAGGATACACTTCAGTCGGCTCTTGTGAGCTTGCAGGTGACGGGTGATGACGACGCCTTACGCTTTATCCTTCTCACTCTTCCGTGTCTCTTCCTTCCCGCCGCTTCCGCTTCCTTTCTCTTTCTTGATTTCGAAAACACCCGGGGATAAGCATCCCTCCAGGTGCGTGGGAAGAGGATGTGCGATGAGGGTGGTAGAAACTCTCAGGGGGGCTCTGTAATCAGTGGTTTTGATAGTCATTGAGAACAAATATAACAAAGCAGTTTTGCACTGTAGTATGAGTCATGTATCGTTGGAATGCGAGGACGGCTGGAGAATACACTATGTTGACTCATGTAGAGGTTACGTTCGATGACGACGTCTTCCGCTGTCTTCGTCCTCCCTTTCCCAGTCCTTCCCGCCTTCTTCTTGTTTCCATCTTTCTTCCACATCCCAGCCATTATCACTACAATGACACACACCGACTCCACCTCTCCTTCCTTGGACGGTTTCGGCAGCCCTCGAGAAGTCGATGTCATCAGCCTCGGCTCCAGTGGTTCTTCTTCTTCTTCCGCCTCCGCCGAAACCGGCGATCCCTCCATCCCTAACTCCTCTCCATTGGAGGAAGCTTGCAGCGGGGCAAAGAGGTATCGCTGCAAGCCCAACAAGAGCGTACGTGACCATTCTCTTTGTGGCCTTTGACGACAAGAATGAAAATGGTGGCTGACTTTGCTGATGATAGGCCTTCCCGCCTCCGGTGGACCAGTACGGATCGTCGAATGATGAAGAAGCTGCGCAAGATTCCGAGACCCGCTCTACCCACACGACTGATATGGTTGACGAAGAAAAGCTGGCCGAGGTGAGTAGTACTGCTACGTCCCGTACACCCCTCGTTCTTCCAGAAGGTGGTTTCTGACAATGAGGGTTCAGGGAATTACAAACTTCCTACAGCAGCTCAAGTCCGACTGGGCCTCCGCAAAAGACCAGAACAAGAGAATCCAAGAACTTTTGGAACAGCAGAGCAAGCGACTCGAAGAAGTCTTCAACAAGGTACTGCAACAAGAGGCAGTCATCCACCGAGAGGTAATTTCTCAATCATTCACACCGATATCACAGCAGGAGAATCCCTACTCGTCTGATAGCTAACAGCGTATGTCTAGGATACCGATGGACTCATCACCCGCGTCTCGCAGCTCGAAACTACCTTGGCGAACCTCTCGAACTCACAGAAGCAAGAGGTCGGCAGAAACCAAGAGGTAAATGTCTGACTACTTCCCTCGAAGAACCGTATGATAGCTAACGCTGTTCGTCTAGTCCACCGATAGGCTGGTCAACCGCGTCGCGCAGCTCGAAACTACCCTCGCCAATCTCACGCTCCAGAAGACCCCGCCCGACATCCATGTCGACGTCCACATGCCGCCGCAGGAATCTTCCATCACCACCGCTGGCGACGCCCCTCCTCGACGTTCGCCTCACGATGGGGGTAGCTCTGATGATGGTCCTCAGTTCTCTTCGTCTCTGGAACAAAGCCTGGCTTGGACCGCAGGCCTTCTGACGTATTTGTCAGACGATAGTCCTTGGAAGGACGGTATCATGGGAACCTTCAATGAAGCGGAAAGCATGAGTCAGACCGATCTATCTGCCTGTCGCGAGAAGATTTGTCATCTGGGAAGCCATCTGGAGGTGTTTGCCGCACTCCTAAGACACATGGGGAGCGCAACCCCTCAAGATGCGTGGCAGGAGGCTGTCGCGATGAAGGCGGTGGAAACTCTCAGGAGGGCACTATGATCAATCATTTCGATAGTCATTGTGAATCCAATCAACAACGTTTTGGTGCACTGTTCAAGTCATGCATCCTTTGATTTTGATTTTCTAGAAGTCGGTTGAAGGATACACTTCAGTTGGCTCATGTCAGCTTGCAGGTGACGGATGATGACGGTGCCTTCCGCTCTATCCTTCTCGCTCTTCCGTGTCTCTTCCTTCTCGCCATTTCCGCTTCCTTTCTCTTTCTTTATTTCTCTGTCAGCTTTCCAATCGATCCAATTGCCGACCATCCGGGACAGCATGGTATCTTCTTCTCCACCTTACGTGCCAGATGAAGTTTGCGTACTTTGAAGGATCCGTATAGCTGGGGACGGAGGAAGTGGAGGTGGTCTTGAGAGGTGCGGGCGGCAGAGGCGAGGGTGGGCTTGTGCCCGGAAAATTCGTTCAAGACGTTGGATATGATTGCTCGTTGGACCTCGGCTGGAACGAGAAGCGTGGTAGAACCGAGAGTATACATGTCGAGGCATAGAGACAGGTGGAAAGAGAGGTACGGGAAGATATACCATGCAGGCGGGATCATACTATACACGCGACGCAAGGTTGACTTATGTGGAAGTGACGTTACTGAATGACGACGTCTTCCGCTATATTCGTCCTACCCTTCCCAGTCCTTCCCGCCTTCTTCTTTCTTCAGTACTCTATTCCTCATGATCACAACCACCATCAAGCTTCAATGCCATACGAGATCATGACACACGACGATTCTACATCTCCCTCCTTGGGTGGTTTCGGCAGCCCTCAAGCAGACGATATCATCAGCCTCAATTCGAATAACAGCTCTTCTTCGTCCTCTTCCGCCGACGATCCCGCCGACTTGGCTACTCCCGACCCATCTCCATCTGAGGTTCCTTACAGCGGTGGGTGGATGTATCACTGCAAGCCCAACAACCATGTACGTAAAGTACCATCCTCTTCGTGACCTCTTTAGTCGATTTCAATGCAATAGTGGCTGACTTTGATGATAGGCCCTTCCGTCGTCGATGAGAGAGAAAGCCGAAACCTTCCATGAGCAAGCCGCAGCGGGAGCTTCCAAGACCCCTATTACCGGAGTGGATGACAAGGGAAACGACCAGGCGATGGATGATCAGGCGCGCGGCAGGCAGTCTGTCAGTCTCGCTCTTCTTCTTACTACATACACCATTCCCGCAAGTACTGTCTGACGACTGTCTAGAAATTCACGGCTATATTGCATGAGATAATGCTCAACCTAGAGGCCGACAAGTATGAGAACGCGAGGCTTCATTTCGCTTTGGAACAGCAGAGCAAGCGACTCGAAGACGTTTCCAACAAGGTACTCCAGAAAGAGGTCGGCAGAAACTAAGAGGTAAATGTCTGACTACTTCCTCGAAAAACCGTATAATAGCTAACGTTGTTTGTCTAGTTTACCGATGGGCTGGTCAGCCGCGTCGCCCAGCTCGAAACTACCCTCGCCAATCTCACGCTCCAGAAGACCCCGCCCGACATCCACGTCGACGTCCACATGCCGCCCCATCCATCTTCCAGCACCACCGCCGACGACACCCCTCCTCGACGTCCGTCTCACGATGAGGGTAGATCTGATGGTCATCCTGACAAAGCTGCCACTTCCGCCGCGTCAGATACCAAAATCTCCTCCTCTCCTCCCGTCAACCGACAATCAACTTCCCCCCTGGTAGACGGTATCCAATGGGCCAAGGGATGCCTTCGAGGCCTGCAGATTATGAGACAAAACTGCAAAGTTTTTCCCAGGGCTATCGACTCTCTCGACAGAGCCAAAGTCCTGAGTGTATCCGCTCCTGACAAGTGTCGAGAGTCGCTCTTTCACATTTGCGGCCAGATCGAGTTCTATACGTTGTCTTTGAGTCGCCGAGTGGAGGATTCTAACGCAGTTTGGGAAGCAGACGTTTTGAAGGAGGTGGTGAACGTTCTGAAGAAGGCCTTGGACTCGTCAGCGTAAGCTTCTGCGTCAGAACGCATGAGGAGCGTGGCACAACAACGGCTATCAGCGGAAGGTACTCGTAATGTACATTGGCGGAATGGATGCATCGATACTCTAATCATTCAGTGAATATGTCCTGACGGCACGTCTATGGATGAGAGTATATCAGCTACCCTATCAAGGCCGTTGTCGACGCTGCCACCCTCACCCTCCCCATGTTGAACGACGCGCACGAGGCACAGGCGATCGCCGCCCCACGTTATTATATGGGGTCCTTTGTTGTGAGTGTCTGCCACGTCAACCGTCTCTTGGCACATTCCCATCTCATTTGCATCCCCATCTCTCTTTTGCATCTATCACGCAACCCCCATGTCCGACTACGGCGACGACTACGAAGAGCCCCAGGAGCGTGGCTTCGACGACGACTACGAGGACAGGAGGTCGGAGCGCTCTCGCTCTCGATCCAATAGCTCTAGCAGCTCTTCCTCCTCAAGCAGCGAAAGCCACCACAGCTCGCATCACTCAAGCCAGGAAGAAGACAGGCGGTACGAAGATCAGCAGGCATACCAGCAGCAGCCGACCAACTCAGGGTCAGGCGGGGCAGGGTAGGCAGTGTGCTTCGTTGACGCGAGGATGTGTGCTGACTAATCACGTAGTCTTGGTGGACTTGGCGGCGGCGCTGCTATGGGAATGTACGTCTCTCTCTTTTTTTCAACTGCGCAACTATAGCTGACCATGGGCTGCTGCGACTATTGCAATTGCTGTTGTTGTGGGTAGGATGACGGGCATGATGGGCAAGCTGATGAGTGGTCAAGGCGGTGGAGGTAATCGAGACGGTGGCAACGGCGGGCAGGGGCAGCAGTCAGTCTTTTGTCTCTTCATAGAGATACTTATTGATTCATATTTAGATACGGCAGCCAGTACCCTCAAGGCGGTTATGGTCAGCAACAGGCGTACGGCCAGCAGCAGTACCCTCAGCAACAGTACGGGCAAGATCAATACGACCAGCAGCAATATGGTGGCGGGGGATACGACCAAGGAGGCTATGGTGGCGGTGGCGGGTACCAGCAGCAAGGATACGGCGGACAAGGAGGCTACGGTGGGGATTCTCGAGGAGATGGCGGCTACGGAGGTCAAGGCTTCCCTTACCCCGGTGCGCCCCCACAACAATACGAGCCCACGTACGTCCCCCGCCTTCTATTCTGGCACTGTGACTGACATTCATGATAGCAACGCCGGGTACGCCCCTCCCCAAGCTCCATACGGTGCCCCGCAACACCAATTCGGCGGCCAGTTCACCGACCCTCGTTCTGGCGAGACTGCTCAGGCGTTCTTTGAGTATTCGAGGTGTAGCGGTCGCCGAAAAGCTCTTTTGGCACGTACCCCCATCTCATCTGATGTTGAAAATAGCGCTAATGTGTCATAGATCGGTATCAACTACATCGGCACCTCCTCCGAACTCTCCGGCTGCATCAACGACGCCCACAACATCCAAAAGTTCATCACCGAGCGATACGGCTACAAACTCGAGGACATTGTCATGCTGACCGACGATACCAACGACCCAAGGACTATCCCGAATAGAGAGAATATTATCAAGGGCATGAAGTGGTTGGTGGATGGAGCGCAGAGGGATGATGCTTTGTTCTTGCACTAGTACGTCTGTCATTTCAGAAGAGGGATGGGGCTGATGGGATGTAGCTCGGGACACGGGACGCAGGCTGAAGATACGGACGGGGATGAGCAAGATGGCGACGACGAGGCTATCTGTCCTCTTGATTACGAGACCGAAGGGCTCATCATCGACGACGAAAGTGAGTCTACTCAATCAAACACAAAATTACGCTGACCTTGATTAGTGTAAGCGTGTATACACTCTCGAGGCGTTGGAAAGCAGAACTAATATGACCTAGCCACGAGCTCTGTGTCCGACCTCTTCCTGCAGGTTGTCGTCTCACCGCCATCTTCGACTCGTGCCACTCTGCCACCGTCATGGACCTCCCTTACGTCGTACGTCCCTCCCATCCTCCCATCGTCCTCCCCTCCTCTCCCACTGATCCCCACCCGCCATTCCCCGCTGACTCGACCCAGTACGACACCGAAGGAAACATCAAAGAACCCGACCTCCTCCAAGAAGCCTCCGAAGGCCTCCTCGGCGCCGGTATGGATATCCTCCGCGGCGACACGGACGGTATCATGAAGTCTCTCTTTGGTGCTGCCAAATCGGCATTTTCGGCGGAAAAGGCAGATGAAAAGACGAAAAAGACAAAGACGAGTCCGGCGGATGTTGTGATGTGGTCGGGGTGTAAGGATGATCAGACTGTACGTCGATGTGACTCATGATATGGGGAGAGAAGCTGATGTGGGAGTAGAGCGCGGATACGCAGGAAGCTGGGAAGGCTACAGGTGCTATGTCTTATGTGTGTTTGTTGACTGGTGACAAAGGTACAAAGGTCTCACGCTGACTTTCAATAGGCTTTCATCGCCTCGCTCAACAAGAACCCCAACCAGAGTTATCAAGAGCTTCTTATTTCTGTGCGCGAAGAGATGAAGGGCAGGTATACCCAGAAACCGCAGTTGAGCGCTTGTCACCGTGAGTAGCTCTTACACGTACAGTTTGTTCTGTGCTAATGGTTCAACGTAGCTATCGACACGGATCTGCAGTTTGTTGCTTGAGGTGGCGGTCGTCCATTGTTTGGAGAGCTCAAATTCGAAACGAAGGAGTCTTGTATACACGTCTGCTCCCAAAATACTATCCATACCAATATGCATTATCGTCATCGTCATAACAGGAATCAAGAAAATGTATAGTCCACAGACAAAGTGATAAATCACAACGTATCATCTACTCTAATCAACAAACCCTCGCACAAGGGTCTTTCTACTCCTCTCCAGCGCTGTCCTCACGCTCTTCTCGCTCTTCGCCTTCTTCGCCTTCGAGAGGGATGACTCTTCTGGTTGGACTCCTTGCGACGGGGGTTTCGAGAATCTACATCTTCATGTCAGTATTCGCCAAGTTGAGCTTTTGAAACGACTCACCTCCTTCCTCAACTCTTCACCACTGACTCCAGTACTTCCCCGCCTCTTCGTCTCGCCCTTCTTCCCCAGCATCTCCTCCGCCGTCGCCTCCTCCTCATCCTCACTCTCATCATCCACCACGCCCAGTTTCACCCCCTTCCTGAAAATCTCACCTTCCTCCTCTACCATCGCTCTCGACACCTTTTCAACAGGACTATGGTCTCCCGGGGTCAAAGTGGCGCCAGTCGGGGTGGGCACGTCGAGAGATGCCAGCGCGGGCTTGGTCGGTGTCGTGGGGGAGGCGGGGGCGCCCGACGTAGCGCGAGTGGGCGAAGAAGACGGCGAATACAGCTCAGCCTGCGCTTCCATCAAACCCCTCTCAATCTCCTTCTGCACATCATTCATCTCAAGCCCAAGTCCCTTACCTGCCCCCTGCTCTTCCTTCTTATCCTTCTCGGGCGTCTCGGGGTATTCACCAGCTGCGTCGACTGTAGCGGCGAGAGAACCAAGAGTGGGTACTGTGCCGGAAGCACCGCGCTCGATAGAGCCCACGTCCACTTCTTCCGCATCGCTATCTCCTTCTTCATCCGAATCGCCCAGGGAGAAATTAGGGCTCGAAATCTCCAAACTTCCCACCCTTCCATGCACGGAGCTTCGGCGAGGGGTAGGAGAAGTCGCAGAGTTGCGAGATGAACTTCGCCGGTGGTGCTTGGTCGGTGCGGGCGACAAGAGCTGTTGTTGCTGGACAATCTCGGATGGCAAGAGTACTCTCTGCTGAGGCGGTACAAAGCCCTCGCACTTTTGGAGCACCCCGCGCAGCGTTTCGTTGAGAGACAACGACTCTTCCAGTCCCTCTTCTTCTCCTCTCTCAATGTCTTCCACCAAACGCTCGCCGAGGACTTTTCCGCGGGCGTGTACCTCGGCATAGGGGGTGGAGGGGAGGGATACAGGTGAAGCCGGCGATTTGGATTTCAGACCAGCGGCAAGCCAGTCTTCCAGCCCCTTGATAACCTGCACCACCTCCTTCCTTACATCCTCCGCCACAAGCTGATAAACCTCCGCCCGCACCTTGCCCTCCATCGATTTAAACAAATCCTCCCTCTCCCTCTCTTTCCTCTCCTCCTCATCTTCCCTCCCCCGCTTCAACACCGCACTCTTCTTCAGCGGCGCCCAGATCTGGTTCGTCACATGCGACGCCGACCTTCCATGTTTCTTCTCCTTCTCCTTCTCCTTCTCCCCCGCCCCCGTCCCCGCCGCCGTAGTCGTGGAGGAGGACGATTCGGCAGAAACGAGCTGCGCCGCATGTTCAGTGTTCCTTATACAAATCTCCAGAATCATGCGCAACCACATCCCCATCTTCTCTCCATCCTGCCATCCTTCCCCCGTCGAGGGCGGGATAGTCACATCCAAACACCTCACAAACTCATTCCCACGAAGGCCTTTGGCGAGCGCCATCACGCCCGCTTCGCCCACACCCGGGTTTTCTGTGAGGTCGAGGTGGAGGAGGGATTTGGATTCGGGGAGGAACTCGGCGAGGGCTATGGCACCTTCGTTGGTGAGGTTTGTGTTTGAGAGGAAGAGGCGTTTGAGGGAGGTGTTTATTGTGAATGCCATCCGGAGCGCTTGGACGCCTTCGATGCCTTCCGTCACGCCTGTTCCTGCGGTACCGAAAGTGGGTGTTGAGCAGCAAGGATTGTTGGACAGATCGAGAGTCTCGAGGGTGGTATTGTATTTCAGCGCTTCTGCCAAAAGCACAAGGCCCGAAGGAGGAATGTTGTTGCTCGAAAGGTTGAGCACTTTCAGTGTCCGGTTCCTCTTCAGCACTTGAGCGATATAGGAAACACCCGTCTACAGCCCTCGTCAGCATTCTCTACACCAACACCGAATAGCTCCACACTCACGCGAATATCATTCCCCTTCAAATCAAGCGTCATCAATCTCCCAACCCTCTCCACCCCTTCCAAAGCCTTCACATTCCTTTCCAACGCCAAACTCTTGCCCCTCCCCGGCCCCCTCACACCCTGCTCATGTGCCGGCTCCTTCTCTCCCAACGCCGATTCTGAAGCAGGGTATGAATTCTGATCGAAAGGCTCAGCCGTAAACGGCATAGCCAACCTATCCCTCACACTGCCCCTCTCTGGCGCTCGATACCCCTCCGGCACCGTCTTGCTCACCACCCCGCCTGACGAAGTCGACGAGACTGTGGGTATGGCAGGTAGGCTGTCGCTGTCTTCTTTCTTTGGCTTTGCTACAGTAGGAGCGGGGCGTTGGGGGATGGGAGGAGAGGATGAGGGTTTGGTGGTAGGGACGGGAGGAGGTTGAGGTGATATGGGTCTGGTGGCTTTTCGGACTCTTGGGGCGTATGGTACTTCGGTTTTTGCTGGTACCTGCGGTCCAGACGCCCCCGCCCCCACCCCCGCTCCCGCACCCGAACCCGAACCCGAACCCGCGCCTGCGCCCGTGCTCGTCAAGCTGCTACCCAGCCGGTCCGCAAGTGTAACAGCCCCGCTATCCGGATAATCCCTGATCATCAAAGCGACCGCAACAGCTCCTTGCGGCGAAATCCGGTTCGAGCGAAGTGAAATATGGTGCAGACGGGAAGTCCTTATGCCTTGCGCTTTCAACCCTGTCAGTACTCGACCTTATATCACCCATTCCAGGATAAGACTCACCGAGCACTTCCAAAACAGCTCCCTTCAGGCCACACCCATCCATCCTCAAACTGACCAACGCCGCCGGCCCTTGTTCCTCCTCCGGGTTCGTACTCGGCTTGAGTAACGGCGCTGGCGGGACGAAGGGGGCGTATATCGTCTGGTCGTGTTCTTCTTGCTCTTGCTCTTCGGTGGTCGTTGATAGATTATTGGCGGAGGATGATTCGGAAGTCGAAGAGGAGGCGGTGGGTGCAGGAGGGGTAGGGTTCGAGCCGTCGAGAGATTGGACGAGGTATTCTATACTCTTTCTGTCCCAGACTGTTTCGGAGACGTCAAGATACTTCAAGTCTTTCGCCTATCCACATTATCAGCTCTTGACTCCACGATCAGATGAACAGACGTACCTTCTTCAGAAACACTGTAACTAAACGCCACCCCCCACTCCTCACCCTCCTATTCCCCTTCAGCCCCAACACCCCCAATCCTCCACTGACAAGCAACCCATGCAACACATTTCTCAACACATCCTCCCCCGCTACACCCTCTCCCACAAGGCCCTCTTCCAAATACAGCTCATACAGGCCGAACTGGATGGCCAGCAAGTCTGCCAAGGGGAAGGACGAGTGCCGGGTGAGGGGCGATTCTATGGGATGTTGAGGTGGAGGGAGGGAGTGACCTATGGTGGCGTGGGTTATGGGTCGGTGGACGAGGTGGATGATTCTGGGTTTGGCTGTTGATAATGTCTGCTTACTGTCAGCCTTGCTCATGGTCGCAAGGGATGCACTCACTTCGAGGGCGCGAACAACACCTATTTTGGGTCTCTCTTCTCTTGATTTACATGCTTGCTCGTACAAGGTGACCAGGCGCTGAGGGGTCCAGTACTCGGGGCCTGTGCTCGCTTCCAACAACTGTCGCTGGGCTACCTCGATCTTCACCAGTCGTCAACGATGTCCACCTTGAGAAAGAAAGAGACATACCTTCTGACGGTCCTCCAGCACCTTCAGCGACCACGGCTCCCCTTGCGACGATATCGGGTAAGTAACGCTCATGCTCGGCAACAAGAACGTCGCCTTCTTCAACGGCTGCTTCTTCTTGACCGCCACCACCTGCCCCTGCTGCCCCTGCTGCCCCGGCCCCGGCCCATGCTCCCCCTGCAGTGCCGAGCACTCTGACGGAGCAGCTTCATGTTTGGCAGGAACCACAGTCGCAGGAGGCTGCGGCGCAACCAGCCTCCCAAAGCCGAACGCCAACCTTCCGGACAAGGAAGCCAACGTCCCTCCCTGTCCGCCCAACGCTCTGGGGGTCGGCAGTCCCCTCATCTGTCCTTCCCCCGGCTCCCTCCCGCCACCCCCACTCGCTGCAGCACCGTCTTGACTCCGGGGATCTCCCTCGGCGTCGCCCCACACGATGTCCCTCAGTCTGTTGCCGAGGGAGGGCTTTGCGGGTGGTGGAGGGGGTTTGAGGATGCCCCGTGTTGGGGGCGGGGGACGTCTTCTGGCGGGGGAGGCTGCTGGCGGGGCGTCCATGGCTAACAGGGATACAAGAATGGCGACAAGTCAACGACAAGTAGAACACCGCGTCATGTCCGAGGAGCATACATACCTTACGTAACAGGCTTCTCAATACTCACCATTCAAAGCAACTCGGAAACTACAGAGTATGCAGAATGAACGATACATGATGATCCATCCTCCTTCTCCCATTCCATCTCCATCCCCATCTCCTTGATCCTTGATCCTTGACCAAGCAAGGCAGGAAACATGATACTCCAAAACTATTAAGAGAGTCTAATGTATACAGAAATAAAAAATCTATCGTACAACCCCCTCCTCCTCTCCCTTCCACTTCTTCACCATAAAGTCCTTCCCTTACTCTCTCTCAACCTTTGTGATACCCGCCCCGGGGGCATCGGGTTGGGGAACAGCCACAGCCCCCGCCAGGGGATCATCTTCCTCCTTACCCAAACTTTCCAAAAACTCGTCTACGTTGAAATCTTCTCCTCCTGCCCCTCCATCCGCACCCACCCCCTGTCCCACCCCTTGCCCCTGTCCCAACCCTGACTCGGTCCCAGACAAACTCCCATCCGCAGTAGGTAGGTCCAGCCCCATAGACCTGACGAGCTCATCAATACTCCCCTGCAACCCGTCCAACCCGTCCGACACGCCTAGCGCATCTTGGTAAGACTTGAGCAGCTCTGAATTCTGTTGCAGCAGCGCTTGGCTCTGGTTTTGGCTTTGAGAAAAAGATGAGGGCTGGGCGTGGGAGAGGGATGAAGAAGGGTTGGGTTGATTTGCCTGGGGTAAAGGGGAGAAGAGCGCCAGTGTGGGATCCTGCCCCGCGGCACCTCCGCCTCCGTTCGCTGAACGTCCACCGCCATTCACAGCTTGCCCCTGCGCACTCGCATTCAGACTATTCAAAAACATCTGCGCCGCCGCAGGACTCTGTAAAAGCGAGCCTATCGTCGTCTGCAACAGCACCGGGTCGAGGTTGAGCGACGAAGCGAGCGAAGACGTCGTCGTCGGCGACAGAAGGGGGGCAGATAAGTTGGATTGCTCTTGGACGCTCTGCTTTTGGTTCTGGTTCTGGTTCTGTGGTTGTGGGTAGGCGGATGATGTGGGTGGAGGGAGAGAGTAGTATGGCGCGAGCGCGTTGTTGTTGCTCGGCTGGAGGGGGTCAAAGTCTGACATGGGGGATAGGGCGTTGATGCCTAATGTCGGGTCGGACGAAGTGGGTCCGGGGGTGGGTCTGGAGTCTTCCGAAGGGAGGGATTGGAATCTCCCCGACGCTGAGGGGCTGTCCAGTGGCACTGAAGAACCTTCAAACATGTCAGCGCTACAAACAACAACAAAGAAACAGAGGTGCGTACCAATTTCAACAAGCCGATCATCATCATCATCATCCTCCACCGGCGACCTATTCGAAATCATCCTCTCCAACCCCACCCTCCTCCTTTTCTTCGCACTCCCCTGCGCCTCCTCCGCCCCATCACTACCCTCCCTATCCCTCCCCTGCCTCGCCCCCACCCCCCTCCTCATCGCCTCTTTCAGCCCCTTCAGCCCCTCCCCTTCCGTCCCAAACAATCTCTCCAAGAAGGACACGATCAGATCAATCGTCTCTTCGTGCTTTCGCTGCTTCTCTTGCGTCTCGTATGCCTGCCGCCAGAGGGCTTCGTTGGAAGCTTGCAACTTGCGCAGGTCGGCCGAGATGGTCGATTGCGTTTGCCGAATAGCGGCAATCCCATTCTGGATCGCAGACAAGTCAATCATCTGATTAGGAGCCACCAGCGCCGTATTCTCCCCCTCCGTCGTCCCATCCGTAATCAGATACTTTCCCCCACCACCTTGAGGCGGGAGCGCCGGCGCAGCAGAGGACCGTGTAGATACGCCGGGGACGACGGGCGAGGTCGCCGTCGGGGCAGACGTCGACGGTCTGTTGTTCTTGCGCGTCACTTTGGCCAGCAGCTGCGGTTGGCCGCGTTTGAAGTAGGGGTTGGCGAATTCCCAGAGCTCGACGGGGGTTTCGGTTTTGAGGGCGCCGGATTGGAGGTGCGGGACTTTGTCTGTTGCTTTGGGTGAGCTTGGATCGTGTAAATGAATGCAGGGCAAGACTTACGAAACCCGTACATGTTGAGCTGGCGTACGAAACTGGAAAAGTTGGAGTGCTTGAACCATCTAGGTAGCAGCTCCCTCCCAAACTGTTCTGAATTCGGTACTACCCCCATCGTCAGCCCTTTACCCCTAATCCCTTTGACGCAGACATACCAAAAAACGAATCCCCATTATCCCCCCAATAGATCAACTCATTGACCGTCTCATCACTAACCATCGTGTACAGCTTATTCAGAAACGCCGGTACCTTCAACACCTCCCCATGCTCATCCACGCTCAAACCCGGCTTGGAGACGCCCACCCCGGGCACGGCCGAGGTCGATACTGCGAGCGACGGGTGGTTCGCCGGCAGGGAGGGGATGGAGCGGAGGGGGGAGGCGGGTTCTTCGGGGGAGGGGTGGGTGGAGGGGCCGGCGACGGCGTAGAGGTTGGTGGTCATGGTGGATAGGGGAGCTCAGAAGGACAGCGGCGTGCAAGAGGACAATAATCAGCTTGCCGTTGGGAAATCTTGAATGGCGGCGGTCGCCGCACGGTGGAGGGGATGTTGGCTTATGTAAACGGCATTCTAGTAGTGTCACTGTAGAGCACCACAGAGAAGGGTGTGCATGCTAGAGAGCGTTTCATTGAAGGTGTGGAAACATGGAAGCAGGATGCATCGCTGCGGGCGACAGGAGCAATAAAAGAGGATTGACAAAAAGATATTCTCCATCAGGGAGTTGAACCCTGGTCTACCGCGTGAGAAGCGGTTATACTAACCGTTATACTAATGAAGATTCTTGTTTTGTAGTTCAGTTTTCTTGGAAAGGTCGAGAGACTCCAGCCCCTGCATCAGATGAAAGAAGCTGTTCAACTCAATCCCCTGCCCTGCATTCCCATCTCTCGCTTCTTAGTACTCTCTCCATATGATACCGAGTAACGAAGGCATATCGTTGGTAGGGCGTTGGCACAGTGCATGGTTGGACCTGATAGATATCAGTCTCCGTCTCGAGAAAATTTAAAAAAAAGTCAAGTCGTGCTTACGCCGTACTCGATATTGTACTCGTACCTCAACGCATCCCTCAACGTCCGCGTCTCGATGGAGCAGCAGCTCGCAGACTAGCCGGTCTCTCGCTATCCTATATTACCATTAAATATGCCGGGCAGTGCTGCTGGTGACGCTGCTGTAGATGAGTCAATGGAAAGACCGAACCCCTAACCCAGGAGACTTACACCGGACGCCTTCTGATCCTTTCTCTCTCACTCCACGCAAGCTCGAAGAAAGTACCACTCCCTAGCCGCTGCGTCTAGCGCACGATACTCATCACGTTGGCCGAGTGTGACACTTCGCCTTGACTAGCTTAATGTGTAACGATATACAACGATTCTACCCAGCAAACATGCTCGAATGGCACAGGCGCTCTTTCGAATCCTTCTCCCCAAAGCCGAGCTCCTCAACTTCAATTGATAGATATCAGTCTGGGTATTGACAAGGTAGCAAACGTGTGACGTCGTACTTACACCCTGTAATACCTCTTCGAATCCCCCAGTGCCTATGTCACAGCAACCAGAGCAGCAGCCCCGAGACCAGTTGGATGACCACTAGCTTGTATCGAGGTCGTCCAGTTCTGTAGGGAACGCTTCTACAGATGAGTCAGTTGCTAGACCAAAACGCTCCCCTAGGAGACTTACACCTAAGCCCCCATTTCCTGTTCTTGATGCTCCCGACTCGGTAAAGCTGGTACCCGATCCCTCCTTAACACGTACTTGGACATATCTTGATTAAAGAGGTCGTACTGAGCTTGGTCTCTATTCTTTGACCGGAAAAGATGTATTGCCATGGGCAAATCGGGAGAGAAGGTTCGAGCTTGTTCCTTGATGGCATTGAAGAATGTCTCCGTCTGGTTGATTAGATGGGGGGGAATGTAATAGTTGTTGATTGCGATAAGGACTGGAACTTCGAAACGATTCCCCCGGGAGAAACGTCTATAAACCGTGTCAGCCAAGCTCCAAAACCGACAGCGAAACCAGTGCCGTATAAATGGCTGCAGCAAGTTAAACTCACCTTATCAACTCAAGAGTCCCCACCAAATGATCCACTTGACAGCTTGCTTCGTCCTTCATCCTCACATGGACACAGAGCAAGTTTGTAGAGCGCACAAAGTTTATGAGGGAGGGATCAAAGTCGTCGAAAGCCACAAACCGTGGCCAGAGACGATCCATGACCAAATTGACAAGCCGAGTTATCGGCCCAAAATCACCTTCAGCAGGATGTGCTACCCCGAACGATCCTTTACGCGGCACCAATCTAGATATCAAGGTTCCGAAGGTTTTCACAAAATCGTCTTCATCATGATCTCTCCGCGCTAGCGAGACCGCGAAAGACTGATCAAGATAAAAAGCGCCTTCCGGTGCGAATATGTCCAGCTCTGGGAAAAGGACGAGACGGGTGATCCTGGAGAAACCGCGTTCCTCGTACCATCGCCGCGGAGCGACCTTCATACCAAGCCAATCCAAAGCATGGATAGCTTTGCCGCACTCCATGAGCGCCTCCAGATCATGAAAACGCACATAACCCACAAGGCGAAGAAGGCTGTACCTCCTCATCGCCACAGACGCCGTGAAACCCATCACACCCGGTTTATAGTGCCACCACCCAAGCTCCTTCTCCTCCGCGGTCAATTGCTGGATACTGTCGCCCGCCAATCCGTACAGGAACAGCTCAACATTGTCGGCGCAGAGGTCTACTGTGTAATATAGGCGTTCGGTGGCTTCTTTGCGCAATTCGGGTGATACGCGAGCGATGGTAGCGAGAGTGGGTTTGTGGGAGGTGTTTCGGAGATAATCGAGGATATGGATGCGGAGTTCGACAGGAAGGGGGTCGAGGGATTTGAGGGAGGGGTATCTGTCGGTGGTTCTTGATGCCATGTCGGGGATTGTGTAGGGGAGGAAACAAGTGATTGGACAGTGAATAATAAGGGTAGGTACTCGTACTGCGTTGGGCTTCGCGTCGCAAGTTGTTGTGAATCACGTGACCGATGAGAGAGGGCAGGGCTTTATCATCTGCAGAGTCAAGGAGAAGCTGAAAGAGGTTGGATAGTAGAAGCACTGGGTATCTATACCCAGATTGCCAAATAACAAATTTTTTTTCCATAGGGAAACGCACTCCGAAAGTATCGCGCATCGACCAACATCAACTTCTTTGGAGACGCGTAGATCACTGCCGTCGAGGAGAGCACGCTGAATGATCAAGCACTTTGCATCGACACGATATAAAGATGGCCTAAGCCTACCCCAGCCAAAAGACAGATACATTAATCCTACTCCAGGGACGTCGTGTCAACAGGCGTCCTTTTCAACATCTCCTTTAACGTATTTCTACCTTCCGTCTCCCACTCGTAATCTGTCATAGAACCCAACCACATATCCTGACTTTGTCTTTTCTCCTCTCCTTTTCTCTTCTTTGAAGCAGGAACTAGTCCGTTGTAATTTCTCGCAATACCCTCTTCTTTAAACCCAAAACGCCCAGCCGATTTGATCGACTGAACGTTAAAGATGACAGCATCGTACTGGACACGGATGAGTCGGAGAGTGTCGAAGAGATAAGACAGAACGAGAGACATGCAGTGGGTATTGACATGAGTCCGCTGATATCTAGGGTGGACGTTGATCACGCCGAATACGGCATCCTGTCGCAAACGATCATCAACAAAACATCGCCTCATCTTTCGCAGCCGACTCACCATGTATTCACTGACTTCTATCAGTCCGTAGACCCCTGCAAACGCATCCATCCCAGCATTTTCTCTTTGTTTATCCATGATGGCTAAAAGTAGACATTGCGGGTCCGATCTGAACGCTTCGATATCTTCCAACGCCGTCTGCCGGTTATATGGGCCGAGGTCGCCCATGACATTCCAAGAAGAATCCGGGAGAGCGAGGAACCCTTCTATGTGCTTCAAGGGCTACCTCATTTGATCAGCTTCTCAATTTCCATTGTACTCGTAGGATCACGCAGACATACCACAAACGGTTCTAACCGAACCTGATCAGTCTCCAAGAATTGAAATGGGTGGATAAAGTTGATATCGTACAGATGCATCGGCTTGTTGTCGAACGACCCGTCATACTCTTTATCTTCGTACAGATTCAGTACCCGGTCGCTTGTCTTGGGTCTTTCTTTTGGTCCTTCGAGGTAGCGGCGGCCAGCATTGGACTCTCTTCCTTCCGTATGTTGACCGATATTTGATTGTAGAGATTGGGTATGACAGTCCATGGTGGCTTGTGTGCGGGTATGATGATGTTGATTATGCAGCACAAGAGCAGCCACCCAGGATCACCTTATAATAGTATCCAGTCGAGCTTGAACAACGCCAAGCGGTGTATGACTAAGGGGCCCCGGTCGCTCCCGGTGACTCACAAAGGAAGTAACATAGACTCAAAACATTCCCAAGCGGACTTTCTGAGATACTCACTCCGAACTTTCTTAGATTGAAACTCCATAAAAGAAGGCTTCCAGAACACAAAGAGAAGTTCGAGTCAGTATTGCGGAGCATGACAGCAAAACGCCACTTCAAGAAAGTGTAGAGCGAGCTGAAAGATCTTTCATCGTAGCCAAACTCGAGTAGACTTGTCGGTGACGCTATCTTCTATCCTGCTGTTTCTTTATCTCAAGAACAGTAGATTCATCCCTAGGGACTTGGGGGATCAGTGACTCTGAGCCTATAGACGTAGCAGCTATAGCTACCGAGCAATACAAAGAACTCTTGTTAGATTACTCTAAAATTTATATTGACGGAACGGTAGACGAGGGTAGGCTGTCGGTTGTTTGGGATGATAAAGGAGCCCCGTTGACACTTGTGATAGAAGGTCTTGTACAGCCGACCACGGGCACTCGACCTCTTGAATGTCAAAGGCTAGTAAACGGCGCCCCCGAGCTGTGTCTGGAAACGGAGAAAAGGCAGTCGTGGGCTGTTCTTGATCATCAGGGGCAAATCGATATGGAGGGACTCCAACGGTCTGCTTTTTGTATTTGAATATGATTAGGTAGCACGTTACTTTACCCCAGGCTTTTCAGGGTCATATCATATCAGCCAAGCTCTCTTGGTTATAGAGAATGCAGGATATGTATCTATCCTGAATCATCTTCGGCTATGACGGTGAAGCTCGTTCGATTCCCATTCGTATCTTCCATAACCCCAGTTCTCTCCCCGTCCAGAGAGATCCACGATCGTCTCTCATCCTCAAACAACCCAGACTCCCTCGTCCGCTCAATCCCCGACAGCTGCCCCGTCAGAAGCGTGACCCTCGCTCCTTTCCCATCCCACACCAACGTCGACCGTCCCGACCTGAGCGACTCATCCATAACCTCCCTCGAAGACTTGATGACGCTCGTCACATACAGCGCCTTGATGGTCTCCTTGACGTCCGGCGATTGGTCTTCATCGCAGCCCAGTTCCTCGGGAGTGATCAATTTGATCTCCTCTTCCATTGCCACTTGCCTTTCGAGTACAGAAATCACATGCGCGCGCGCTAGACGGGCAGCAACCTCCTGCGCATCTCCCTTCGTATAAACCGGTCCCCCATCCGTCTCATCACCCACATGCGCCATAGCAAACGTCAAGGCATTCGACATCCCTTCATCAGCACTTTCCATAAAACCCCCATAGAGAGCGTTTGAGACGTCAATCTCTTGTTCGCGCAGATGGCTCACGGCATCATCGTGCCTCGATCCGCCTCGTGAGATATGTTTGAGGATGGATCTGGTGGGAGCGAGGACTCGTTTGGTGTTCAAGGGGTCGCGGCTGACAAAGTCGGTGCCAGTGTCGCGTTCTGGATAATTTGTTGCCCACTATTTTTTTTTTTCAACGCTCATCAGCACAAGGTTATCTCTACTAATGACCGACTTGCATGATGGCGAACCTGTGGCTCGACCCAAACGTCCATCCCATCATTCCTCCACTCTGCAGGGTCAAAGTCTTCATCAGTATTCAGAGTCACCAAGTCGTTCAACGTAGTCTGGCAACTGAGCAGCTGATTGTTGGCGATAGTGGAGTACGATGTTTCGGGGGGTATGGTGATAGCCCCTTCGTTTGCATTGGTATTGATGTCGGCCATTGTATAGAGTCAATTGATTGAGAAAGAACCCGATTTGTCTTGGTCAATTCATGAGGAAGCAGAGACAGGTTTATAAGGTGTCAGCCAGAGCTGAATTCATCCTTGCGTGGTCATTCTCCCCTCCTCTTCTCTTCTTCCCTTTGCTTCGACGTAACACCGTGACGGCGCGCATTCAATCCCTCCATTCATGCATGTACAAAGAAAATGAAGCCATTTGAAATAGCAGCGTCATGCATTGACATATATGCAAGGAGGGCATTCCTTCACGTCCAAGTAAGGAGGTGTTGATCCTTTCTCTTTTCTCATAAACACACACACGTCGGGCGACTGCTTATCGCGAGTCCATCAATCGTGCTCAGGAGGGGTCCCTTCTGGAAAGAGTACGGCTGTCTTTTTTTTGTCCTATTGCGACTCTGTGCATGTCTCGATGTCATTCTTACCCCTCCGCTCTCAGCCAGCCCTGCCGCTATCACCGCACCAACCCACCACCGGACCAACCGTGCAAAGTGTCTTGTAGCATGGTATTATTCATTCTGCATTACGCCATTCCCAGGCTACGGAAAGCTCACTGAGTTCCGCACAATCAGGCGTCGTGTAATGACACACCTTCCTCTGGGCATTTATTACCTGGCGCGTGAGAATACCTGTCAAGTGACTTTGTTTTTCTCATACCACAGAATGTCATCCAACGTTCTTGGGGCAAGTCGAGATGGAGGACTCCAACGGCCTGCTTTTTAGATTTGAATATGATCAGATAGCACGTTACTTTACCCCAGGCTTTGCATCGTCATATCATATCAGCCAAGCTCTCTTGGTTATAGAGAATGCAGGATTATGTATCTATTCTGAATAGTCTTCGGCTATGACAAAGCTCGTTCGATTCCCATTCGTATCTTCCATAACCCCAGTTCTCTTCCCGTCCAGAGAGGTCCACGATCGTCTCTCATCATCATACAACCCAGACTCCCTCGTCCGCTCAATCCCCGACAGCTGCCCCGTCAAAAGCGTGACCCTCGCTCCTTTCCCATCCCACACCACCGTCGACCTTCCCGACCTGAGCGACTCATCCATGACCTCCCTCGAAGACTCGCAGACGCTCGTCACCCACAGCGCCTTGATCCTCTTCTTGAACTCCGGCGAGTCGTCTTCATCGCAGCCTAGTTCCTCGGCAGTGATCAATTTGATCTTCTCTTCCATTGCCACTTGCGCTTCGAGTACAGAAATCACATGCGCGCACGTTAGACGGGCAGCAACCTCCTGCGCATCTCCCTTCGTATACACCGGTCCCCCATCCGTCTCATCACCGACATGCGCCATACCAAACGTCAAGGCATTCGACATCCCTTCATCAGCACTTTCCATAAAACCCCCATAGAGAGCGTTTGAGACGTCAATATCTTGTTCGCGCATATCGCTCACGGCATCATCGTGCCTCGATCCGCCTCGTGAGATATGTTTGTGGATGGATCTGGTGGGAGCGAGGACTCGTTCGGTGTTTAAATGGTCTTGACTGGCAAAGTTGGTGCCGGTGTTGCCTTCTGGATAACGTGTTGCCCACTGTTTTTTTTCCGCGCTCATCAGCACAAGGTTAACTCTACTAATGACGGACATGCATGATGGCGAACCAACGGCTCGACCCAAACGTCCATTCCATCATTCCTCCACTCTGCAGGGTCAAAGTCTTCTGCAGTATTCAGAGTCACCGAGTCGTTCCATTTCGTCTGGCAACTGAGCGGCTGATTGCTGGAGATAGTGGAGTATGATGTTCCGGGTGGTATGGTGATAGCCCCTTTGTTTGCATTGGTATTGATGTCGGCCATTGTATAGCGTCAATTCGGTTGAGAAATAACTTGATTTGTCTGGAAGGCAGAGACAGGTTCATAAGGTGTCAGCCAGAGCCGGAGCTGAATATTCATCCTTGGTCATTCTCCTCCTCTCTTCTTCCCTTTGCTTCGACGTAACACCGTGACGGCGGGCATTCATTCCCTCCATTCATGCATGCACAAAGAATAACGACGTATGAAATTGACAGCCTCATGCATCGGTACATATGCAAGGAGGGCATTCCTTCACGTCCAAGTAAGGAGGTGTTGATTCTTTCTCTTTCTCATAAATACACACACGTCGGCGACTGCTTATCGCAAAGTCCATCAATTATGCTCAGGGGGGTCCCTTCTGGAAAGAGTACGACTGTCTTTTTTGTCCTATTGCGACTCTGTGCATGACCTCGATGTCATTCTTACCCCTTCGCTCTCAGCCAGCCCTGCCGCTATCACCGGACCACCGGACCACCGGACCACCGGACCAACCGTCCAAAGTGACTTGTAGCATGGTATCCATCTGCATACGCCAAAAACCTTCCCTTCTATACACACTCTCCCCCATCTAGTCACCTTTCCCCTTTCCCTTTCCCTTTCCCCCACCACCCCACCTCCCTCTCCCGGCAAACCCCTAATCCTGCGTCTGCCACAGCCCATAACTCTTCCCCGGATTCGTCTGCCACAGCCTAATCGTCCCATCCTCACTCCCACTCGCATAAACCTCCCCATCCGGGCTATACGCAACCCCCAGTACCGGCCCATGATGCCCCTTGTACACCTCCTTCTCCTTCCCCGTGTCGAGGTCGTAGACGCGCACCCAGGGGTCGGAGGAGGAGCCTGCGGTGAAGCGGTCGCGCAGGAAGGGGTGGAGGGAGGCGGAGGTTATGGGGTGGGGGAGGGGGATCGTGACGGGGGGGTGTTGCCGGAGGATATCCAAAAAGTGGACAGAGCTACCCGCTGTAACTGACAGCGTCCCACCTCCGTGCGCAATCTCCATACTCCCCACCGCCTCTCCCAGATCAAGACTCCCAACCTCACTCAGCGTCCTCAAATCCCACCACCGCACCTTCCCATCTTCGCCGGCAGAGACGCCGGTCGTCCCGTTGGAAGACTCGTCCCATACGAGGGACTTGATGGTGCCGTCGCAGGAGAGACCGTCGGGTCTGTTTCCTAGGACGAGGGGCTGGGCGTCGGGGCGGCCGAGGTCGAATAGGCGGATCTTCTTTTCGTGCCCGCCCTATTTACCAAGTCAGCTTGAACATTTGAATTGGAGGGGAGGACGTACGGTGAGGAGATACTGCGGAGTCTGTTGAGGGTTCAAAGCGACGGATCGGACGATATGGTTGTGTGAGAAAGTGTGCAGGGATTCACCAGAGTATGTATCCCATATCTTGCTATAGAACGGCAAGTGTCAGCTTCCACCTATCAATGGTTCATGGTTCATGGGAAAGGAAAGGGAGAAGAAAGGAGGAAAGAGGGGGACGTACGCAGTAAAGTCGGCACTGCCCGTCACAGCCCTGGAAGTGTCGAGCGAGATTTTTGAGGACCAGACTGCGCCCTTGTGGCCTACCCGTCCATCAGCTCCATATCCCTTTCGTCGTTTGGAGGGAACGTACCAAGAAAAGTACCAATCCAATCTCCAAGCCAGCTCCGGAGCATCGGGTTCCCATCCTTACAAGCCGAAATCAAAAGATACGTCCCATCATCCAACCTTCCCCCCCTCCATCAGCTTTCATCCCAATCCGAATGACGCAAGGGGGGGGGAGGACGTACAGGTTGGAGAATTGCAGATGCGTAACGGGCCGGGTATGGCCTGAACATAAAAGCGGTTGGACTTTGATACTATCCCCCGCTGCCTGCCCAGCGACCTGGCCTTGGGAGGAAGCTTGCGTTTGGTTGTGAGCTTGTGAATTGGGGGATACGCCCAGGGTCCTCAGACCTTGCCCTTGTCCCTGCCCTTGCCCTGCACCGAGCTGGCTCAAACCGCCAAAACCTCCCATCTGGCCCTGACCAAAGCCGCCAAGGCCATGTTGGGGGGAGGGGTTCTGGAGTTGATGAGGGGGTACATAGCCACCTCCCCCGCCGCCACTAGCAGAACTCGGCTGGGGGGAGGCGAGGGAGGGAGGGAGGTAGGTGTTGTACTGCATTTCCGATATCGGTCGTGTGTTTGTTGGGTGTTTATAGTGGAAAGACCGTCAAGGTGCTGATCCAAGGGCTGATATATTGTGGTGCGTTATTGATATATATTAAAAGAGGTCGTTGAGAGTGGATTTGTCGTAGGCTAAAGCGGAGAGGCGGGTGAAGTGAATATGCGAGCTGGCGGGACGCTGAAAGTTGGAGCAGGAAGCCAGGACCCGGGGGGATGCGACAGCGGTGGGCGAGGGGAGGCGGGGCCGAGAGGGGCGGGGCGGGGCAAGAGAAGAAGAAGAAGAGGAGAAGAAGAGGAAGAAGGCAGGATGATGGAACGATTCACGCGCATTCTTCGTTGTGACGCGCCGAGTGCCACCCCCCAAAACGCCGGGTATCGCCGCCGCCCATCTCCTCTGTCTTTCCTCCTCCACCGCAAGCTGCTATACAAAACAACCCCTGCTTCTCTCCTTTTCTTGTCGTAACAACTCGTCCGACTCCGTCTTTCAACATGAAGCTCGTCAGGTGTGTTTCAAGCGTGCGTGGACACGGCAAGAAGCTGACAGGTGGAATAGGTTTTTGATGAAGCTCAATAACGAGACGGTCACGATGGAGCTCAAGAACGGCACCGTCATCCACGGAACCATCACTTGTGCGCCCACCCCCGCTTTATGTCTACTTGCCCATGCTGATATAAGAAAGCCGTTGACCCCCAAATGAACACCCACCTCAAATCCATCAAACTCACCCTCCGCTCCCAAGAAACAATCTCCCTCGACTCCATCGCTATCCGCGGCAACAACATCCGCTATTTCATCCTCCCCGACTCCTTGCCCCTAGATACTTTGCTTGTTGACGACGCGCCAAAACCGAAGAAGAGAAAGGTTGGGGCGGATGCGAGGGGTGGACGGGGTGGGGCTAGGGGCGGGCCTGGAGGGAGGGGAGCGCCGAGGGGTGGGCCTAGGGGTGGGAGGGGGAGAGGGTTTTAGGAGTGTATGATTATGGGAGATATGCAGAAAGCATTCAATATAGTACAAGGTGGGATATTGCGATGGTGTCACTGACGCTTCGTATACTCTTCCATCGGCCTCATCACCAATCTCTCTGACACTGCTCGATCTTCCAACGGCACTGCTCACCCCCCCTCTTCGCGAACGACTGTGCGGAAGATTCGACCCTTGAATCGGCAAGAGCTATCAACCCTGCAACGCCATAGGACTTGACGCCCAGAGATAAACACTCACCACTCAAGATGCTCAGCAACATCCGCAAAGACCACGCTTGCCTCAAATATAGACTTATTCCTCGACGCCACTTTGGAGAAACGGATCCTTCGTCGACGCCGATCTGTCGGGACCATCCTCAACCCACTCCATCGCAAGACAAGATGTACGCCCGGGTATCGAAATTGTACTTTCGCCTCTAAAGACCCGCCAAAGCAAAAACAACCAAAGATATTCATTCCAGATCATCAAACCTCAAAAATCACCCGCTCCCTCTACTCTACTCTACTCTTCTCGATCTACCGATAATCTACTCAATTTACTCGATCTACTCGATCTACTCGATCTACCCAATCCACTCAATCTACTCCAATACGGCTCTACTCAAAATAACTACTATAAGCATTAAGCGCAGGCTGCCCCCCCAAATGCACATAAAGCACATTCGACCCCTCCTTGATCGACCCTTCCTGGATAAGCTTGATCATGCCGGCGAGGGATTTGCCTTCGTAGACTGGGTCTGTTATGAAGGCGTCTTTGGAGGCTCCCACTTTTGTTTCCATTGTCAGCTTCTGGTCAATGGGAGGGGTATGGGAAGAAAGAGGGGAGAAGGGAGAGGACTTACAGCGCATAGCAGCAATGGTTTCGTCGTCCGGGATACCATAGATCCCCGCATGGAACCTATCATCCAAAATAACATCCTCCTCCCTAACCTCCTCCTTCTCCCCCTCCCCCACACCCTCCCCGAGCATCTCAAGCGTATCCCTCGCAATCTTCTCCACCTGCTTCTTCGTAGCTTCCGGTTTCCCACTCGCATCAATCCCGATAACCTTCCTCCTCCTCCCGTCCAGGATATTGCCCACAACCAAGCCGGCGTGGGAAGAACCGGTGACGGAACAGACGATGATGGTATCAAAGAAGATGCCCAGGGCGGCTTCTTGGGGGAGGAGCTCGAGGAGGAGGGCGGTGAAGCCCAGCCCGCCGAGGGGGTGGTCGGAGGCGCCTGCGGGAATGTAGCTGCTTTCCATCAGCTCTTGCCCCCCCTCAATAATGAAGCTAAAGAGAAAGGAAAGAGGGAGGGGGAGAGGGAGAGGGACGTACTATGGTTTACCGCCCTTATCCTGCACCTCTTTGAAAGCATCTTCAGTGGCTTTTTTGTGTCCGATATCAAAGGTCTCTTGGTTGAGACGGACGTCACCGCCCATAAGACGGGAGAGGAGGATGTTCCCCGTAGACGCATAGAGAGGTGGGCTACCACCCCATCAGCCCTTTCCACCTAATAGAGAAGAAGGCGAAGAAAAACGACTCACTCAATAGGAACCCACTTCTCCTGCACCGTAACACTCCCCATCCCACTGCTCTTCGCCACCGCCGTAACGGCCCGGGTATGATTACTCTGCACCCCTCCCACACTCACCAACGTATCGCACCCCTCGGCCTTGGCGGCGGCGACGAGATACTCGAGTTTACGCACCTTGTTGCCGCCGTAGGCGAGGCCGGAGTTGCAGTCTTCGCGTTTGGCGAAGATGCGGATGGTATTGGAGGGGGAGAGGTGGGAGGAGAGGTTTGGGAGGGGGGAGATTGGGGAGGGGCCGAACTGGGGTTTTGGCTCAGTTTGAAGGAGATGGAGGGTAAGGAGGGCAGGGGAGGAGGACATACGAGAAAGTTCTCTTTGGGGATCGAGGTGAGCTTCTTGATGTATGCTTCAGTCATTGTGCAGTGGTAAATGGGGCAGATGGGGAGGCGAGAGAGAGAGGGGAAGAGAGGCGTTTTATACAGAAGCCAATATCGGCATTCTCCATCGCGAGAGGCCGAGATACAGCCCGCACGAAAAGTAACCGAGTCCCGGCTAATTCCCGTCGCGATAAGGAGATCTCGGCTGACTCTACAGGAGTATTCGGAAGAGCGAGCGTTTTTTTCGGAGGGCCAATGGTGCCATTGCTCGTCTATTGCATTGAATGGTAGGGGTTATCGGTGGGGAAGAACGCATGTCACAATCCCATCCCGAGAAGAGATGAATGCGAACAGTTCTCATCAGCAAGCGTTCGGAGAAAGGAGTGCATTACCGGCGGTTCCCAGCCACATCTGAGAGTGGGAGGATGCAAGTTGAAGAAGGCGGTATAAAGAAGCAGTGAATGAACAACAAGCCATAAGAAAGTTGATCGGATATCCTCAGCACGCAATCATACATACAAAATGCCCGTGTCTACCCCCGCCGATAGCAATGCCAGCAAAGACAGTCAAAGCACTGTATTCCCTCCGGACAGCCGCATCTCAGGCGTCTCTTCTAACGGTGCCAAACACATGTGTTACTGTGCCATGCACCTACAGCCCGGAGAATCCGACCAACCCTCATGGACCGGCGGAAAACCAATGATCGACAACAAAAGACACAGCGCGCGTATCCACTTTAGCGACAGGGAATCTACGATATTCGAATTCCCATGTTTGAGCACAGCAATCATCCTCAGTTTCCGAGATGATGATCCAGCAGAGGACGAGAAGTTGGTAGGCACCGTCACGAAGAGCAAGCTCGATGAGATGGGACTGTGGCCTACGTATCGGGACTGCTTCAAGACTGCGACGGGCGTGGAATGGGGCCTGCTCGTTCATGGCGAGTTTGAGAATCTGTTTGAGGGCGATCCTATTATGGAGATCGATCGCTCGGTGTTGACGGACACGCCAACGCTTTGCGATGCTTATGACGACTTCTTTTCAAGCAACACTGAAAAGGAGGGAATAAGGGATTAATATCTGTCAGGGGAATTGTAGTTGTGATTATGATCAGCCTTTCGAGATGAATAAGACTACTTTGAAGTGACTGTAGAGAACGCAGCTTGATAGAACTCAGAGAACAGAGAGATATGCGTGTAAGGACATGTCACGGCCTGGCTGGGACGCAGCAGGGGAGGGGACTGGAAAAGGTGTTTTTAGAGGGGAAAAGACCTTTTCGGTATTATCGCATAAGGAAAGAGTAGAACAATGATATGAATTGAGTATGTACACCGCTCGTCCTTCAACCATCCACACAACTCGGCGCCAAAGCCACTTCAGGGAATTACTACGTGTGACAGGACAGGATAGAGAAGCAGACGACATGCTCCACCTAGTCTTGTTGTATACTGCCTATCATCAGACGGTCTTTCAACGTTAAAATCACGACAGCGTAGCATACTTTACTGTGACTAGCTTTCACTCTTGAAGCCTGGACCCTTGGTCAATGGAATCTTGAAGAACAGACTCCCTCTGATGATTCCGACTGCTTGACTCCGCCCCCGCAGACACGATCAGCCTGCGGCCGGGCCACGCCTGTTGTGGGAGGCCAAAGGAGAGCCCAGGCCGCGAGTGGGTCACATACGACTATCTATAAGGGCAGGGGAGGAGGACATACTTTACGAGAAAGTTCTCTTTGGGGATCGAGGTGAGCTTGTATGCTTCAGTCATTGTGCAGTGGTAAATGGGGCAGATGGGGAGGCGAGAGAGAGGGGAAGAGAGGCGTTATATGGAAGCTAATATCGGCATTCTCCATCGCGATAGGCCGAGATACAGCCCGCACGAAAAGTAACCGAGTCCCGGCTAATTCCCGTCACGATAAGAAGATCTCGACTGAACCAACAGTATTCGGAAGAGCGAGCGCTTTTTTCGGAGGGACAATGGTGCCATTGCTCGTCTACTGCATTGAGTGGTAGGGGGTGGTTGTGGGGGGGAAGAACGCATGCCACAATCCCAGCCCGAGAAGAGATGAATGCGAACAGTTCTCATCAGCAAGCGTTCGGAGAAAGGAGTGCATTACCGGCGGTTCCCAGCCATATCTGAGAGTGGGAGGATGCAAGTTGAAGAAGGCGGTATAAAGAAGCAGTGAATAAAAAACAAAGTTGATCGGATATCCTCAGCACGCAATCATACATACGAAATGCCCGTGTCTACCCCCGCCGATAGCAATGCCAGCAAAGACAGTCAAAGCACTGTATTCCCTCCGGACAGCCGCATCTCGGGCGTCTCTTCTAACGGTGCCAAACACATGTGCTACTGTGCCATGCACCTACAGCCCGGAGAATCCCACCAACCCTAATGGACCTTCTGAGAAGGGAGTATCAATGACACTTGAGAAGGCAACGAGGGTGAATGATTCTGAACAGCAGTTGCAGCTCCGCTGAAGCTCTTCTATATATACCATAAAGCACTAGTAGCATACAAGTACTACATCAGTTACCCAATAACACCTGTTCACAGATCCAAGATGACCAAAGCCACCGACAACACCGAAAGCACTGTCAGCAAAGACAGTCAAAGCACTGTATTCCCTCCGGACAGCCGCATCTCGGGCGTCTCTTCTAACGGCGCCAAACACATGTGCTACTGTGCCATGCACCTACAGCCCGGAGAATCCGACCAACCCTCATGGACCGGCGGAAAACCAATGATCAACAACAAAAGACACAGCGGGCGTATCCACTTTAGCGACAGGGAATCTACGATATTCGAATTCCCATGTTTGAGCACAGCAATCATCCTCAGTTTCCGAGATGATGATCCAGCAGAAGACGAGATGTTGGTAGGAAATGTCACGAAGAGCAAGCTCGATGAGATGGGACTGTGGCCTACGTATCGGGACGGCTTCAAGACTGTGACGGGCGTGGAATGCGGCCTGCTCATTCACGGCGAGTTTGAGAATATGTTTGAGGGCGATCCTATTATGGAGATCGATCACTCGGTGTTGACCGACAGGCCAACGTTTGACGATGCTTATGACGACTTCTTTTCAAGCAACACTGTAAAGACGGAATTAAGGGATGAATATATGTCAGGGGAATTGTAGTTGTGATTATGATGACCTGCCTTTCGAGATGAATAAGACTACTTTGAAGTGACTGTAGACAACGCAGCTTGATAGAACTCAGAGAACAGAGAGCTATGCGTGTAAGGACAGATAGAGAAGCAGACGACATGCTCCACCTAGTCTTGTTGTATACTGCCTATCATCAGACGGCCTTTCATCAACGTTAAAATCACGACAGCGTAACATATTTTACTGTGACCAGCTTTCACTCTTCAAGCCTGGACCCTTGGTCAATGGAATCTTGAAGAACAGACTCCCTCTGATGATTCCGACTGCTTGTCGCCGCCCCCGCAGACACGATCAGCCTGCGGCCGGGCCATTCCTGTCGTGGGAGGCCAAAGGAGAGCCCAGCCAGGAGAATCCCATCAACCCTCATGGACCTTCTGAGAAGGGAGTATCAATAACACTTGAGAAGGCAACGAGGGTGAATGATTGTGAACAGCAGTTGCAGCTCCGCTGACGTTCTTCTATATATCCCATAAAAAGCACAAGTAGCTTACAAGTACTACATCAGTTACCCAACGACACCTGTTCACAGATCCAAGATGACCAAAGCCACCGACAACACCGAAAGCACTGCCAGCAAAGACAGTCAAAGCACTGTATTCCCTCCGGACAGCCGCATCTCGGGCGTCTCTTCTAACGGTGCCAAACACATGTGCTACTGTGCCATGCACCTACAACCCGGAGACACCAACGAGCTCTCTTGGTCAGGTGGCGAGCCGCTCACCCCACACACGCCAATTTCACGTATAACCTTTAGCGATAGAGACCCCACGTTGTTTGAAGCGTCATGCGCAGGTTCGGCAATTAAACTTAGTTTTCGAGATGATGAGCCCGAAAAAGAGGAACCGCTGATAGGATCTGTCACAAAAGGCGATCTAGAAAAGATGGGTCTCTGGCCGACTTTCAAGACTGCCACGAGCTTGGAAATGGGATTGGAAGTTGATGGAGAATTTGAGAATATCCACGAGGGGAATCCAAGAATGGAGATTGACCGCAAAGTGTTGACAGATCAGGCAACATTCGATGCTGCTTTTTATCGCTATGTGGACAACCCTTGGAAACAGACTATGCTGGATAACTATGAAAAAGAGTAGCAGAGCGTTCTGTGCAGCAGGTGGTAGTAATGTTGAACATCCCAGTACTTTCTAACCATGTATTCTTGCTCCCGAGAATTGTCCTATCCATGTGAATCTCTGAAAAATCTGACATACGCTTGAGATAGACCTCCGTAGCTTCATTTGCGATGTCGGCACCTTGTTCAGGGCTTATCCCCAGTTCTGGAGGGGTGAACGCTTTGATCCAATTGTCTATAGCGAACTGACTCTTGAGAATGGTAATTATGTGTGTTCTTGCGAGTTTGGCAGGCAACAACGACACAGAAAAACAGTCACTAACGTGATTGCGAACGAACGGTTCCTTCCAGATGCGACTGGTCACACCATCTTCTCTATAGTGAGGAGGATCATAGTCAATTTCGGTATTCAGAGTGACAGTCTCGTTTGCTTTGGGTCGAAAAAGATACAATCTGAGTTTTTTTTGTTTGCTGACTCCCCTCCGACAGCCGACTTGTATGCCGTCCCTGTAGGAATGACAAAAAAAGGGGGGTTGAGAGGAGGGGTCGGTATCGTTGTCCGGCATTCTTGTAATGTGTCGTTATTGATAGTAGTAGGGGTACGAAGAGGCAGTGGGATATGATATACAGTAGAGTAGACACCACGTTATAACATTGCTGCTGAAATTGCTTTGCAGCTTTTGCCCGAGAGGGTTTCTCGAAACAACATTTTGTCATAATTGGCAAGCATTCTGATATTCGTGGTTCCCAATACAGAATATATTTACATTGTGACGACAAACGTACTATGCCGTATGCGTACGCCAGTGGCTCCGATATGGTCCTCGATAAGAGTCAATGGAGGCCTCCAGCCAGGACGGCAATCACTTAAAACAACGGAGGAGGACCGTGCAAAAGTGAAAGGATGATAGAGTGATAGGTAACACTCCTCGCGATCGATAACGAGGGAAAACAACGGACGACAAATGAGACAACTGCCGATAAACAACGAAACAGATAACTGTATACGAGAGAGATGACCGATCTTTTGACTACCGAACTGCGGCTGTCCGGACGCATATGTATACGAAAAAATGTACTGTACATCTCCCAGGAAAAAAAAAAACAAACAACACTCCTTCTTCCATCCCTCCATCCCTCTCCTCCCATCTCTCCTGAATCCCCAGCCCACCAGCCCAACAGCCCAATAACCCAACAGCCTAATCCTCCTCCTCAGGATCCTCCCTCCTCAAAAAACAAGCCACCCACTTCTCCCCCCCATTCCTCTCAACCTTCTGCCCCTCCTCCGTGCTCGTCCTCGCCGCTTCGAGGATGGCGTCGTCTTTCAGGTCTTCATTTGGGATGGGGGTGAAGAGGGGGTGGTTGAGGAGATGGTGGGCCATCCATTCGTGGAGATCTACGTTTTTTTTTTTTTTGGTCAGCTTGGGGAAGAGGGTGGAAATGGGGCGGCTGTGAGAGGAGGGAGAAGAGGAGGGGGAGAAGGGGGAGAAGGGGGAGAGGAGAAGAGGGAAGGGGAAGGGGAAGGGGATGGGGAGGAGAAGAGAAAGTAGACATACCTTTAACGTCCGTGACGGTATACAAAATCCCCCCAGGCCGGAGGACGAACGCGTACTCTGCTAATAACGCCGGTCTACCCAAATTCAGTTTAGCTTTTTCCAGTCCCAGTCCTTCCATCTCTTCCGACAAGACGATCAAGGTGAAGGGGGAGGTGAAGGGGAAGGAGGAGGAGAGGGAAAAGAAGAAGGAGGAGGAGAAGGACGTACGTGATGATTCGAGCTTTCTGCTTACGCGCCTTAAAATGCGGGTCCGGAAAGAGGAAAAACATCTTTTCAAGCTACAACCACCATATACATATCAGCACAATCGCTCCATGCAGACCAAACTCCACGCTCCACGCTCCAAGCTCCAAGCTTCACGCTCAGAAAAAAAGAGACAGAGAGAAAAGGCTCGACGTACCTGTCCCTTTGCAAAGAAATTCGGCATATGCTTCATACTATTCGCCTTGATGACCGACACATTCTGATACCCCCCATCCTTCTTCTCTGCCGAGTCTTGTGGGAGGAGTTGTTGGACTTGGCGGGTGGCGGCGATGCGGTCGGTTACGTATTTGGTTACGCTTGTTCGGATTTCCATACCTAACTCCTCGTCAGCCCGGAACTCGGAAAGAGGGAGGACATCGAAACGTACCGAGCATCAGTTTCTCCGGAAACATTGGCGCCAGTGCCATCAACAACCCCCCAAACCCACACCCCACATCAGCCCACTCCACCTTCTTTCCCCCGAGTTCACTATTGGGCGGGATAGACCCGTCGTCGTGGGGGGCTGGGAAATAGGCGGGGTAGTGGGTGGACCAGTCCATACGTTCGGGGTTCTTGGGGCTACGCGCTCTTAGCTCTTGTGTGTATGAGAGAAAGATGGAAAGGTACTATTCGAGTTCGTGGTCGATAAAGACGTTGGCATGCGCGCGTTGTCTGTAGAACCGTTTCTGAAATTGAAAGTCAGCGGCAGCTCAAGACCTCTCTCAGCGCGCTCACTTGGGGGACTTTCAGCAGCTGCACTCCCTCAGGCGCGGGGGAGGCGGTGGCAGAGGTCGAGGGCTCCATCTCGACGTGTTCTATCGTTCTCTTGGACATCTTGCTGCTCTGTATTCTCAAGAACTGTGCCAAAACAAAAATCCAAAATATCGCGTTGATGGGCGGGTTACGTAACTCATTCAAAGGGCGAAACCGCGATAATAATTTTGATCCCGCGCTCTGCCTTTTGATCTCTCTCTGCTCTTTTCTGTATTCTCCATCGACGATGCTGCTCCGCCGGCTGTACTCTGCCTGCCCCCACCGCCACACCCTCCGCCACCCCCCCGCGCCCCTCCCCCAGACCCGCGGCCGCACAAAGCCCCGCCTCGCCCTCCCCAAGCCCCGCAGTCGCCACACCACCACCCTCTCCAAGCCTCTCCCCGCCATCACCGCCGGCCGAGGTCGCAAACCCCGCCTCTCCTTCTCCTCCCACTCTGAAACCTCTTATCCGACCGTGCCCGAGCCGGTGCAGGCGCACATCCCGCGAACTCCTCGCCTGAGCTATACCCACGCTTCGCCCGCGCTGAACCATACCAACGAATTCACCCCCATCTTTCTCTACCCCGAGCAATTCAAGCTCCACACCGCATTCACCCACCCTTCCCACCCCCTCCCCTTGTTCAACGGTACCCGAGGATATACCCAGTCCAGCCCAGAGGAGGGAGAGAATGGGGGAGATATATTTATGAAGCCGGTGGCAAAAGCGCCCAAGATGGGGGGAGGAGCGATGGCAGACCACCTGAATGTTGTCAACTCTCTGCCCATGGCTTCGGGGCAGTCTGAACATGGTGAAGTGTTTGGGACGCCCGAGATGGACGGCGCGTCCATCACCGCTTTCCTCGAGAACCGCGCTAAAGACCTGGCGCGCGTGAACGACTCGGAGTGGAACAAGGTCATGGCGATGATGGATGGCAAGCTCCTTTCTGTCCAGGCCGAGAAGCAGGAGAAGAAGATGGAGTTGGAGAAGGGTATCAGCTTGGACGACGTCGTCGGAGACCTTGAAGGGATGCTGGCAAAGATGCAAGTGAGTCAGGGGGACGAGGTGCACATGGACAGTGTCAAGAGGAAGAGGAGAAAGAAGATTTCAAAGCACAAGCACAAGAAGAGAAGAAAGGTGAGTCTTTTACATCAAGAGTGTTTGGGAGTTGTAGCTGACCGGTTGATAGGCTACGCGCGCTTTGAGAAAGAGGCTTGGCAAATAGAAAAAGAGATATGCACCCTTTTCCCTCAGCCTTGTTACCTCCCTTTCTCAACAGCCCATTCCTGTCTAATATCACGTCGTCAACAATATGGATCCACAACTCACCGGAAGAAAAGGCATGCTACGGCGAGCTCCTTTGATCCATCAACACATTCGCTCGTTACCAGGATGGCGCCCCTTTGTACTTCTCATCGATCTGCAGGGCGGTCAATCTAAGACTTTTGAATGAGCCAGCACCCAGTACTAAGGAACATACCCCTTAAAATGATCGATTCGTTTCCAAACGCTCCGAATCGCATTCCTTTGTGTCGCCCTGCCTTATACCCTATACACAAAACCTGTCTCTTTCGAGTCATGTCGGATCTTTACAGTTTACACAACAACGGCAGTTCATTAGCGTACGACATCATACTGTCGCCTCCGAGCTACTACCCATGTCCGTAGACTCGTCCTCCCAGCTCGTCCTCGACGATACCTCGTCATACATCCTGTACCAAGGTGACGGGTGGTCTCCTCAAGACTGTATGTCCCATCCCCCCGTCCGTTTCTCGTTTTCTTCTTTTTCTTTCTCCAGCTGATTCTAGCTCAAGACGATGTGTATATCAGCCAGTACAGGAATGAGACGTTTCATGGGACGGTCGTTGATGGGGACAGCGCTACTGTATCCTTTTTTGGGACAGACATCCAGCTGTTTGGCGGTAAACGACCCAAGTAAGCTACCTCCCCTCTCTCTCTCTCTCTCTCTCTCTCTCTCCCTCTCTCTCTTTCTTTTCAGCACACGAGGTTTACTTACTACTTGTCATCCACAGCCACGGCTTCTACTCTGGCCAGCTCGACGGCGGGACCAAACAATTCTTCAACGGTACCGCCAAACATCCGGAGCTCTACCAACAAGTCCTGTACGAAGTCCATGGGCTCGAGAATGCGCAGCATGTGGTTGTTTTGAGGAATGAGTGGAGGCGGTATGCTGATTCTGGGGGGACTTGTAAGTTTGTGATTTAGAGGACAAAGGAGGAGGAGGAGGAGGAGGAGAGCTGGGTGAAGGGCTGATTTGGAGGCGGGGTAGATCTCGATCTCGACTTTATCGCTTTGAATGGGAGTATCATATCTCCCGATACGATCGCATCATCAGCGTCCGCCACGAGTAGCCTCCAGAGCAATAGCTCAACAGTATCAGGCTCAGAAACCGATCCGTCAGCTACCCTACCATCATCAACAGCTGCAGACTCGATCATCATTTCGGGTAGTTTGAACGCTATTCAGCTCGCTCCTACTGTACCACCATCATTAGCGTACGTCCTCTGTCCGTCATAGATGATGAGTGCGCGGCTGACGTCCAATCTAGAAGCGCGCAAAGACCAGTCAACGAGTATGTTGCCGTAAGCGGCGCCTTCTCTTCATCCTCGTTCAACGACCAATGTAGCTCGCTCGTCCTCATGTTGATATGCTGTTATACATTCACCTATGGATACATGCGAAACTAATCAGGAGGCATAGCTCTATACAAGTATGATCCCTATATCTTCGAGACGCATCTCGAGAAGGTTTTCTGCCCCACGCTCGGCTGCTCCTAGCAGGCTGTCGGCTTCGCCATCTCCTTTGTCGGCAGAGTCGAGAGGGTAGTTGTGGAATGTTATCGTGCGAAGGGATTGGCTGCTTTGTGCCAAATTTCTGACAGACGATATTAGCGACCTTTTCACGTAGGATGAAGAGGAAGAGACATACCGGACAGCGTGTACACAGCCTTCGTACACCTCACTTCTGGATAACGACGTCTTTGTCGGGATGTATATCTCAACCTCCTCCACAAACGTATGTTTCCCAATATCAGTATTATCCAGCTCCACCGACGCCGGCTCACACTCTCTAAAATCCACCTTCTTCACCCGCCCCGACGCCAGCACATGCGTCACAAAATAAACCAACGACGTCGACCATTCAGACGGCAACGCCACAAACGTCATGCTCTCAGTCTTTTTAGCGGTGAGGTAAGGCAGAAGACTCCAATCTGCCATCCCGCGATACCGCGGATCACGCTTCAAGCCAGCTTGTACAGATTGGATGAGATCAGAACCCCAAGTCAAACGTCCCTCCTCTCGCCCGGCATTGTGGAAGAGTACAGGCCACTCGCCTATGGACGGGCCCCAGGACCCTTCCGGGGGTGCGGGTAGTTTCAATGAGCCGAATATCAGGCGCAAAGCTGTAAAGCAAGCAAATAAGGCGTCGACATCTTGGATAGTGACGGATGTCGAGAGGAAGAAGAGCTTCAGCGTTCGAGCGACTGTTGATTGGGATGAAGACGGGTCGATGTTGGGTTTGTACCACTCTTCCCTCTCGCCCTCTTTGAGTCCATCCTTGAAGCCATAGAAGAAGGCCTCGCAGTTAGACCGGTTGAGGACTAAATCTCGATAGAGTAGAGGCGTAACTCGACTGTAGACGCATTTCGATAAAGGAGCCAATTTGGCAATATGCGATAGAGGGAGGATATCCAAAAAGTAATCAAATATGTGGATCCGAAGCTCGACGGGGAGGAGTGGCGGAAAGCTGGTGATCTCGGTCGCGGGCATATTGACGTTTGATTATAGCGCTATACTCTGGTCGGCTTTTGTATATCTCCAGAGCTCGAGCTGACAGATCGGTTCATGTCCATTATAAAGCGCTGATTTAAGCGCCGAGTTCCCACGTATCAGCACCACCCCTCAGTAACCTCGCTTTCGCTATGCTGTCGCTTGCCATCACTCACAATGGTTTTCTGATCAGAACGACTCTGGGTAGCGAGATAGTAGCCGCCCAAAAGACGTTTGGCAGCGCAGCACATTCTGGCCCTGCACTTTCCTTGTCATCTTTCCTTTCAGTTACAAAACACAAATGACGTTCTTCCTTTGCCCCGAGATGATTTCTAACTCTCCTTTGAGGGCGTCAACAACAAACAAGTCTCCCCTTTGCCCTATGGGGATCGAGATGGCAATCACCGGATGCAAACACTACGGGCATTGACCGCACAGTCAGAACATCTGTTAGCTTGAAAGGTGCGCTTGGTGAGCTTCTAATCATGAGGTGTTCAGGCATTGCCTCTGATGAGAAGTATGGGGATGATAGCGGTATATAAATAGAATCCTCGTTCAGGAATGAAATGGCAATTTGTGAGGCTGTACATACAGACGACCTTCCTTGTGCTGCCCACCCCAAAAATGAAGAACTTGTTGTTCGATGTCAGCGCGTCTATGCCCCGCGCTTAGGACAGCCGGATCGTTGAAGGATTGCCTATTACCAAGATATCGACCAAGTAAATGATCACCCCAAGCAAAAAAGACACTACGGACAAATACATTTCCAGACAAGGCCCCTACCCATGTAGTGTCATCATTTCTGACTGCTGACCCAAAAAGTCTTTCAGAACTTGATGATGAGCTGCTCCCGGCATCGTCATCCCCCTCCACTGGTACTTCCGTTTCTTCTTGAATACGATCTTCAGCGCCAGCGAGTCCAAGCATCTCCCGACAATGACTATAAAATTATGAGCCATATCATCACGTAGAGCCAGTGCTTGGATTGCAAAAGGCCATTCAACGTCCAGTTGCACGTGTCATTCAACAGCTGCCGTGTCTGCTACATCTGCCACGTCTTCTTCTATCGTCTGTCAAAGTTGATCGATCGCAGATATATCATTTCAGCAGAAAAATTGCTCAAAGATGCATCTCTTCCTCTTCGCCCTGACTCCTTGACTTCACCTCCTCCCACCACCTCCCCTCAAACCCCTCCCAAAACACCCCCTCCCCCACTTCCGCGACAATCGCCTGAGGGGGGGGGGAGTTTGAGGCTCGGGAACTGGGAGGCATATATATGCGGGAGGAGAGGAAGGACGTTCTGGATGCCGAGCATCTCTTCGATCGTATCTTCTGCTATTGCCAAGTCGGCGGCATCGGTCCATGAGTTAGTTGCCTGTTATTGGCGGCAGCGGTGGGGGCTTTTTATCGGTTCATGATGCTGGTATCGAAGCCTTGGGATCCGAGGCGAGAAGACGGGAGCCTTGCCATATGACTACTAGTGATAGCAGGGGCAGCACGAGATACCCTAGAGGGGTTACAGAGTACGTTTTGGGCGGCATATCTTGCAAGGGTCGGATGGCGTTTTCACGCTCGCCTTGAATAGTCGACCTGCAGTACTCGTAGTATCAGTACCCTGGAGCAGTAGATGACAGTGACCAAGCTGTAGCTCACTATGCTATATCCGGCCTGAGCACCCTCGGCGATGAAGGTTGCTGTGCGGTGCGTTGATAGGTGTTGTCGAGCACACTGTCCTATCCACTATCCTCGGTCCTTCGCCGCCGTGCTGTTGCCCGTCGATAGAGCTTGGAATGCGAGTGATGGAGACGATACTTAGTTGACGCATCCTCGTCGCCTATAGCAACTCAACTGTTGTTCATCTTTGAGGTGAGGAAACGGAGGTGCAGATAGTGATATGAAAAGCCAGAGTCAGATAAGAGTGATACGATAATACTCTTCTATCCATGCCATGTGTAGTTTCACCGCTAATGACAAAACTATAAAAAAAAAATCCCAAAAACCCCTCCTCCTCTCAGATCTCACCACCCCCCAACCCGTCCCCCCTCCTCCCACCAAGCCTCCTCAAACCCCCCAAACACCCCCCCCTCCTCATCCTCCACCCCAACAGTCTCCACCCCCACCTCCTCCTTCACTTCCTGCGGCGTATCGGGGTGCCACTCGAGGTCGAGGCACATGCCGCGGACGTTTCCGTCGTAGACAAAGGAGTGGGCGTGGTTCAGCGCTGGGGAGGAGACGTAGTCGTTTGAGAGGCGGCGCTATAAGAGGGGGTGGGGGTGGGGGGTTAACCGTTAACGTGGTGGGGGGAAGGAGAGAAGGGGACGTACGATATGCGTGAAAAGAGTACCCCGCTGAATACCTGCTTCCCCAAGATGTTTGAGGAGGTTGGAATGCACAAAGAGAGGAGGTTCCTTGGTGAACCCATCGGGTATGACGAGATCGTGCTGCAGGACCGAACTTTTTCATAGAGTCAGCTTTGGTCTCACACTCTAACCCAGAAGGACAAGAAAGAAGGGGAAGGGGAAGAACAAAAACTCACTGCCCACAAAACTTTCCCCCCTGAAACCCATTCATCATCCCCACCGTCCCCATCCACCTCGGCGAAACCCCAAACTCCAACCCCAACATCCTAAACGCCCACCTAAACGTATCCTTATCCCCCCCACACATATGGAACCAAAACTCCCTATCCCGCATCATCCCCGCCGCCACCACCAACGCCGCCAGGTTCATACCCCCGTTGCCCGCCTTGTCCACCACGATCTGCCCAGACTCGAACGTAAAGTGCTCGAGGGAACAGGTGTCGCCTACGATGCGCCAGATAGCATTGTCGGGGTGGTCTTTGGAGAGGTCGGGCCAGAAGACGGCGCGGCCGGAGGAGGTGTAGAGGGGCGCGGTGAAGAGGTGGGAGGGGGAGCGGAGGGGGGTGTTGTCAGAGTCGAGGTAGATGATTTCGCGGAAGGCGGATTCGACGAGGGCTACGCCTTTGATTTGCCAGTTCTGAACCCCTCACCGGTTAGCTATGTGGCATAAAAGGAGAAGATGGGGGGGGGGACGTACTTTCCAGACACCGTCGACTTTTTCGAGACCCTTTGCTTCGCGCAGGGTGGCTCCTAGCTTTTCGATCTCTTTGCGCTGGTTCTTATCTTGCAGTTCGTCAGAGTAGTGGAACACTTCGATAGGCAGGTCGACATTGAGTCGTCGGAGGTGTTTGATAGCGGTGATCGTCCTCAGTGTCGTATCCTACACCCCTTAGCACGACTCCAACTTGTAGATAAAACGACTCACTTGATTCCCTCCAGTCAAGACGATCCCCCTCCCCTTTCCCGTCTTCCCCTCGCGCCCACGTACCTCCTTCCCCCGATCCACTGCCTCTGACAAGTACCGAACCACATCTGCCCGCCGTCTCACAATCTCCTCCTCCGTAACCTCGTCCATCCAAAACTCGCTATCCCCATTATACTGATCCGGATTCACCAGCTTATCTGCCAGCTCCGTCGGGCAGCCGGCCTTGTTGGCGGCAGTCGCTTTTTTGTGGGATAGGACGGGGCGGGAGAGGAAGGAGGTGAGGCGGTGGGCGAGGGGGTAGAGGTGGGGGGAGGTGAGGAGGGAAGGAGGGAGTTTGAGGTCGGGGAATTCGGAGGCGTATATCTTGGGGAGGAGGCTGAGAGGAGGGTCGTCCATCTCATCCTCTACCTCCCCCTCTGGCTGTACCGGGTTCACCCAATCCCCTGTCCCCTTGCGGTGGCCGGAAGTCCAAGAAGACGGCAACAAGCCTACCCCCCCATCCACCGGGGACAAGAGCCACAGGGCCACCAGGGCAAGGAAGATGATGGCGGCATAGCCTTGAGGGGTGGGAGGAGCGATACGGCGGAACATGAGCGACTGGCGGGGGACATGCGAGGTGGAGAGGAGAGGCAAACGAAGAATGCATCGACGGACATCCCCGCATCTCCACCCACCCGACGCGTTTGGCTGCGTTTGGCACCTGTGAAGCTTACTCCTATAGTTTCCATTCTTGATGAAAGGAAGTGCATCTGCGCTATGAAAGGTGAGGCATACACCTTTACGCCTCGAGTCGACAAGGGCCGTGCCGATTCCAGCATTCACTCAAGTATAATACACCATGCGCCAATCATCCATCTCTCCCCACACCAACACTACAATGTCCTCTCAAGCATTCATCCTCCCCCGCGCCTCTCCCTCCCCATCCGAGGGCTTGGGCCCCAACCACAAAACCATAACCCAACTCGCCCTCGGCCGCCTCGACCAAATCGACCACCCCGCCGTCTTCTGGCCCAAAGACGCCATTCGCCTTATCAAGCACAAACCCCTCTTCGACGATGCTTCAAAGTACACGCTTGTGAGGGTTATCGGCGCTTTGGAGGCGTTAGAGAAGAGGTGGGAGGGAGATTGGAAGGGGGTGGTTTGTGGGAGGACGGTGGGGGAGTTTAGGGATTTGATGGCTTGATACTAGTGTTGCGTTACGCCAGGCATATGTACTGTATATTTTCTTTTGTGTCATCGTTTGTTCAAGAGAGTACAAAACCTATAACATCACCACTATGCGTGTGTAGGGTTTGATCGTCCCAAGAAGTCCCAGAGGAGCTCAATAGGCAAGTGTCAACTGATACAATGTTTCCAGTGCGCTCAGATGTTGTAGGTTTGCGATTAGTTTGATGAAGTCTGGGATATGATATGCGTACACGATCCAGATGAGACAAGCTCGATGTATGTTACTTGTAGAGTAGGAAAGAGAAGATGCAGACAACAGTCCGATGCGGAGCCGGTAAGCCACTTTGCTGTACTTTGCAATAGGCCTTCTTATACTAATATATGATGATACAGTTGCTACATTCATTTACTGGAGTTTGCCGTAGGCCACCTTTTGAACAGCATTGAAAAACACACCGCTCCAATGACGGCAGAGGAGCCTGACAAGGGAAGGGTGGAGAAGGTGGTTGAGACTAGGCAAGAAGTAGAAGAGGCAGAAAACTTGCCTGACAGAGATGTCGCTTCTGAGCCCACTATCAGGGTCAGCGACCTGCCACCTCTCTTTGATATGATCCGAAAAATCACTGCCAAGGTATTGTCCTTGACTTACGACTCGACTCCAAACTCACGACCCCTTAGATCAGCAACACTCCAAACGCAAAGAAATATTTCCGCACGTGCTGCGCAGATGAAGGGATAAAACCTCTAGCCCCCGTTCGATCTTCGGTACCATGGGCTCTGCATCAGCAAAAGCACAGAAGCGGGTATACCCCTAACAACAAAAAGTCAGTCTTGGAAGATACAACCATTAACTGTGTCTCACTTTTCGGACTTTGAGCAGCCACTTGATGACTCCGCGCCAGGATCCCCACCTGGTCTTGCAGATATAGAACGGGGGCTAGAGGTTTTATCCCTTCGCCTGTGCAGCACGAGCGGAAATATTTCTTTGCGTTTGGAGAGTTGCTGATCTAAGGGGTCGTGAGTTTGGAGTCATCCTTACCTCCTTCGTCGTCGCTATCATCAACAGAAATGACACTTTGATTAGTACTAGCCAGGGTTGGAGGGAGATTCTCCTCATCATCTGACTCACCTCGCCCTCTGGTAGATTGACCAGGGGGGAATGCTGCTATAGCATCATTGATGGCTTGAGCACTGATATGTCTCTGACTCATGTCGGTAGTTGGATGCTGCCGATGATGACGGGCCTATGGGTAAAAAATGGCCTGTCCTATGAGCTGCTTGGAAGATTCAAATTCATGCTCTCGGAGTTTGAAGTCACAAGTCTTGCTTCGAAATAATTTGTGTGGCACATACGGTCTCGGACGGTCCAGGACCGTCCCAGAACCGTCCCATGTTCGGCGGTCACCGAAGGTCCTGGATAACTCTACCACCGTCCGGAGATGGCCGCCTCGTTGTTGCATCTTGACAAATGTACTGGCAATGTACAAGTATACCCCCGCCCCGCCTTACGTCCACGCTCCCCCCACTGCCACCCCTCCAGCCCTCACCGCCCTCCCCATTCATCTCATCCACCGCATCCTCCTCCTCACCCTCGACCACCGAGCCACCCCGAGCCGTTTCTGGTCGGATCCCGAGGAGGAACGAGTCCGGAGACTGTGGGCGCTCTTTCGTGGGCTCAGAGGTGTTTGTAGAGTGTTCTGGCTAGGTAATCTGGGCAAAGCTGGGAGCTGGAACCGGGACTGATGCGTGGGTAGTGGCGACGTCGATACTAAGGACACATTACCTCGGCCCCTTCCTCAAACGCGTCAAACCGGGCTACTCGTCCGACCCATTCCCCTTCGCATCATCCCATCTATCGGACCCCTCTCTCTCCTTCGACTCGAGCGCAGGCGCAGGGGGGAGTGTGTATGCAGAGAGGGGGCGGGAGACGGCGGTGTTCGATAGGTTCATAGCGGTGACGGTTGGGGAGGATTTGAGGAGGGTGGAGAGTGTGTTTTCGGAGGGGAGTGGGGCGGAGGTGGAAATTATGAAGAGGTTGCAGGTGAGTATTGTGTCATACCTATACTTTCATGCTTGGTCTGTGGAGGGTGACGAGATGATAGCCGGCGGCGAGGATCGAAGACCTCTTATCGACCCTGCCCCCGCACTTGATAACACCCACCGACATCCTCCCCTCCCCCATCTCATCCCCATCCTCATCCCTGGAACGCAAGCTTCCGCTACCGCAAGCACTGGTTAGTATCTTCCTAACGCCGAATTGGGTGCAGGTGTGGGTGGATGCGCAGGTGGTGGGGGGTTTGGTGAGGAAGGGAGGGGGAGGGGGAGGGGGGAAGGAGATGGTGCTTGAAGTGAGGACGGCGGGGACGGGGACGTTGGAGGGGATTGTGGGCAGGGTCGGGGAGGGGTTGGAGGGGTTGAGGGTCGGGTTGGTCGGGTGGGGTGGGAGGGTTTGGTGAGTGGCGTGTGGTACTGGGCTTGCGAGTAGTGACGGCATGTACGAGTAGTGAATTGCACGAGTAGAAACGTTTTGTAAGAGTAGTGGAATGTACGAGGAATATCAAACTGTACTCGTACAAGTGAGTCACCTCCCCCCATCTTGTTGCCCGCCGGATGTGTCATGACGTTATATGAGGATGTACAGGCTGGCATTTTACAGTGGCTCGTCATGGGACATGAAGGTTTTGAGCTATGGCATATGGCGATGAAGGAAAGGTGTATTGTGACGGGCAGTGTGCGTAATGGCCGACAGTCTGAGTGCCCCTGTAGGTAGTCAACTTTGTAAAGAGCCTACACAAGCCTATGGTGCATGGTAATATTATAGAAATAGCACCGCAGACATGACACCTTGTTATATACCCGGGTTATGCGACGCCAGCAGGCGCGCGTACCGTACAGAGTCGATATCGGTACTCCTCTGACCCCTTGACAAGAACGCTCAGCATTTGATGGCCAGCCTTATTGCTCAAGCGATTCCAACCGCCAATGCTCGTACACCATCTCAACACTCGTAGAGTACCGGGGAGCCGAGCTCAACTTTGGTTCCGCAGCGGGCATGGCCGGGCTAACAATGCGACGGCCGGTGATGGGCAACTGATGGGCAGCCGTATCTTTCTGCGGTTTCTCCATCTCTGCATCAGCCGCAGCAACACCCAGCATGCCTGATTCGTCTCTCCCCACGACCCTCCATCCTCTCCCCAACGAAATTCGGCTCGTCATATTCCAGCACCTCCGAGACACCGTCGACAAGCCTCTCCTCGCCAAGCTCGCCCGCCTCTCTCAAAGCCATCATGCCGACATCATCCCTGTCCTATATCAACATGTCAGCCTGACCTCAAGAGTATCTGAACGCTTCTTCTATGGGCTGGAAGGAGACGTCGAGATATCTGGCGCAGAAAAGGCACGCTGGTGGAAAATGCCTCTGGTACAGAGGAAATCGCCTGCGGCCAGGCGAATCTACCTCATCGGCCTCGTCAGAAACGTCGCTATACGAGATGTCACTGCTCTTTTTGCATGCTCGAGGGCGATCAAGACGTTGATTGGGTACTCACTTCCTCTGCCTTCCCGGGCGTGGCTTGAAAAGCACTGTCCAAATTCTCTTGACCTCCCTAGGCGCGGTCATCACGCCTGGCTATTTCACGGACTGCAGTCGTACAATGGCTCGCACGATGTCGCATCGACCGATGGCCTTCATCTGCCCAGCTCTTTGTTCGCTTCTTGTGGTCCCACCTTTCCAACCTTATATCACACAGATGAATCTGGTGGTTTACTAGCTCGACCTGGTTCAATCATCAGTGTCAGCGGCTCACCACGCATCTCCTATCGGTACCCTCCCGCAAACTTGGTCGTCCGCATACTGTCACAGGCGAATCGCTCCCTACTCGTCTTGCACGACGTAGATCTGGAAGAATTTTGCAATTTCGAGCGAGGCCGTCTGGGGACAGTGTATGTCAGGATGAAAGAAGTGCAAGATGGCGAGAAAGGTCACGAGGAGCAGCTGGAACACTTGATTTGGTAAGTTTTGATTTGACCGTTTGCTCGTGCTGCGAATACTGACCTGGCTAGCAGCTGCTTTGGAAAATATGAGTTTCCAATGACTTTTTACATCGACGGATTTCATTTTCAGGATGGCGAGGGCCCAGGAGACGTAGTCTGGCGAATAATGGGGATGGACAACTTCCAGAAAATTTATCCCCTGTTCGGGACTCCAGAAGATCTCTCCCCTCGGCACACCCTTTATCTACCGCCCAGTGGATCTACAATCAAGGAAGAGTTGACAAGAAGGTTAGTCATTTTCTGGCGTGTTGTATCAGTGGTTCATATTCGAATAAGAGCTTGCACGGGGCAGCAAGAAGCTGAAGGGGAGATCTGTGTCTTTCAACTCTGAGTGTTATATAGAAGCGGTGAGTACATGACCACGACTTCTAGGAAAGACGTTCTGACGCTTTTTGATCCGCCGCGCCGCTCATCATTTCATCCAACGCTGCCCGGCCCGCCATCCAGATTTGTTGGAAGGTTAGGCTATCTATGTAGCGTGGCCTCCGTCTTCGTCGAATCCACTTGTCTTCGAGAGTAGTCTCACTTGGGCGTTGCAGTCATTTCAGAAGAGGTATAATTCTCTCGTTCGTTCAAGTTGCCCACGGCTACGGCGGCCGATGCGAGGCCGATGCGATGGCGGAGGGCCGAGCGGTATTTTGGTTCCGCAGCGGACATGCCCGTAAATCTGTTGTTCTTTCTCTCCCTCTCGCAAAACATCAAGGCAGCACACAAACATGTTCGCACAGTCCTTCAACCCTTTATACCCACAAGATAGTGTCAGCAGCTACGGCGACTATGACTCGACGACAACCTTCAAAGACCAGAAGCGAGATATCGCAGAGGTGAGTATCCCCGTCTTCGCGAATTCTACGCCACGACATCGATTCGGGGGCTGACTGGGAGTAGCTCAAAGAGGATGTCCAAGTCATCAAATCCCAAGTCACATCGATCCACGCCTCTCTCCGAAACCATCCCCGTCCCTCCAAAACAGATCACACCGTCAAAATCGACTCCCACTTCCAAGAAGTCGTTCAGATTATTCTCGGCCGTATCGAGGTAATCACAGATAGCCACAGCGCCAACTTTGCTAGGCCCATTCTCCAAGCGCTCATGCGGAAGAATGGGGAGCTCTCGAAGGACGACCGACTGAAATTGGCGCGGGTGATCGGACGATTTGAACATACGTGCGCATACTACGAGATGACACCAGACGCGAAAGAGCGCTATCGCATGGCATTAATCGCTATGTCAATACGAGACCTGAGAGAATTGTTGGGACATTGAGAATCTGTGCGTACAACGACCTTCCCGTCCCAGCCCAGCTGATCATCTCACAGCCTAGAGTATAACTCTTGATGCGTGACTTTTACTCGTACTGTCTACCATGCACTCAGTTCGTTCTCTACAAGTGCCTCGAATCAATTTCGCTACATTTCGGAGATGAAGACTCAGCGCGTTCCGGGTGTGCCCACGTGTCACGTGTAGGTTTTACGCAGTGTGTAGAGACGCCACTTTCACCGTGATTGCCTACTTGTCGTGTTTCGCTTCTGTTTTATCTTTCTCTCGGGCTATCTGGGCACTAATTCCATCACCCATCGTCTACTCAATAAGCAGTACGCTGGCAGCTTAGGACCAACTGACGATCTTGACAGTCGCGCCCCGCATCGACAACACTACACCCCAATCCCAAACCCTACATCTCCTCCCAAGTATTCCCTTGTCATCCCACCAATACACCCTTCAGCTCGCCCTTGGTCGGCTCGAAACTATCGACGACTCTGCTCTTGTCGGAATTCAAGATGCACTTGAAGGATAGGAGAAGAAGGAGATCTTTGACGAGGCGTCGAAAGGAATTCTTGTAAGAGTCAATGGCGTGCTAGACGCCTTGGAACTGGACTGGGCGGGCAGGTGGGAGGGGGAGGTGTGCGAGACGACGAGGTTGGATCTTCAGAGGCTACTTTGAGCGAGTTTGGCATCGACAATGCATCATATTCGCCTCGCGTCTGGCCTACAATCGTCTCGTCCCATCTTGCTCCGTCTTCTTCCCAATCACAAAGCGTACATGCAGTCGTTCAAATATAGGACAGCTTTAGGGTCGCCATTCGTCGGTGGCATTTGCATGCAGCCAGCGTCCCCTCGGACAGAACCTTCCGAGTCTTCTCCCCAACCAAGTGCGACTCATCATCTTCGAGCACCTCCAAGAGCTCGACGACAAGCCTTTCCTCGCCAAGCTCGTTGGACTATCTCGACACCACTATACCCATATCATTCCTATCCTATATCGACGCATCTAGCTCACTTCAAAGATGTTCAAGATCGTCTTTTTCCGGGCTTGAGTGTAGTGAGGAATATGATGCAAAGAAGGAAAACTGGCCCGAGACTGCCAAACTGTCTGATACAGGGAATGCGCGGTGGTGGGAAATGCCCATGGAGGAGAGGCAATTCCCCCCCCCCCCCCGCCAGGCGGATCTACCTCAACGGTCTCGTCAAGACCGTCTCCATCCAGGATATAGATGCGCTTATGGGCTGCTTCAGGACGATAATTACTCTGCAAATGCTTCCTTCCCTTGGCCTTCGGAGCATTGGCTAGAGGAGCACGGCATCGCTGACCTCGGTGAGGAGGAGGATGAAGACGATGAGGACTGGGATGAGCCTCAGCCTTGGTTGTTCTACGGGCAACACCCCTCATGTTCATCTGCAGATTCTCCTGCGGAACCTTCTTCCTCCTCGATTAGCAACCACTATCTATCTGCTACCAAGATTCTATCGTACTCACACATTTGCTCCATTCGAGCAGTCTCTCCAGAAGCTGTTCTCAAATTGGGACGCTGATCACATCTACGAAGAAGAGAAGGCAGGTGGTTGCCCGGCGGCCGAAACGCCCAGGCACTCTGTCTCAGTTTTCTCTCGGCCCCTGCTCGGCCCCATGTATCTTTTCTCTCGCTGATTCTCCGCTTTCTCGTCTCACTGTCATCCTGATTTCCCGTCACATATTGACAGTATCTCGTACCCCTCCAGCGTATATGGGACTTTCCTAAAATTACGCCCAGACCATCGCCGTTCTCGGACTCACCCTCCTCCTTTTCAGCCATCTGGACGACAGGGCCGACGTTGCCCAGTTCTTTGCTTCGTCAGCTTTTAGCAAGATGCCCGAGTCAGTCTCACGTCCCGCCACTGGGTCACAGTATCAGCTGCTCGTACGTATATTTCTATCAATCTCGACTCATCGAGCACGCTGACTGACTTCTCTCGGGCACCAGCCTAGCGCCCCCGCGGAGCGTTCCCAGATCACCCTTCAATATGAAGTCGTCAAATACTACCCTATATCCCAGCTTCTCAGCACGTCAACCCCTCATCCCTCATTCCCCATGACGCATCATCATAAAACCACCATCAACCAGATCATCGATGCCTTGTCGGCTCATACGGCAGAGGACAGCGTCAGCTTTGTCCTCCCTACCCTGAGCCACATTCAGAGAAAGGATATATTGGAGATGGAGGATATCAGGAGCATCCATAGTGTTTTGGGGCGCTTGGACGATTCTCTGCGGTACTTCGAAAACGAGGAAGGTGGAGACCAAGACAAGGTAGACCTGTTCGATATGGTGCAAGGGCTCAGTCGGGATTTGCTTGGTGGCGTCCCTAACCCTCGTCTGACTTCAATGGTCTATATCGTGCGTTATCCGATTGATCTCCTTGAATGATACTGAAAAGGCGTACCAACAGTATTACAACGTAACCCCTCACCAAACCACCCCAACCGGTCTTGGCGCGAGCATTGCGAACGATGGTCCTGTGAGTACTCGCCCTTCATGAAGGCTCGAACTTATCATTTCCCCTAGCTACCGGACATACATCAGGCCATCCAAAGCCACATCATCACCATCCAATCGATCATCAGCTCGTTCAAAGGCCACGACTTGTCTACTTCTCCCGAAGCACCCACAACCTCTCCCCCCATCTCGATCCCCATGACATACAATTTCCGATTCAATTGTCAGCAAATCATCAGCCGCTTTTCAGATCACTCTGACGCTGCCGGCGCCAGGTATGATGTTCCCATTTTCGACTCCATTCAGCAAAAGGATGTCTTGAGTTTGGAGGATGTTGGCGAACTCCATGGGGTTCTGAGTCGTTTGCGGAGTGAGTTTTGCGACTACAGTGCAATGCCGGATGAGGAGACAAAGACAAAGGCCATGATATGGGGAAGGACAATGCAAGACCTCGAGGCGCCGCTGAATAAAGGGCATACTTTCTCCTTGAAAGTGTCTTTGAAAACCCTGAACTCTCTTGCGACTCTTCTCAGCCACCCCACCCTTCTTCCTATCCTCCAAGCCGCCGCCGCCCGTCGCTCTCATCTCTTCCCTAAGGCCAACTTTGAGACTGGCCTAGACAACGAGCCAAGCTGGTCTGACCATGGCTGGGAGACCGGTAAGAGAAGAATCCGAGATGACCTTGTCAGTATCTGTATGGGATTTTGGATGCTGGCTGACATATCAACCGTAGTTGCCGAACGTGCTCACGGCTCTACATACCAACATGAAAGTCATCCAAGCCATCCTCAGCTCCTCACAAAAGTACGACTTGGCCTTGTATTCGAAGACATCCTCCACTCCACCCCAAATCCCCATGACATACGACTTTCAAAACACTCTTCAATACATCATCAGCCTGTTCGCGGCCCACTCCGACGCTGCCAGCATCAAATTTGCCATTCCTATCTTGAAAGCTGTTCAGACCAAGGATATGCTCGATATGGAAGATGTCGGGCAATTGCACCAGGCTTTAGGGCGTCTGGAGAGCGAATATGAGGCTTTCCATGTGGCGGGTGAGTGGAAAGGCTTCGTATGGGACCACGCAATAGTAGAACTTGGGTCACGTTTGTACAGTCGGTACAATCCTGAGCTGTACCGGCAGACGCAATCTCTTGAGGCCCTCAAATCTCTTCTGGAGCATCCCCTTTTCCTCCGCTACCATCCCTCATTCCGTCCCTTTGCTCCAGCTTAGTTTAGTACAGCCCGTCATCTCTCAGATCACTTGTGAGTGCTGGCAGGACGCCGTACTTGTCTGTCTTGGTGGATGATTGAGGTTCATGGAGCGAGGGAGGAAGTCGGCAAACTGCCATGCTAGGGGCTGCTTGAGCATACATGTAAGGTGAACCAGATATGTGACTGGACATGTATAGAAGATAGACAGACGTATCGCTCGTATGGACTAGCTGCAAGGAACCAAACATGATGAGTAGTCGTGACGTAACGGTATGGACGGTGGCCGAGAGAGTATAGATCCGAGCTTGCGTGTTGCTGTGTGCCCTTTTCAGCGTTCGCCCAATCATCAATATTCTTTGTTTCTTATGTCGCTTTCTTCCAGCTACAACTTCCAGCATGCTCGATCCCCCACAGCAGCTGCCCCTACTACCCTAGACACTCTCCCCAACGAGGTGCGACTTGCCATCATTGAACGCCTCCGACACGACGCCGACAGCCTCTCTTGGCCAAGCTGGCCCGCCTATCTCGACAACATTATGCCGACCACATCCCTCTCCTGTATCAACATGTCGAGCACACCGCCGACAATACGCAGCTGTTCTTTTCCGGGCTAGAAGCATGTTTTGATATGTTTGAAGATGAGAAAGCGCAGTGGTGGGATATGCCATGGGAGGACAGGAGGTCGCCACCCTCAAGACGAATATACCTTAGCGGATTGGTCAAGCACGTCGTCATTACCGGTGAAAGTGCTTCCAGCTAATGTCTTTGGGCGCGTTATTCGCTTCTTTCCCCAGATCAGCTCTCCTTGGTGAAGACTTCAGAAGCGTCGATGAGCGCGATAGGGGACCGTGGCTGCTCCAAGGATTGATTTGAGGAATGTCACAAGAAGTAACTCGAGGGCTTTCTTGTGTAAGTATTGAAAACGTATGCCACGAACATAGCTTGTGAGCTTACAGAGATGACAACCTTACTGCACAAGACTGGTGGCCCAAAGACGCCTTCATTGACGACTTCCATTTCAACGACGGCGAGGGTCCGGATGAGGTGCTCTCGCGATTGATGGAGAGACTGGCACAGGACAATCTCGGGCATCTGATTACTCTCCATCTCCCGCCAAGTGGATGTACAGTGGCGGAAGAGCTGTCTCGATTGTGAGTTGTTCTATAGTGCGCAGTGCCATCGGCTCATACCCTCACAGACGCTCGCAGTGAGCAAGTACTAAATATCTGGAAAGACCTTTGTGTTTGACTATCGGATTGTTGCATGTACAGTATCGGTGAGTACGCAATCACGAACTCTCAAACCAGCACCCAGTAAACACGATACTGATCTCCTGTTCCAGATCACTTGTTTATCCCTCATACATCATACTCAGACCCCTTCTATCTTCATCACCCTGAACCCCTCCAATCCCCAAGTGTACCACCATCGAGCGAAGAATATGATAGTCGAAGACGTGGGAGAGGGTTGAGGTGTGAGAAGAGAAGGTCCGGGCTCGAGAGGAGGCTCGGGGGCGAGACGACACCTGCCCTGGAGACTATGGAGAAAGGATCGGCGAGCGGGTAGGGAGATGTGACGAGTGGGAGTGGTCAGGTTGATCAGATAAGACTGGGAAGGCGGGGGGCGTTGCTCTTTGGGCTTGGTACGAAGGAGATGTAGATGATAGGACTGCATGCTGCATGAACGGAGGTCATGGGTGGTACTGGCGTGACATCCCAGAGCGTCATCGGCGTCGCCTAAGGGATTCCGAGGATAGGGTTTGGTGATGAATAGCGGGGAGGTTGGACGTTCCGCGCGAATGCCAACGCCGAGGTAGCGGGTGGACGCTCAACTTTAGATTTTCGCAAAACGTTGCATACATGACATGAGACTACGAGAATATACGACTGCACAGAGTAGAGTGGTATATATAAGAGCCTAGGCTTAGGATATAATTCTCTAAGGACGCAATAAGTAACTAGATGGGTAAGAGCCTGAACGAAATGAAAACGCAATATGAAAGGAGATAAAAGAAGGCATACTGTGGACGCAACGCGCAGCCGCCCAAACGACATGGACGGGAGCTTCCTCGTGCTGCTCTTGGCTGCTGACCTTCTCAATACCTTGGTCACGGCCGAGAACCTCGGCAGTGAAGGTGGTGTGAGGCTTCCACCCAGGAGAGTGTCGGGGAGAGCCGCACTCCTCCATCATCCTGTCAACCTGCTCGAGGGTAAGACCCTTGGTCTCCCAGACGAAGAAGTAGGCGTAGATGAAGCAGATAACACAGGTGGAACCCCAGATGAAGAAGACCTTGGAGCCGAGGTTGCCTTGGTCGGTACCGACCATGTAAGGGGTGATGACGGCGATGATACAGCTGCAAACGAGTTAGCTGAGCTCGTACGAAAGAAAGACGGGGTGGACTTACTTCCAGAAGGAAGGAATAAGCGTAGATAAAGCAGATTGCACAGGTGGAACCCCAGATGAAGAAGACCCTGGAGCCGAGGTTGCCTAATGTTGAGGTCTGACGGTTGCGGGTGGCCGTCTGTATAAGTACGCCGGCCCAGCCTTCTGGATTATTGGCGCCTTTCTCTGGTTCCCCAGCCCTATCGCCGCCTGGAACAGGGTACCGGGCGCTGAGTTGATGTCGAGGTGCTGACTTGAGCTGTCGATGACCTGTCAGCATCGGTGCGAATGGTGGCTGACGAAAGGACTCACCACTTCTCCTCCTTGGGCATGGACCAGCCCTTGGGGCAAGTGAGGCTATTCTCGGGTCTGTGAGAGTGTCAGCAACGCGTGGGGTAGACAACCAACATGGGACTCACTCGGTACGATTGTCGTCAGAACAGCCGAAGACCTTGCCAAGGAGCTCGCTGAGAGAGTCGCCCTTGTTGGAGCACTGGTCGCGGAGGCTAGAGGGAGCACCCTGCCTGAGGCCGAGGCCGAGGCTGACACCGACGTTGACTTGGCCACCCGAGCCGAGACCGAGGCCGTTGGCGGCGACGTAGCGGGCGAGTGCGAAAAGAGAGAGGGCGTTACCAAAGATCATTGTGGGTGATGTAAAGAGGGTAGGTAAGGAAAGACTGTGGGTTGAATGTGGGTGGTTGGGGGAAAAAATAAAAAAAAATTGTGGGTGGGGAAAAGAGAGAGAGAGATAGAATTGGGGAGACTTATATGTCTTTGCTGGGGCGGGTGACGTTGTTGATCGGGCCTTGCCGCAAGGGTGGAGGCTTCTCTTCTGGCCATCGCCAGCCACCACTTTCAGCGGGGTATAAACATGTTAGCTTGAGCATTGGGCATTCTGAGCATGCTCTGAACATACCGTGTAGTTTGCCATACCATACTAGAAGAGACTCCGGCGGTGAGACGTCGAGCCCTTCGTTCTTGGCGTCGGTGCTCTCGTCGCGTTCCACTCACTCAACCCTCCCCCGTCTCAGCCATGACAGCACCTCGAATGTATGTTTCCCGTTTCAGTACTATTCAACTCCACCTACCCCGGCTCACACTCTTGAATACTCACCTTCTTCACCCGCCCCGACGCCAGCACATGCGGCACAAAATAAACCAACGACGTCGACCATTCAGACGGCAACGCCACAAACGTCATACTCTCAGTCTTTCTAGCGGTGAGGGAGGGTAGAAGACTCCTACCTGCCATCCCGCGATACTGCGGATCCCGCGCCAAGCCAGCTTATCAGACGAGACCAGAACTGTGGCGGTGTCCGGAGACAGAGCACAAGCTATGGTCTAATAAGTCTGGGGTAGAGTCCGGAGCGTCCTGCATCTCTCTGGGTTAGGCTGGGGCGAGTGCAGCGAGCGATGTGCGAGTGGTGCGAGGCGTAGCCGAGGAAGTAGAAGAGATAGAATAAGGATAGCCAGGAGGTTCTTCTCTAGGTGTAAAAGCTGTAGGGAAGAGAAAGCTCCTGGGTCTCCGACATGCATCAGGGCCTACGGACGGAAACGGAAATGGAAACGGAACAAAGGTATTGCCGTGACGCCGGGAGTGTGGTGTTGGTGGATGGCATGTGGCGGTCACGCTACATCACCCCCTCCCCGGGAGAAAAGACTCGTCCCGAGGCGTCAACATAGCGAAAAGAAAGAAAAGAACCGTAGCCAGAAGAAAGCGAAAACCAAAACGTAAACCACGACAACAGAGAGGGGGATGCTATGCACCTAGAACAGAGAGACGCGATGCATCATGAGAAGAGAGAGATGCTCTGCATCTGGACGGAGGAGACGCTATTCATCCAGTCATCGGGGACGTTGGGCTTTGGTGTTGGAGTTGAAGGAAGGACGTTGGTGGGGGGCACCGTTGTAGCGCGCCTGCCGCCACACTCCATGAACCGCCACACCTCGTATCGCCGAAGGTCTGTCCTCGTGGTCTATCAGGGCCACCCGCCCTAATAGACCCTTTATTCCCAGTAGTCCCTAGGTTTTCTCTTGTTGTGTCGCTAGAGTTCCCATGCATATAAGACAGAGGTTTGGGGACATCCCCATCCTCATTCTCTTTTATCTCTGCCTTACTTACCCAGTATACGTTGAGCCTCCCTCATCCGTATAGTCTACGCATATTATATCTCGGTCTTCACGAACTAATCACAAGCCCGCAACAACTGAGCGCACTCGAAACATCATATTGGTTGACTCTTGCTCATTGAGCCCTTCTGGGACTTCTTGGGACGGTCTAACTCACTACAACCGTGGGGTCGGCTGGGACCAACAATAAGTGACCGGTTGTCGATGTGGTTTCGGTGGATACCGTTCGACAAACCGTGCCAGGAGGAGCGGGCGATCTGGGCGAGAGCTTCGGTGGCTGCCCACGACCAGGAGGGGGGTGGGGAGCGCCAGAATTCCATAACCAGGCGCTTCGCGGCGGGCATGAGGTTAAATTCGTGCTGACGGAGCGGAGCGCGATCAGGGTTGTCGAGATAGGTGAATTTGTAGCTCCAGAAGCCGGGGAGCGTCCAGCAGACGTCAGCGAGGACAATCTTCATGGCGTAGACAAGGCAACCGTTAATACGGTCGTAATCGGGGTGGAGCGCACTATCGTCGTAGTGTAGGGGTGGCTCATAATGGACATGATGTCGGGGTGGTGGTGTGCGGTAAGCGGCACGAGCGGGCGGGTGTGCGCGGTAGGGCGATCGAGAACGAGAGTCTCGACGGCTACGGCGGAAGTCGCGGCGTGGCGTCCGCGGGGCTGGGGAGCGGGAGCGCGAGCGCGAACGGGAGCTATAACGCGTACTGTAGGGAGAGCGCGATCGCGAGCGAGAGGAGAAACGCGAGACCGAACGCGAAAGAGACAGCGAGCGCATCGGCAGCTCGACATCATGTCCATTATGAGCCACCCCTACACTACGACGATAGTGCGCTTCACCCCGATTACGACCGTATTAACGGTCGCCTTAGTTGTGGCGGTGTCCGGAGACAGAGCACAAGCTATGGTCTAATAAGTCTGGGGTAGAGTCCGGAGCGTCCTGTATCTCTCTGGGTTCGGCTGGGGCGAGTGCAGCGAGCGATGTGCGAGTGGTGCGAGGCGTAGCCGAGGAAGTAGAAGAGATAGAATAAGGATAGCCAGGAGGTTCTTCTCTAGGCGTAAAAGCTGTAGGGAAGAGAAAGCTCCTGGGTCTCCGACATGCATCAGGGCCTACGGACGGAAACCCAAACGGAAACAAAACAGAGGTATCGCCGTGACGCCGGGAGTGTGGCGTTGGTGGATGGCATGTGGCGGTCACGCTACAAGAACCCCAAGTCAAACCTCCCGTCTCTCGCCCGGCATGATGTTAAGAGTACAGGCCACTCGCCTATGGACCGGGCCCCAGAACCCTTCCGGGAGGCGCGGGTAGTTGGATAAGCCAAAGATCAGGCGCAAAGCGTTAAAACAAGCAAACAAGGTGTCGACACCTTGGACAGTGACGGATGTTGAGAGGAAGGATAGTGTCAGCGTTCGAGCGGCTGTTGATTGGGATGAAGACGGGTCGATGTTGGACTTGTACCACTCTTCCCTCTCGCCCTCGTCGAGATCACCCTTGAAGTCCTGACAATAACTATAAAACCATGTACGTATGTAGAGCCAGTGCTTGAACTGCAAAGGCCATTGCCATTCCACGTTCAGTTGTACTTGTCATTCAACAGCTGCCGCATCTGCTCCATCTGCCACGTGTGCTTCTATCGTCTGTCAAAGTTGATCGATCGCAGATATAAGATCCCAGCAGGAAAAACGCTCAAAGATGCATCTCTTCCTCTTCGCCCCTGACTCCTCGACTTCACTATTCCCCAACCTTCTCTCCCTCCTCCCACCACCTCCCCTCAATCCCCTCCCAAAACACCCCCTCCCCCCCTTCCTCGACTCTCCCCATCTCGATCCCCAGCCGCCTAAACGACATGGGCCGGAGCTTCCTCGTGCTGCTCATCACTGCTGACCTTCTCAGTACCCTGGTCTCGGCCGAGAACCTCAGCAGTGAAGGTGGTGTTAGGCTTCCACCCAGGAGAGTGTCGGGGAGAGCCGCACTCCTCCATCATCCTGTCGACCTGCTCGAGGGTAAGACCCTTGGTCTCCCAGACGAAGAAGTAGGCGTAGGCGAAGCAGATGACACAGGTAGAGCCCCAGATGAAGAAGACCTTTGAGCCGAGGTTGCCTTGGTCGGTACCGACCATGTAAGGGGTAATAACGGCGATGATACAGCTGCAAACAAGTTAGCTGAGCTCGGACAAAAGAAAGACAGGGTGGGCTTACTTCCAGAACCAGTTGGAGGCAGTGGAAAGACCAACACCACGAGATCGGATGGGAATGGGGAAGATCTCACCGATGCAGACCCAAGCACCAGGTCCCCAAGTAGAAGCGAAGAGGGAGATGTAAAGACAGATGAAGGAGATCTGAGCCTTGACGACGGTAGAGTCTCCGGGCTTGGCCACACCGATGATACCTACGATGAACTCGCAGATCAACATACCGAGGGCACCCCAGATGAGGAGAGGTCGTCGACCGAATCGCTCGATGGTCCAGAAGGAGATGGGGGTAGAGCAGACGTTGACGAGGGTGGTGATGAGGGAGATGAGGAAGGGGTTGGAAATGGTGCCAAGGTCGGTAAAGAAAGTAGTACCGAAGTAGAAGATGAAGCTGATGATTGATAGTCAGCTATGATTGAGCGGAAGGTCATAAGATACTCACTTGACACCAGTCCATTGCTGCATCATTTGGAGAGTAATACCGAGGATAGTTCGACGAAGGTTAGACTGGGGGTTCTTGATACCACCAGTGAAACAAGCAGCCCAAGAGCCCAAGTAGGTTTGGTTAGGGATAAGCTCAGACTCGTACTCGTGGTTGGCGACAATCTCGCTGATCTCATCCTTGATGTAGTCGGACTCGACCGGCTGGCCTCGGACACGGGCAAGGGCCTTGGTAGCCTCCTCAACCCTGCCCTTTTTGACGTACCATCGAGGGGACTCGGGCAAAAGCAAGAGACCTGTACCCAAGATGAGACTACTTCGCGTCAGCTCAAGTCACGGAAGCGGAATGAAAGACACTCACGCCCAAGCAAACTGAAGAGCGATGGGGATTCGGTAAGAGCCACTGTCGGTACGGTTCTCGGTAGCGTAGCACACGCAACTTGCGAGGAGAAGACCGATGGTGATACAGAATTGATAACCGGAAACGATGGCGCCTCGGACCTTTCGGGGGGCGATTTCCGACATGTAAAGGATGATGATGGCGGAAATGAATCCGACACCGAAACCGGAGATCAGACGTCCCGCAACGAGCTGGGATGGTCAGTAAGGTCAAAGAGCGCTGAGAATAAAATGAGACATACGAGGCCAAGGGCAGTACTGGCAGTCTGGAGGATACAGCCGACAATGAAGACACCACAACCGGCAACAATGGTGATACGTCGACCGAAGAATTCGGCCAAGTCACCAGCGATGATGGCTCCGAAAAAGGTACTGAAGTATCGTTAGCGGAATCGCAATGTCGCCCCCAGAAACTAACCCAGCGGAAAGAATAGAGGTAATCAAAGACTTCTTCCAGGCAGGAATGGCAAACGCAGTAATCTCGGCGGCGGTAGCGTTGGGACCCGGAATGGGAAGACCAGTCATCATGTTGACAAAGTAGTCCATTCCGAGGACACCGTTCATGTAACCAGAGTCAAATCCCTACACTCGTGTCAGCACACTCAATGCAAGTGGTGGAGGCGGAACGACGTACAAAGAAGATACCACCAAGAGAAGCGAAAACACAGAGAAGGTAAGCCTTCAACGTGACGGGGGCTTCAACCCGCTCGGGCGAGGTGTTGTTTGTGAGGATGTCGGAACGCCCTCGAAGGGAAGATGTTTTGGTCACTGCACATACTATGGTCAGCACTGCACAGAGGTGCGGGAAGGGGTATACTTACTCGTGAAATATTTATATGGGTAGATAAATAGTATAAGTGAGTCTCGGTGAAATGGATGGAGAGAAGAGATGGAGATAGAATTGAGGGGGGTATTTATGCACTTTCAAGGTTGATATGTATGCGCCTCATACGTGAGGAAACATGTACGGAAGAAGAAACGAAGCCGTGCCTGTTTGCGGATGCGTGAGGAGCGGAACAGGACTATGAAGGACGTCATGCTATATGATACTCTCTCCTTTTCTGACTTCTTCTTTCTGCCTACCGTGATCTATTCTGATCACCCGGCTACTACTTTCCCGGGCGCCCTTCTTCCCTTCCTCATTCCGCTCCTCGGGCGACTGGATCCGCAGAATTTCATTCTGCTTTCCGCCATCGACGCCAATTGCCCGAAGGAGATCAGGGGAGCACACCAAGCTTGGGTGTAGCTTCGGGGAAACTCCAGCCAATGCATTGAGTACCGGGGTTGTGGGAGAGGAAGATGCAGCGAAAGAAGAAGGAGAAGAAGAGCGGCGCGCCGCGACGAGGAGTCGACTTTCGTTGCTGGACAGGTAATAAGGCCAGCCAATGACAATACATTCCAAAGGACTTATAACTGGGTATATACACCAAGGGATGCGATACGTTCAGTCTATCATAGACTACTGGATCAGCTCATAGCTTCCATCACCAGTTAATCACAACACGCACTGCTGCGTGCATCAACCAATCTCGGTCCTCCGATACCTTTACGTAACTCCATTCCCACGCAGCAACGTAATATAAAATATGCAGCTTGCGCTCGACCAGTCTGAAAGTCAGCTGCTTGTCGAGATCCCTACTGACAGGCCAGGGGTAACATCTACTCTATCCCAGCCACTCCATACCATCTCTTTCAGCACCACTCTATACTAAAGCTGAGTCATCACACCCTATCCTCTCAAAGCCTGGCTGTAAGTTCCTAAGTGCTAAACCCTCTTGACAGGCAACATCCCGCTGATTGGCTCCCATAGTCGTACACCAATGATCCTATCCTCCTCCTGAACGATCTACTGAGTATCTCGAATACCGTCAAGGCTCTGGAATACCTCCTGGGCAGCCCAGTGAGAGGGTTGTCGCCGTCAAGGGGAGACGATGAAGTCTGGCCACGGGTAGGACAGTCGGCCGATTTCTCCATGCGCGAAGAGTGGACAGATATGGCTAGTGTCAGGACCTTCTTTCTGACGCTTCATCACCAAGCCCTAACTTAAGTGTAGCTGAAAGATATCACTCGCGTGACACTATCCCAAGTCGACGCCATTTAAACCTACCTCCGACAAAATCCTTCCTCCACACCAATACCCCCATCATGATCACCCCCAAATTCCGGCGAACCATCTACTCATTCTAGGCCGACTGGAGCCTCTCGGTGACAGCAGCAAGAGCGCTTTGGAAGCCAGACCAGTTCTTAGAGGAGTAGCGGAAAAGAAGGGTCATTTGAGCGAGGATGATGAGGGGAGGCTGTGTCATATTGTTGTGCGCTTTGAGGGGGCCGCTCAGTTGATGGCGGAAAGGGAGAGGATACCGCTGTTCACGGTGTCTGCGGTAGAGTTGAGGGCGTTACTAGGACTCTGACGTGATTCTGCCTTCTTTCTTTGGTAAGGTACTCGCGCCGTACGTCTCTGCCAGTAGCCGTAAGCTTGCAAATGGTATACAGTACTCGTTCCAGGCTACTCATGTCACTGCAGGTGCCGACCAGTGCGATGATTGAGGGATGCAGAACAAACCCGCTTAAAGTCATACATTGTAACATTGTACCCGTGATAATTTCGCCAGCTGTATATGTATGCAATCAACCTGTCCCCGATCTCCGCCCATCTACACAGGCTGGTAAGCACCCCTGTCAATGACCCACCTTTTCACTGGCTACTTGCAGCCTCAACTTTGGCTCTAGGAAGAGGCGGGAACGGTAGAACGGCAGAAGACGCAGGGCGAGTCGAAGCGACAGCGAGCCCCAAACCTACATCCGTCACCCCCGCATCTCTAGCAATTGGCGGAACCAACGCGCAAAACATTTGGCGCCGAGGAGTCCCGTTCAAGCGGCAGGTAGATCTCAGACGAGCTCAAAAGCATGATATCCTCCTTCTCGAACTGCTTGGCCTTTTCCCAAAAAGTAGCTTCAATATATACAGTCTGCCCAGTCGTCCATTCCCAGCACTTCAGCTCCATCTTCAGTCCTCAACTACCGGTTACGATAAGCATTTCTCCCGGCTTTGACGCCTCCTCCAGAAGTCGTTGTACTCTTTCCTCATGATCGGGGGTGCCTCCGGCGATGCTGGGTAGGGCGGTCTCAGAGAGTACCTGAACCTTTCCATCTACCTTCCTGACAAACACCCAGCCCTCAGCTCCACCCTTCTTCGATTCGCACGATTACCAGACGCCCCGGAGGTCCTTGTTTATTAGGACTTTGCTCTTCAGAACAGGGTTTGCATATACCCAAAACGTCTCCGTCATCCTGTCCGAGAGTTCTTGTTCAATGAAGACAGGTACTGCATCTTTCGATTCATCCTCCATCTCGTCCAGAGCCTGTTTCCGAGACATGACCCCAGTGATGTGCTTTGAAGCGAGTATATGAGCCGGCAAGTGATGATCAAGAGCCGCAAGCAGGTGACTATTTAGCCCGGGGTCGTTGATGATGCGTAAACCTTCTCCTTTAGTCTCGGCGAGTATGTCGATGGAAGATACGTGGCACTGCGGGGTGACTGAGATGTAAAGTCCATGGCGTCGGGGGATGCATCCAGTCATGATGTACCGCATGGGCAGAGTGACGTCGGGGACTGGGAGGGGTGGGAAGGGGTGATAGATGGTGTTGCGGGCGGCGGTGCTAGATGTTGCGAGTTAATTCAAAACTTGGTTCTGAAAGTCAAAACTTCAACTTGGTCCACGCAGACTTGGTCAAAACATCAAACCGACGGGATCAAATCCAAGCGCGCATCTTCTCTATCATTTCGATCCCATCTCTTCCCATTCTTCCCACCACCATGCTGCAAACAGACCTCCTCCCGCCAGCACACGCCGACCTCGTATCCCGTAAGCACTTCCCCATCCTCCCCCTGACATGTCTAACCGTTTGCAGATCTGGTGTACGACTTTTACGGCGAACGATGTTTGTCCTTCCATCCATCTCTCTTACTCTCTCCTGACTGTTTGTAGTGGCCACATGTTCCGCCGACCAACGCGTCAAGGTGTTCCATAAAGATGAGTTTGGTAAATGGTCTCAAGAAGCCGACTGGAAGGTGCGTCCTCCCCTCTCCCTCCAACTTTTTCTAATTCATTATACAGGCGCACGACGCCCCCATCCTCCGACTCTCCTTCTCCCACCCCATACACGGCTCTCTCCTCGCCTCCTCCTCGCACGACCGCACCGTCCGCATCTGGGAAGAATCTACCTCCCTGCCCCCTTCCTCCTCCTCCTCCGCCCCCGCCCCCGGCTCTGTCCGCTGGGTCGAACGCGGGATTCTGACGGGCGCCAAGGGCGCTGTGAGGGGGGTGGAGTTTGGTCCGCCTGATCCTGCTTTTGGCTTGAGGGTGGCGTTTATGGGGACGGATGGGTATCTCCGGGTACATACGTCGCTTGATCCGAGTTTGAACGATTGGTCAGAGGCGCACAAGATCCATATCCCTTCCCTCCCCGCACCGCACTCTACATCCTCTTCCGACGATGCCAACCCCTTCTCCTCGTCTTCTGAATCAGCAGCGACACCATCTTCGGAATTGGCACTAGGCGGCTGGGGCTTGAGCTGGTGTAAAGAACGGTGGTGGGGTTCTCTCATCGCCACATTCGCAGGTTCTTCCCCTGTTATCAAAATCATCTCCCTCGAACCCACCCCCACTTCCATCCTCCACCTCACCCCCTCATCATCCTCCTCCTTCCCTTCCTCCTCCTCTTCATCCTCTTCCGCCCCTCCAGCTCCGCTTACAGCTCTAAGCTGGGCACCCAACTGCGGGAAGAACTACCACCTCCTCGCTACTGGTTCTCGGGACGGGTCAATCAGGATTTGGAGGTTGGAGCCGCCAGGGGAGAGGGCGAGGGTGGATTTTACGGCGGAAGGGAGCGAGGCCGGGGGGGATGTTGTTAGGGAGTGGAGGGGGGAGTGTACCGCGGAGTTTGGGAAGGGCGGGGCGAGGGTTGGGAGTGTTGATGTGGGTCTTTCTTTCTTCTTGCTTCTTGCTTCGTCTCTTCATCCCGGATCGAGGCAATGCTGACAATATCTGTAGTGGAATGCCACGGGCACAATGCTCTCTACGACAGACGACGAAGGCGTAGTCAGGATATACAAACGTGTGTCCTTCTCCCCTCTTCCCTCTTCTCCCATCTTCCCTACTCCTCTGCTCTTCGTCCTTGTGACCCAGTACTGACTTTTGTTAAACGATCTAGCAACCTACGCAAAGAGCTGGAAGTTGTTGGGCCAGCTGGTAGCTGAGGAACCACCTCATGAGGAGGCGAATGGACATTAGGTCGTTAGGTTAATTGGGAATGCAAACTGATATGGGTTCAACTGACCTTTGATGCCGAGGAGGACGAGGAATAAGGAATTCTCTCTACCTCGAGCAATGGGACGATGGGATGGGGGACGAAGGGATAGTGCAACCGACATGTGGGCACCAGGAGATACGCAAGGATGGATGAGGGATAAGGACTAGATATACATTCTGGCATGGATTGTCTGTATTCATATGCCAGACGCAGGCTGCGGAAGTGTTGGATCCGAGCGGTAGGCGTAGAGTGTGACATGCCTGTATCATGGAGCGGTGGAGGCTGGTGGGACTACTTCTGCTATGAGCTCAGACGGGCATTTCAGCTCTGTTGGACGAAACATCACAGAAGGGAAGCCTCGCACATCCTCATTTCTCTCGAGAGTAGCTGGACGTCTGACCATCGTCTGCGCACGCCGAGGATACCGATCACCACTGATGTTTTGGCAGAACGAGCTACGGGGATTCATATCCACAATTTGATGACGAACAACTAGAAGAGATCAAAATCGAAAACCACGACGCGAACCATAGTCCTTACTACTACGCTATGCTATGCTATATCACAAACACTATCTCAAATGGGTAGACTACTCTTAACTATAATAATGGCGCAAAACAATGTCCTCTATCTCTAGATGAATATCCGTGGAAGAGGGTGTATACGCCGCCCGACCGATTGTCCATTCCGGACTTCTACTCTCAGTTCCACAGTCCCCGCATACCGCTGTCGGCAGCCTCATCCGTAACAGGGGTGAAAGAGTCGCCGAAGGGTGTGGTGTTGAAAGGAGACTCGATAGCACCCCAAGAGCTCGCATCGCTCGTCTCCATCTCCTCCGTACCACACATGCCCCAGCCAACGTTCTCGTTCCCCACAAGGGCCTGGTTTCCAACCTGGGTTTGAGGTGTGATGAACCAAGGTGTGTTGTCAGGGGCCAAGAAGCCGGCGTAGGAGAAGTTGACAGAGGTGTGGTCGGCAGAGTCGCTGACGGCAGACATCTCGACGGTAGGCTTCAATGGGGTAGTGTCTGGAGTGTGGAGATGAGCAATGGTAGCGGCGCTGCTGGGAACTTCGGCGGGAGCGGAGACGATATCATCACCCAGATCCAAGTCCATGACCAGCTCGTCAAACGCAAGCATCTCGCTCTCAGAAAGACCTTGGCCCGTGAGAGCAGGAAGCTGGGGCTGAGAGGCTACCACAGGGGGCAGGGCAGAGGGCACCGAGGTGTCGTTGAGGGAAAAGGTGGGAGCCTGGACGGGGGAGACGTCGACAGGTCGCACGTAGGTAGGCTTGACTGGGGTGGTACGCGGAGTAGGAAGGTGGCCAGGAGCTGCTGACTCGCTGGCAGGAACAGCAGCAAGGACCGAGCAGCATGAATCGAACTCGTTGTCGAACAACGCCTGTTGCATCTCGACAACGCGGTGGTCCTTCAGCATGCCGTGGGCGCCAACAGCAACAGAAAGCTGGGTGGTGGGAGCCATGACCTGGGTGGGCGGGACGAAGGGCATGAAGATGTGGGGAGTGGCGAAGCCAGAAGTAAGGCTGGCGGAGACCCTGGTAGGGCAGGGACCGGAGCTGAGCTCGACGGTGGACCTGGCCGGAGTGATCGGGGTGATAGGGCTCATGGAGGACGTGCCGGAAGACGAGGCAAGAGATGAAGCTGAGGGAGTGGCGATGATGATGCCGTCGGCGGAGGGAGCACGACCCATAGCGGCGAGCTGCTTGAAAGCCTTCTGGGAGCCTCGCTTGCCCTTGGCGAGGACGTATTTGCACTCGATGCCATTGTAGGTACAGAGGGTGCAGGCGTTGAAATTGTCTCCATCGCACTGCAAAGTCGAATCAGTCTCTGACGGTGATATGGGGACGAGAATGCTTACCTTCCTCTGTCGCTGTCTGCAGTACTCACAAGACATGCTCTTACGCTTGCAGCCCTCTGCATGCTTCTTCTCCTTGCCGCTCTCCTTGATGCCGTTGGTGCTGGTGACATGAGCCGAAGACCTCGCCTTGGGCTTGGGCTTGTCGCCACTACTGGTGGGAGAGGGGGCCACGGCAGAAAGCTGGAGACCGAGGGCGTTGTCGTCATTGTTGATGGGGTCGTAGGTGATAGTAGACGGAGCAGAGGAGACGGAGGAGTGACTATAGCGAGGGAGAGGGCGTCAGTAATGGCATGGGAAACAGGACTGGGGTGGACGAACCCGCTACTGTCATACAGCTGTAGACCGGGGGCGTTCCCGTCACTGTAGGTGTTGTTGGTAGTGGTGGTGTAGGTGATGGGAGAAGGGCTGGGGAAGCCAGGGAGGGCACTAGAGAGGCAGAGACTGTCAGCGAGAGCCTGGGAAACGGGGTTGAGGCGGACGAACCCGCTGTTGTCAGACATCGTGGGGTGTGAGTTTGGTTTGGGGTGGGGTGGGGGTTGAGTGATGTTCTGTGGTTGTGGGTTTTGGGGTGTTCTCACGATAGATAAGGGTGGGTTGTGTAAAAGAGAAAGAGAAAAGGGGGATGGGAATTCCCACTAGATATGTGGCGGGCATCGCTCGCAGTCCTGAGCATCGCCTCAACTCGCACGCAAAAACTTGCACGCCGAGCAGAGGGATGTCGGTGTGCGGCCATGCTCATGCATGTACTTATCGATGCATGTCGATTTTGGTACCATCAAGCGCGGAACAGCTGTGGCCGTATGCTAGTACAGCTCGCATGTCGATACGAGAAGCACAGCAGAAGCTGTTATGAGTGCCACACGCAAGAGACCAAGAAATGGCGGAAGTCTCACGTCACGCGCGCGTGCACCAGCAGCGGTACCTGACGCTTCCAATAGATGAAAGGACCCCCTCAACCAGGAAATTATTGTTGCAAGAGTTCGTACGCACGTAGGGTCGGCCTCGGCGAGCATGAGTAGGGGACGGAGCGGAGGGCGATGCATGCCGAGTCGACGGCGATTACGCAGGGGTGGATGAAAGAACTCGTCGACGAGAACGTAACTGGGTGTACCACCGTCCCAACTTCCAGGCTGCGCCAGGCGCTGATATTTATCTGCCATATGTATCTAAATGCGAAGAGTGTGAGGGGATGGCGCTACTGCATGAAGAGGCGGGACGGCTGTCAGCGGTGTCACGTAAATACTTTTGGACTTGCGCGATTGTGGCTCGCAACTCACCGTCATCGAGCGATACTGTTTTTCTGTAGCTCAGCCCCACGATAGATAACACCTCTTGGTGGCTGTCGCATCTGTCATGTACATCGATATGAGGTGAGGCGGCCCATGTGTAGGGCGAGAGCGAAGTCGCGCTAAGCGGTACTGACTTCGATCCTCGAGTCTCCTTGTGCCCCGTCTGACAAGAGTATATCACCGGACGGCTGGTTTATCAGATGCTGAGAGGGGATCCTGATATGAAGTTGCGAGAGGTAGTGGTTGGTTCTCGGAAAGCCGATCCGTATACGGTTTCAGGGGAGAGGTTGGACAAAGGCCCAATGGATCCAGGGAGTACATGGCTTGCATAGATGTCCAGCGAGAGATAGCTGTAAGACTCATTAGCTTATGTCAAAGACTATAGATTCCGCTCACTCTGTCATAGCGTGGGGAGGAAGGAAACCGCCAGCAAAGATACTTGGTGCGCGATGCAAACGAGGATCCGTCGTCGCGACCCGTCCTTCTTCGCCCAAGTCAGGATAGATGGGGCGAACCCTGCCAGAGCGAGGGCTCTCAGTAGTTTGGAGATCATGTCCTAGAGACAGGTGAGACAAACCAGGTCAAGTGAGACTCCCGTCGACAGGCAGGCCCAGCATGCAACGTATAGGGAACCGCGGAGACGTCGTCGGAGATTGATGGGGCTGGGTTGGGGAGGCCGGCTCAGACAGTGCCCAGGATTGCCGTTTTTGATTGATCGTATCAACGTTATCGGGATGAGATGTGAATGAAGGATTCACCTTTGCTGCCGCTGCTGTTGTCGTCGTCGTTGTCATGTCTATCTTTCCTTTTTTGGCCGGTTGTGATCATGGAAATTCTGCGTGGCCTCCCGGGCGGATCATAGTGCCATTTCGGCCCTTATTATCACCCTCGGTGCAAACAAACGCTCAGCTAGCCTGAACAAGAGCAGAGCAGCAATCGCTCAGCTCCACGATCTTGGAAGAATGGGGGTCTGCTGTCGGATGTCGAGTGTCGAACGGTACCGTCCGCCGCCTGGGAAAAACGCCCGACTTATCAGTACTATGTCTCTGTAGATCTCAAAACACCAAATTCAGCAGCACATGTCCAGTCTCAGGGCTCTCTTCCACGTCAGCATTAATGAGCTGGTGTTGATGATGTTGCGTGAAAAAATTAGACGACCGCCTCTCCTTCAGCCATTAAACATCTCTCAGTGCGAAACACATCTCTACATACGTGAACCACAGCTCTAGGCCAACACAAGCACGATACCTATGCTCTGGAAAGCTCAAGACGTCCTCTTTATGTTTCAGCTCCATCCGCAGATTCAGTTACGTAAGTCATGTTTGCGACCCCCCATATAAGCAGTGCCAGCGCTGCCGCGCCATCTCCTCTTTCATTTGGATTCTTCTAAGCAATCCCCTATACCGCGATGTCCCAGCCTATCATGCTCCCCCAGGGATGGGAAGCCAGATGGTAAGCCCCCTCAACGCTCCCTCTTCCTCCCGCTAACACTCCACAGGGATCCCCAGTCGAACGCCTACATCTACATCGGTCCGTCCCCTCCACTTCCGCCCGCACCCCGCTGACCCTCCCCTAGACCAGTCCACCGGCGTATCCCAATGGGAAGTCCCCATCAACCCCACCTTCCCCACCTCCCACCCCAACGCCGCCTCCCTCGACCAGACGCCCTCCACCTCCACTCCCGCGCCCCGTCAAGGCAGGCGACACTACCCCACGGCCGAAATCGCCTCGCAAATGTACACCAACACCGCGCAGTACGAGTCTCAGCCCCAGGTGGGTGCGCCCCAGGCATTGGCGCATGGCGGGCCGCAGTTTATTACGCCTGGGTTGGAGGGGCAGGGGCAGCAGGCGTATGGGTTCCCTGCTGGACAGCCGTATGGAGCGGTGTCGCCGGGTGTACCTGGCTATGGTGTCGACCAGGCATCGGCGCAGTTTCAGCAGATGGGTATCAGCGGGGGAGCACAGGGGCAGGGACAGGACTACTACAACAACAACCAAAAGCAGCTCCATTCCACGTCTACAAAGACGATCAACCTCATCGGCCTTCCCCCCAACATTGAGCTGCTCGACGCTCCTCCCCCTCCTGCCCTCCTCCCCCCCAACGCTGCCATTACGGGTTCCGCGACTGTGCAGCCCGACTCTTCTTACCAGCGTTGCACCCTCAACGCGATGCCCACCACCCAATCCCTGCTCAACAAATCCAAGCTCCCCCTCGCCCTCGTCATGACCCCCAACCGCTCCGTGCCCCCCAACGAGCCCGAGTCCGAGGTGCCCGTCATCGAGGACGGCGTCATCGCGCGCTGCAGACGGTGCCGAGCGTACATCAATCCGTTCGTCACGTTTATCGAGGGCGGAAACAGGTGGAAGTGTTGTATGTGTGGGCTGTCGAACGAGGTACCGCAGCTGTTTGACTGGAATCAGAGGGAGGAGAAGCCTGCCGACAGATGGGCGAGGGCAGAGCTCAACCATGGTGCTGTCGAGTTTATCGCCCCCACCGAGTATATGGTCCGCGCGCCCCAGCCCCCGGTATACATCTTTGTTATTGATGTTTCCGCTTCGGCCATCCAGAGTGGTATGGTAGCTACGGCTGCCCGTACCATTCTCGAGTCGCTCGACTCGCTGCCCAACCCCGACAACCGTACACTGGTCAGCTTTATCGCGGTGTCTACCAGCTTGCACTTCTTCTCCCTCCCTCCGGGTGCCACAGAAGCGAGCATGCTCGTCGTCCCCGACTTGTCTGACGTCTTTTTGCCCAAACCTGTCGACCTCCTCGTCAACCTCAAGGAGAGCAGGGCCGCTGTCGAAAACTTGCTCGGCAAGCTGAGCGACATGTTCCAGGACGCCAACACCATCGGCTGTGCGCTCGGCTCTGCTTTGCAAGCGGCCTTGCAGCTCAACGGCAGGATCGGCGGCAAAATCATCGCCCTCTGCAACACCCTCCCCACCATCGGCGAGGGCCCTCTCAAAGCCCGAGACGACCCCAAGCTGCTCGGTACCTCCAAAGAATACACCCTCCTCTCCGCCGGCAACAGCTGGTACAAATCATTCGCCATCGAGTGCTCCAAAGCCCAAGTCGCCGTCGACATGTTCCTCTTCAACTCTGGCTACACGGACGTCGCGACGCTGTCTTGCCTGCCCAGGTATACGGCGGGTCAGACGTACTTGTACCCCGGGTTCAACGCGAGCAGGCAAGAGGACGCGATCAAGTTTGCGAGCGAGTTTGGCAAGGTGCTGAGTGTACCCATGGGTTTGGAGGCTGTCATCCGTGTGCGCGCGAGCAGGGGTGTGAGGATGTCTGCTTTCCATGGCAATTTCTTCATCCGTTCGACAGACTTGTTGGCTTTGCCCGTCGTGCCCGAAGACCAAAACTATGTGATTGAGCTTCAGCTCGAAGACGATCTCAAGCCGGGGATCGTGGTCATCCAGACTGCTGTCCTGTTTACGTCTTGTGAAGGCGAGCGACGTATTCGGGTCATCACCCAAGCTATGCCCACTACCGATACCATGTCTGAGCTTTTCGCTTCCGCCGACCAAGTCGCGCTCACGACCTATTTCGCCAACAAGGCCGTTGAGCGGTCCATGTCCCACGGTCTGGATTCTGCCCGTGACTTGGTCTCGTCTAGACTCGGAGAGATGTTGGGTGTTTACAAGAACCAAGTCACGACCGGTGCAGGGGGCGCCAGCGCGCAGCTGGCTGTTCCCGAGAACTTGCAGCTCTTACCGCTATTGCTCAACGCCCTCGTCAAGCACGTCGGCTTGCGCGAAGGTTCCTCCATCCCCCCCGACCTCCGGTCATATGCCCAATGCCTCCTCACTACCCTCCCCTCCCAATCCCTCATACCTTACATTCACGCCAAATTCTACTCGCTCCACAACATGCCCGCTGAAGCGGGTACTATTGCAGAGCACGGCGTCATCCTCCCCCCTGCTCTGAACCTGACGAGCGAGCGCCTGGAGAGGCACGGCTTGTACTTGATCGAAGACGGACAAAACATCTTCCTCTACGTCGGTGTCGAAGCCGTCCCCCGCCTCGTCCAAGACGTATTCGACCTCCCCTCCTACGCCGAGCTCCCATCAGGCAAATCCACACTCCCCCTGCTCGACAACCCCTTCTCCGAAAGGATCAACAACATCATCCACAAGACGCGTGAGATGCGCCGGGGCCCGTATAGGCCGGGGGTTTATGTGGTGAAGCAGGATGCGGAGCCGGCGCTGAGGGCGTGGGCGTTGAGTGCGTTGGTGGAGGATAGGGTGGATAGGATGGGGAGCTATGCGCAGTTCTTGACGGGTGTCAAGGGGAAGGTGAGTTTAATCTGTTTGGGTGGTTGAGGGTATGTGCTGATAAAGTGTGATAGGTCAACGGAAGCTAGATGGGCTAGATGATGATGTGTAGGGGAGATATGGCGAGTGGTTAGGGATGCGCGAATAGAGAGGGAGATGTCCTGGACATGAAGGAGAGCGAGGACGGGGGTGTTGTTAAATCTACCTTTTCATACTGCAAAATTCTGAATCTTCTTTTCTTCGTTCCATTTGCTCAGATATTCAGTTCAGTAGACATTTGTCAAAAACCAAAACATGGAGTGTTTCTGTCTGCTATCCATCGAGCGTGGAGCCAGTCTGTATATGGGCGAATGGAGTACATGCGAAAAACGATGAAGAAAGATGACCTTTGGTACAGATGAATGAGGCGTAGTCGCCGAATGGACTGGACTAGGACGACTTGTGACTTGACCAGCACTTATATCTAGCAATCGTGAATGGTGTTTACAAGGAGGAGGCGCTGATGATGCAAGAGCCGAGGGCACTTGGTGAACAACCGTAGGAGGCCATGGCGAGAGGGCGAGGCGCTAGGACTGTTTAACAGTGATTCTGCAACTCCGTCAGCTCACCGTCCCAGCCCGAGTGCTTCCTCGCAGAACAGCTGTATATGACTCACCCCCCACCCATAATCTCCATCAATATATTCCTCACAATCGTCCTCACAGCCTCCTCACTCGCCGGATCCCACTCTCTCGAAACAGCCACACTAATCGTTGTCGTCTTCTTATTCACCACCGGTTCCAAATCGCCTCCTCCCCCTGAAGCAGGAGGGGGAGGTGAACCAGAGTCGGAGGGGGATCGAGAGCCGGTGGATGATATGGAGGACGAGGGGGAGGCAGGGATTGGGGGAGGGGCGGGGATGAGGGTGGTTTGGTTGAATTCGGAGACGATTTTCAGGGAGATTGGCCAGGCTTCTATAGGATAGTGTCAGCGCTGAGAGCCCATCCAGAATCGTCAATGATGAATCATGTAGACGCAGAGAAAGTAGCAGAGGCACGCTCTCTCCCACAGACCTTGCCGAAAGAGGAAAGGCAGGGAAACGTACCGGCGTCGCCTTCAAAGTGCAAGAACGTAAGGTCTTCGAGTTCTTCAAACTGGGAGTCTGTAAGGACATGGCCGATGGTGAGCTCAATAGTCTGTAGGTGAGAGACAGCGAGTCAGCATAAGCCACCATACAACCATTCGCGCCGCTGACACGAGAGCAAAGTGGGACTTACGTGCGCAGGACGTGGGTAGGGCATCTTGTCCTCGCCTGGTCAGGCCGAATAGGATAATAGTCAGCAGTCTATAGGATAAAAGTGTAGAAGCAAAGATGAAAGAAGTCTTGAATAAATAGCGGCACTTGCGAAGCACCCAGCTGTCCGACGAGGACAATGGGAGGAAATTGATGCGCAAGGTACGGAAGGACGCCTTTGTCCCGTATCATGGGACAGCTCAGCCGCTCTGGGTAAGTCTGCGGGATGATCGGCACAGCGTGTGAGTCTGTGTATCCATGGCGGGCGTAAGCGGTATCGGATGAAAGAGAAAATGGTATAATCGCGTCGACGCGTCTGTGATCATCTCAAGTTGAGTGATGGAAGAGATTTTGTAAGATGGACATCATGCAAAAGTCCCATGCATCAACTTTCCTATGTGCTTATTTATCCCATCCGTTTCCTCGAATGGTTTGAAGAAAGCAAGTGAGAACGGTGGTGGGCAGGACCAAAAAGAGAAGATTGACAAAAAGATATTCTCCATCAGGGAGTTGAACCCTGGTCTACCGCGTGAGAAGCGGTTATACTAACCGTTATACTAATGCAGAAGGATAAGGGAAACGGCTCTCAATATTTGAATCCTCTCGATATATACATGACTGAATTGTACGGCCCATCGTAACGCGTCCGTCGGTTCTCTTTAAGTTCTCTTTCTGTTCTCATCCATCCCCATATCCGCCATCGCCTCTCATACAACGGCGTGTACCAGCCCCTACTTTTCCATGGCCCATGCAGGCCCCTCTTCACGGACGGGGGGATCGACCGCTGTCCCGCAACCGTGAGCACCTGCGTACTGTCTGTGTTGATTACTTTCTAATCGTCATTTAGAGTGAACCAAACCCCTGCCTCTATGAATCCGATGCCAGAGATCTTTCGCTCCATCTGCGACGTCAATGCGTACCCCTCCGATATCGGACATCCCGCGAATGGGGGTCTCGGAGGCCCTCTGCAGTTGGTCCCGTTCGACCTTACGATCTCCCACCACTATCCCAATTCTTTCACGATCAAACCATACAGCACTGTGGACCAACGAGCAATGGGTTCATTCTGGATCGAATGCTATCCCGATATCGCAACCGAATATGGCCTCCAAAATAAACACATTGTCCCTTATCTCCGTCAATTCTATGTTCATCACGACTTTGTTCAATACCCTACTAGCTGGGAAACGAACGTGTACTTCTGCCCGACTCCTTTCTATCTGCACTTGGGAGCAGAGTTTGTGGATCTGCCGATTGTGCGAAGTATCAGGGAGAATGACACCGAATTGAAAGTGAGGAGTCTCGCTTGTGCCCCGTATATTGTCGCTGATCAGCTTCTACAGCGTCTGGAGCGTTCATCCCAGGTTGCATCCCTGCTGTCGAGGAAGCTTGACGGCATAAAGCCAGATGTCGCTTTAACGGGGTATCACATTGGAAATCTCGCGGAAGGGACGTATCAAAAAGAGCCCGCAGACGGCAGACAGTTGACATATACCGATGACCCCCAAGAAGTCCTCTACGCTCTCATCAAGGACAAGTGGCTACCTTGGCCAGGAGCGAGCAATATCGATCTAAAAGGGAAAATCGATCTACACCTCAAAGGCCTCCAATTCGCAAACATGGAGGCTATCACTCAGACAGTCTACTACAGCGAACTTGGCTATACCCTCTCAAAGTGTCGTTCGGCTATCGCATTGGCCAACGGCGATTACACTCGTATCGTGAACCTGTCTGATCTCCCCACAGAAGGAGAAGAGGCAGCTCTGGAGGGCGTGACTCTGGGAGGAGGCGGTGGCCGGAGAATCTTGGTCGAAGCCGATCCAGCTGTTGTTGCCAAGTTGAGGTACCACAGACTTGATTGCCTGTCCCCACATCAATTTGGCACCCTTGCGGCAGGAGAACCTTTGTTTGGTATCCAGTGGAAAGCACCGAACTCCCTCATCGCAAATTACGAGGACTGGAGCTTGGATCAAGAGGCTAAGGATCGCCTCGATGCCACTGTATATCTGAACCTCGCCCTCGCTACTCACCATCCGGAGGCCGTCCAGGATCCTCCCATCAGCAACGATTCCCTTACGCACGTCATCGACGCGAACGCCTCCGAGAAAGAGGCATATCAGTTGCTCGGTGTCAGCAAGAAGATGGGAGCACACCGTGATCAGGTTGAAGAGGAGGAGGATGAAGAGGAGAACGACGACCACGAAGGGAATGAGGAGAACGATAAACAGGCTGGCGATAGGCGCGATGAGGACAATGGGAATCCTGATGGTGAAACTGGTGGTCCCGGCGGTGGTGCTCCTGGTCCTGGCAATGGTGATCCCGGTCCTGGCAGTGGCGATCCTGCTCCCAGCGGCGGCCGCTCCTCCCGACCGAGATCCAGGAGCGATCACAATCAGGATTCGTCTAGTAAAAGACAGAAAAAGGCCGATGTCTCTGGTGAGTTCTCGGCTTCGTCTCGATGGTGCTCTAGTCTGACTTGAATCTAGGACTGCCCCCCACTCCCAATGCTCTCTCTTGCACCACTGCCGAGCAAGTCCTTCCCCTCGAACACTGGACTCACGCAGAGTACATCGACTACTTCTCGGGGCTTGGCCTAACCTTCGTGCTGGCTACGCCTATGGAGGTAGATGTGTTGCTCGCGCGGGCAGCCAAATTTGGCTGGATTGGGGCGCTGGGAAGTAGGTAGGTGTAGGGGACGTGAGAGCTGGGTAATGGCAGGGGAGTCATTCTAGTATCATGTAGCCTATGGACATTCCTTCACTCATGGATATCCGATTGCAGCGTGGACGTGGCGTAGAAAGACCGTGTGCGTGGGTTTGGCGTCGGCCTCAGGCGTCTTAAGTGTTTTACCATGGTGTCGGGGTCTATGGCCAAGTCGCCCACAGATGCGACATCTCTAGAATTAAGTATTGGGTACTACTCGAGAAGCAGTAGCCAGCTTGTGAACATAATGGAAGAGAGAGTAGAGAAGCCAAGTTTGCACGAATCGTTTTCTTGGTCGTTATACGAATCCCTTCACATGTCTGTACCTCTGCACATCTGCCTACTTGCCCTCCCCCGCCCCTTCAGCACTAGCTCCCTTCGTAGGAGTCCCAGCAGCACTACCCCCCGTCTTGCCCCTGTTCGCCAGCAAGCCCTGGAACTGCCAAGTCTGTCAGCTAGACGTTTCAGTACGTTCGGCGTGGGACTTACAAAGTTGTGCAACGCTTCGTTAGGCATAGCAGGTGCCGGCGTCCCCGGCGCAGCTTTCCCATCCTTCCTCCCCAGCCTCGCAAACTTGTCCTTCAACTCTCCTTCCTCCGCATCATCTCCCTCCCCAATCCGACCTTCCATCTCCTGCATGACCTTCTCAACACCAGGCAAGCTCAAACCCTCGGCAGCACCGCCCATAGGCCCCACGGCGGTATTGTTGAACCCACCCGCGCCGGGGTTGGTAGCAGAGGGAACGTTGGAGGATGAGGTGGCGGAAGCGGCGTGTCGGAAAGATTGGCGGGGGTCTCGGTTGGGGTCTTTCATGAGGAGGTCGAGTTGGCGGGAGAGGAAGTTTTGGGAGGGCTCGGTAACTGTCGTAAGGTTGGCAGGAGATGGCGGGGGAGGAGACGCGAAGGAGGGGAGAAGCGCCTGCCAGAAGTCTTCGAGAGGTTCTCCATCATCCTCTTCAGGCTCCTGACCCGCAGACTTGGCAATATACCTGCTCAAGCTGACTTTCCAACCCTTCTCCACCAGTGCGGGGTCGAAACCATCTCTCAAAACATTGATCTTGCCCCAACTATCCCATCCGCTGGGTACCATGACAGCATCTCTGTCAAGCACGTTGGCTCGGTGGTTGAAGGGGAATTTGGTAGAGCCGACGATGGCGGGTGCGGATACGGTGTTTGGGGAGGTTGGTGGCGGATTCAGTGGAGGCGGGACGGTATATAGTCTGTGGAGGAGGTAACTCTTCAGGAGAGCGTACGTCGTAGGTTGGGTAGGGGCAGTGTAGAACAGAGCGGCGCCATCTAAGTCGATGATCAGTATGATAGTCAAATGAAGATGGGATGAACATACAGGCCAAACAGACAGTTCTCAGTGCCTGCTGTGCTCGATCCGTCTTTTCTTCCCAGCCTCCACCTTTCACTCCCACATCCTCGGCAGCATTATCCATGAGATCGGCCTTCGTACAAACCACAACGATAGGGATCCCCGAGCTGTGATATTGTCAGTGCGCTTCGAACGCGTGACGTTGGCAGAGGACGAACGCGTTGAGGGTCAAAGTACCCGAGCCAAGTGGTAACAAAGGCCCGACACCAGCATACGTGGTCGTACCAACATTGGCGGGTGACGGCTCGGTATAGTGCTGCAAGTGTGATTGTACTACTCGTTGTCAGTCTTGATGATTTTTTCTTCGAGATGGGCTTGACTCACGTCGCTCATGCAGCTCTTCTACCTCACCCCTCTCGCCTGCCTCGGATGCCCATGTCTCTACCCATGAGAGCCATGTCAATAGCTCTTGAAGCTGTCCATGTATGCAATTAGCCTACGACATCATCCGTGAAGAGGTCAAGCTCACCATTGACTGTGGTTTCGTCCAGTCCAGAACTATGACGACGGCAGTATCCTGTACACAAATGAGTCAGTGCCCAGACACGTTTGTACGAGGGGAAAACCAACCGAAAGAGACTTTGCGGGCAAAGCACTGGGGACGAGCCTCAGCAGGCTCGCATGCGACGAAGGAGGATAGAAAACCGAGAGCGGCGGCGCCGAATCTACAAGCTGTCAGCGACCAATCCACCATACAAATCAAAAAGAGCTCACCCTCGTCCTCCCCAACTTCAATCACTTCGTATCCCAGGGCAAGACCCTTCCTGCTCCTTCTCTCTTGACCCGCCTCTCCGGCAGCTTGGGTGTGTGGTTGCGATGGTTTGGGTACCTTCTTTTTCCGAGAAGAGGCGGTCAGCTGGGAAAGGAGATGTGTCCTTCCGTGATTTCTTTCAGCTGATAGTTTCAAGTCAGGAGGAGAGCAGATTGCCAGAAGAACAGGAGAGACGTCCGTCAGCGTCCATCACGAAGCTCTTCGTCAATTTACACGTACACAATAACACCACATTCTTCCTGCCCAGCGATTGCTGCCTATCCGTGCTGGCCAGGATCTCAGTCCAGAGTGATCCGTCGGTATTGTCATCGCTTGTTGTCCTGTTGTTGTTGGTGAGATTGAGCGTGGGAGTGCTCGGACCTGGGCTCGGGCCAGGGGCTGTCATGTTGCCTCTGCGGGGACAGCTATCAAGAGGTGGGTGGGAATGTCGGGTGATATGAGAAAGGAGGCCAACAGTCAATACTTGCTGTAATGAGGAGGTGTTTGTGATGAGGTCTTTGCAAAATGGAAGAGTAGAGAAGTAGGTGACGGACAACAAGACGCGTCGCGAGCTGGCTGCTTGCATAACACATCATGGCCATGCCCAAATGCTGTAAACATCAAGAGCTGGATATTCCAGCGGTCATACTTCTTCATTAGTATAACGGTTAGTATAACCGCTTCTCACGCGGTAGACCAGGGTTCAACTCCCTGATGGAGAATACCTTTTTGTCGCGCTTCTCTTTTGCCCATCTCGCCTTCTATCTCGACTCTGCATCGTTCTTTCACACTCAGCAGTCCACAGGAGACAGCATGACACCAAATACAGTAGTACTATACGAGTACATTAGGACAGGTCATCGGCCCGCACATAGGCTCGACACAAGCCCCTCGCTCCGACGACGCCAGGAGGAGGGTGGAGGCGGCTGCACCGAGCCTAGCCCGCACATACGTTCTGGCGATCAAGCTGCTAATACGCGTCTCAGCATCAGGTGCTTGACTGTCTACCAACATATGCCTACCACTCCGTCCTCACCGTTGAAGGCCGTGTGAGCAAGAAGCTTGTCGCCGAGGTTATGCGCCCTGATACCTATGGTGATGAAGATGAGTAAAGTATTACAAGGGGTTTCTCGAAGACTTCGAAGAGACAGTGGCTGCATATCGTCTTGAGACGGCGCTGTACAATGGCCCTCTCGCAAGCCTACAAGGAGGGATTGTCCCCGCATCGTATGGCTCGTTCAACGGTGCAATGTCTCTCGGGCTTATCTCTGGGGGCTACCCATTGCACATCGAATTGATGGAGGATGTCGGGGGGCCAGCCATCGGAGAGGGTAAGCTGCGGGATCTGCCTTTGCAGGATAGGTAAGTGTCTTTCAGCAGCTACAATGGTCTTGTGCTGATCACATTGTCAGACAGGCTATTCGAGACCTCTACCATCAAATTCATGCGGTGCGCTCTTCACCGTGACATAGAGCCACGCCACATTCTCCGACGCGCCGACGGCCGCTTTGCTCTCATCGACTTTGACTCCTCTCGCTCGGTGAAGGACGGTCTCAAGGGCGACCGAGAGCTCGCGTCTAAGGGGCGCCCGGTAGCGGCTATGCTTGGGTTGAAAGATCGTGCTGCGCGAAAGGCAGAATCTCTTGCCGGAAGTCGACTTCAGCGGGCAGAGATGGTAGTCGACCCTGCAGTAGTGATGAGAAAGAACTTACGATGGACTTGAGCGTTGTTGGAGATCGGGAGGCGGTGCTGGCCGGGGGGGAGGCGGGTGGACAGGAGCAGAGTCCATGCGACGGCCAGGTGGGATCGGTGGACCAAATTGGGACCAAACATGGACCCATTGAGCGCACCACTGGCGCTGGGCGGCGTACGCCGTATGGCCAAACACACTGCAGTGATGCAGTCTGTACCAATCCCTTTACACTCAGCCATGGCAGAAGGAATGAACAGCGCATTCGCCGATACCGAAAAGTCTGCAAGATCACTTGGTACCAGAGTACTGGCCACTCCTACGCTGGCCGACTTGTTCCAGTCGGGCTCGGAGGATGAATACGAGGCGGACATATGAGAGACGCATGACGAGGCGTCCCGCAAGACCCCTGCTCCAGCGCGTGTGTCATTCTGTGAGTATGATCAAGATGGGTTCTATGTTTTCTGACTCTTCTCAGCCCAAAGCTCCCCTGAAGCCTGTACAGGTTCGAAGGCGACCCCGAATGACCGTACAAGTTGTCACCCCTTGTCGGCCAAGATCCAATCCTTCGACTTCAGCTCCTCGGACCCACCACCAGCATATCCATCTACGCCCAAATCCGCATCAGCTCCTACACTCGCCGATTTGTTCGCCCCTCTCCCAATGGGGAACTTGTCGATTTCGAAGATTGACAAGGGAAAGCAGCGCATGATAGGGGAGCATCCTGCTGAAGACGTGCCGGACAAATCAACGTCTACTACAGGCTCTTATTGGACGACGAAGATATACATGGCGGACGGAAATCCCTTCACTTGCAAGGACTGCTTGAACACCTGCAAGGACTGCTTGAAAGCTGGGGGTGATAGAAGAACCAAGGCGGGATTGTGCAAAGGAAGAACGAGTGATTGCAAGTTTGCGTGAATTGACAGTGGGAGTGGTAAGTAGATCGAGCGTTTGCCATGATTGTCGACTAATCTATATACAGTTACGGATAGCGCATCAGCCCGTCAGGAACTCTCCCGCCCCCCTGCGCCTCGTTCTGCCGGTGGCCAAAGAAAGAGGATCTGTAGGCCATGTCGGGACGCTGGTGGTGAAAGAGCAGAAATGGCGGAGCAGTGTCTGGGTAAACACCCATTCAGACGTTGACAGTACTTTGATCAGTATGGAGAAGACGATACCGATGGAGGGGAAAGCGAGGGCGAGGCTGAGAAGGCATCTCCCACCCCTACGCTACATTCACGAGAACGCCGTACTTCCACCAAACGTCATTCACCACGTCCTCAGCCAGAGAGTATAGAGAGAGGGCCGCCGAGCGTGATTTCCATCCCGTTCAGCAACAGAGCCGGTTGTTATCGCCATCAGCGACCACGATGAGGATGTCCCGACGCCCAAGCCAAAGGCGCCTCTTCCTCGTCGGGCTAGATCAGTCGCAAAGAGGCCAACGCCAGTCAACCTCGCCGCCCCTCCCTCTCCTCCACTCTCATCTCCTTTGATGGCTCAAGACAGGGCTTCTCGGATGCCATCATTGCCCCCATCATCTCCGCACCGGGATCTATTCTCCCCTGTCCGCTCGACACAACGCCCTACGATGTTGCCATCCAATTCAACGAGTCAAATCCGTTTGTTGGACAGTTCCCCTATCACTACCTCGTATACACGCCCATCATTCAGCGTCAGCGGGGGCCAGGTGTTCCAACCAACGCCACCACCTTCGTCTACAGATGGCACGCGGAGTCAATCGTTGTCCAGCAACATTCCCACCTCGTCTGCTCTGAAGAAGAGTGCCCTTCGTCGCCCATCAGAGTCTCTCCTATCAGGGCCTGCATTCAGTGCAAAGCGTACTAGGTTTTCGCTTGCTCCACGCTCGCCCACCAAGTACCCTGGTTCATCGTCGACCGAGAGCCCGAATCGGACGATGAGAGCCAAGAAGAGCTTGAGTTTCTCTCAAGCTCTGAGCGCTCTGATGACAAGTTCCCGGTGTATGAGTCGAGCTCGAGTCCTTTGAGGGGCGAGTCCAGTGTGCGGGCTGCAAACCTTGGAATGAGACTCGGCCCAGAGCGCGATTGCCGCCTACAATGATCAAATCGTTGGTGCCATCCATGAGTAACTAAGACTCGAGCTCGACTCTTGGGTCATCATCCACGGGCTTTTATTTGCCGACGCCTTTACCGAGTAGTGCTTGGCCAAATGGTTCCAGGTCTAGTCCAGCGCCCAGCGCAACTCTGAGATCGGGTTCGGTAGCCAGGAATGGAAACTCTGGGGAGAGAAACGAAAATCCCAAAGCGGGTCTCATGCTACCTTCGCCTATACCATCTCACAGGCTCAAGAGTGCTATACACTCATCATCGCCGCTCAAAACGAATCTATCCTCCACCCCTCTATGCGCATCGACTCTTGCCAGACCACCTGCTTCAGCGCCGACGGCATGGGCGGGCATCAGATTCGAGTCCATGTCGCCTGCTGTACCACAAGCGCGCCCGCGCTCGCGCTCCCAGTCAGTGCCCATCGTACCTGGCAGATCTCAGAGTCGTCCCGCCACACCCACCCACCCCAAGCACCCCGCGCTACTCGTACATCTTCTATCGTCCCCGCGAGACTCGCCCAAACGACTCCAGCAAAGAAGAGTATGATATGTAAGAGCCTGGAGAAGGCGGTGAGCGAGGTAGGGGATGGAGATGGGCTGGAGTGAGGGCTGGACGAAGACTCTGATGACGGTGGGAGGATGTGGAGGGACAGTAGTGTTTCTGCATATTTGCATTGAGGTGTATGTATGTTTGACAAGATAGGTCACTCGGACCGTCATCTGCTTTTGGATTTCTTGCAGTTGGTGTTTACACACCGCAAGCAAAGTGTACACTTTCAACATGTATAGAGCGATGTGCTACTAATCACTACTCTTGTGATCGATGAAATTTATGATTACAACTCGTTCTCCACCCCCGCTCCTAGTGAACCAATATTGACTGTGTGCGTTTTTACTCTTCTCGTCAAGATACCCTTCTCAGTCGAGGTCAGGGTGACTGGGTCTTCGTGAGTTATGCTTCGTAATCAAGAATCATGACGATACGCACTATCCATTATCATTCTGATCTTTTTCTCTTTCTGCCCTTTCCCTTCTTTCCCTCTGTGCCATATAATCCCTCGCAACCCTTTCCTGAAGTCTGTCAAACGCCTGCACTCTCTGAGCATCTTGATCCCGAATTCGAGATTGTGCAGTGCCTCTAGGGGTCGTCGCACCTGAAGATGGGATCGGATGGCCGAGGTTGAAAGAGTCATTATGCGCGGAAGATTGGGATGTGCTGGCGGGTGTGTTTTCGGCAAAGACTCGGATAGGTGAGTCGTCGTCCGAGGACTAGGAAGCGGTGTGTTGATCATCATAAGCCGGGTTTTAGTGGCTGTCCCTAGCAGAGACGTCGGGTCATGGAGATTTGGGAGCATCGCGCCCCCACTTCCCATCACCAAGGCCGATGTTCCTAAACAGCCCGCCTAGTATTCCGGGCATCCCACCTGGTAGATTTTGACCCTGCTGTCATTGCCTATTACATACCATTGCTCCCTGTATAGTCTCCGAGACCACCTTCACCAGGAAAGACAATTCCTGCACCTCCTTCCCCGGCAGTCATGGTCCGCAGCTACGAGACGCGATCAACTGCTGTCCAGTACAGATCAGATATGCGATGACGCACCACCTGCCGAGCTTCCTGCTGGAGGCGATCGTCATCAGTCATGTTCGGATATTACGAAGGCGGTTTCCAGCGCCCGGGGGGTCACTCTGAGCACATCAGTGAGATCTCGAGTAGACTAAATTGTTAGCTGACGCGAATGGATCTGGGTCATCCAACCCTCCAAATGCAGCAAATGGGTTCTGCAGTGCAGCTTGTCCGCCCACATTTCCACGCAGATTGAAGCTTCCCGCTGTTAAACCGGTATGCATGTTTTCCGGGCTGAAAGAATACTTCCTGGGTCCTCCTCGACCACCCTGGTCATTGTTAGATCTCTCGCCACCTGGGTTGTCGCGTGGGCGCTGGTCAGCAAACAGAGGCGGGAGACGGCTCGGCTGTCCACCACGATTTCCAGGGTTGCTTCCACGATTTCCAGCTGACACGAGACCAAATAGATTGGAGAGGAATGAGCCAGGAGTGGGAGGGTTGTCGGAGTGCTCGGGAAGAGTTGGACTGGGTGGGTCATCGTCAGAGCCCGTCAGCGGTGTCGGGGTGGTTATCGGCGTACCTCGCGGTATATCCAGAAGGGGTCCGCATGGCACGGGGTAGAGAGGAGAGGAGAAGGTAGAGTTGCAGATGCAAGAAGAAACAACATCTTCCACGCCGGCCGCCGCGGCCGTCCGTAACGCCGTAACACACCGACGACAACATTCATTACGTAACTGCGCTCATCGCGTCGCGTGCCTAAGGTCGACAGGCGTCCTGCGCGGGATCAAACCGGCGTTCGTCAGCGTCCGTCTGCACCAGGTCTGCACAATCATCGCAGCACTTGACCTGCACCTGACATCCGGCAAACTTGCTATGGTGCTCTTCGACGAGGACGAACCTGGGCCACCTGAGAACTACGGCTCATTTTTCGACATCGATACTGCCCTTCGGGGACCAGAGGAGACAGTCGCCGTGCAGGCGCTCTTCTCGAACCGGAAGATCCTTCGAGACACGATCGCTTCCTTTGGCTTATCGCGCAAGAACGAACACACCGAAGCGGTTACAGTGGAGGCGCACGCAGATCTCCTCAAGCGATTGCTGGAATGGCACCATACCATCGCAGATTCCGAAATCAGAGGAGGGTTTAGTCAATTTCACACTGCT